ATTTGCATACCACCTCTCAATCTTAAAACCAAGTGCAAAGTGGATTCCTTTTGAATGTTGTAGTCAGATAAAGTTCTACCGTCTTCTAATTGCTTACCGGCGAAGATCAATCTTTGTTGATCAGGTGGAATACCTTCCTTGTCTTGAATTTTAGATTTGACGTTATCAATGGTGTCAGAAGACTCAACTTCTAAAGTGATGGTCTTACCGGTCAAGGTCTTGACGAAAATTTGCATACCACCTCTCAATCTTAAAACCAAGTGCAAAGTGGATTCCTTTTGAATGTTGTAGTCAGATAAAGTTCTGCCATCTTCTAATTGCTTACCAGCAAAGATTAATCTTTGTTGGTCAGGTGGAATACCTTCCTTATCTTGGATCTTAGACTTGACGTTGTCAATTGTGTCAGAGGATTCGACTTCTAAAGTGATAGTCTTACCAGTTAATGTCTTAACGAAAATTTGCATTGTTGTATAATGTTACTTGATGTATAATTGTTGTAATGAAAAGAGGAAACTTTGTGAAAAATGGTTCGTTGCTTGTGGCTATTTGCCCCCCTTATATACTGGAGGGCAAGCTAGCGTGGCCCCCTATTTTTGTATGCAGACAGCTAGAATGGGCCTAATAGAGTAACTGCATCGAAAAAAAAAGAAACTTTCCATGCGGTTGTAACGTCACGCTGGTATCCTGCATGTATTGGAGAAAAAGAAACGACTAGCAGCCTCGCAGTGGTCACTTCACACACTTACTGAGTAGATCGGAGGAAGGAAGAGTAGCCCTGCAAGAGATGTGGAAAGAGTAGCTTTGATTGTGAACGAGGAGCGGTGCTTGAAAAGAGGGCTATTGCAAAGATATTTTGATTGCAATTGAGTGTATTGTGTATTCTTTGCCACCACTCATCCAAGGAACTCAATGGCAATGGAAAGAAAAAAGAAAGTAAACACTGCTTGGTACGCCTCACTCGCCGGGATTATTAGGCTCTAGGGACTCAGATCCGAAAAATGTCCATCGTATTTTTTTGGTAGCCACTTTCTTTGACTGCCAACGTTCTGCGCGATTTCTTCTCGTCTCACTAATGGCAAGGAACGGAGAAGGCGAGGCAATATTGGAATAGAGCATACAAAATATTGAGCTGAGGCAGTTTCAACTATAGTTAATTGAAACTGCTGCAATCAGCAGCTCTTCCTGAGCCGATTGAGATCTCTAGAGGCCTCGAGCCTAAATTGCCCTAGATCTATTGTTTGCAACCTTGTTTGTTATCACAGTGTTATTTTTAACTCATCGCTGTGTTTGTCGGTCAGCCGCTTTTGAAGCGCGCCTACATGAGAGGGTTGACTAATCGTAATATTTTTTTTCTTTTTATTTTTCACCTTTCTTTTTCCATACCAATATTATTAGTCTTTTCTTTTTCACCGTGGAGGCAATGGCAATTCCTGGAAGGATATCCTATTTGGTTGTAGTCAAGACAAATTGTAAACAAGGTAGTGACCGTTGAAAAGTTTTTCAGCTGCGCTGAACGCTTGTGGCTGCAGCGTCGATCCGTTATCGTAGTTTGTCAAATGCGTCAATTTCTTTCCACTGCCGGTGTGGAGTGCGTTTTGAGACATCGTACAGCTAACAATAAGATAAGGTGAGATGTGGAAACTGTGGTCACCCAAGCAGACTGCTGCTGTCCAGTGCATGAATGTGCTACTGACTACGGTGCTAGTTAACTACTTGACTGATGTGTGTTATCTCTTTTCTGATACAATGCAAAGTACGCTGTAGTGCGTCGTTCTGATGTCCTTCGACTGCTTTTCTCCGATGGGTTCCAGCCATGCAGGCGCTTGCATATGGCTGAGGATGTTTCAATCGCAGCCTAAATTATCACTATATATCTCTGCTGCCTTGTTGCTTTGAATAGTAACGCTAAGAAGAGTCTCATATATTCGGTAGTGTGTACTGTGCTCCACTGCATGCGTATGCTGCATTCTCGTCTTATATATTATATGGATAAGTAGAGTCTAGTATATTCGGAAGAATGCTACAGGCTATCTAGTATATACCTCTCTATAGCTGTCTTACACAGTAACGCCTAAGAAGTGTCCCGCGCACTGTTCATTTACTGTACCTCTATCTCTCCTACTCACTTCTAAGAAGTGTTTCTCTCGTCTCTCATTAATGTGCATTAAGTATCTTTACGTGTGAATATCTATAAATGGGTTATTACTATGTTCGCTGCTGCTGTACCCATGAAAGGTCAGCCTATTCTTCAATATCCTGCTGTCGTTAGCATCTAACCTGAAAAGCAGATTTTTCAAATCGGCTTTTCCTTTCGTAGAATTATCGTAAGTTGTAGTCGTGAAGTTATTTTCTTTGCCATTATCCTCTGATAAAGTATCAAGTCTTGCATTGATGGGCGACGAGGGTACATCGTCAGAAAGCTTAAACGAAGTAGTCGAGCTGAAATCCAAACTTCTAGTTCTTAGCTTATTCAGTTCGTTGGTGCGGTTAGTAGATGGAGATATCGGAGTTTCATACATTTTCAACCCAGGAATAGACATATCATTTCTCAACTGGTGGAATTTCCACCTCAATAGCTCCAACTCCTGGTCGTCATTGATTAGCTTGTGTATTAAGTTCAACTTAGACCGTATTGGTTGGCCAATTTCATTCCCATTGATATCAAAACATGTGAAATTTCTTAACCTTTTCTCGTAACTACTTGAATAATTGGATTTGCACCAATTTACAAACTGTTTTGAGCCACTCTGTAATAAGTAGATTATAACCGTTAGGGTCTTGAGAATAATTCTCCAATTTTTCGAGGGTTCTTTCACCGATAAACGCTTATTGATAATTTGGATTATAATGCGAAGCTTTTCTGAGTCAAACGTGAGAATAGCTAGATCATTCAATTGGCTGCCCAACGTGCCAAAGGGATCATTATTAGTGGCTACAGGGCATCTGAGTTAGTTTAAATTCTTTAAAGAGAGGAATAAGAATAAGAATATAAATGAAACGTGGATAAAAAAAAATAAAAAGATGCTGTCTGGTGTACTTCACCTCGAACACAACTTACCGTTTCGAATTTTCTGCTCAGTGGAGCTCTGATTGAAGTGCTTTAAGAACAGAACATGTACCATAGTGGACCACCCTCTATCAGCAAAGCTGGAACCAAAAAAAAAAAAAAAAAAAATACGAGCCCAATTAGGCAGGTACAGTTATCAGTAGTACGAATATCAGTAGTAAGACTATCAGGAGTACGACTATCAGTAGAACAGCAAAAGAAGAAGAAGAAGAAGAAGAAGAAAACTCTTTACATGTCTTCCCTCTGGTCTCATCCCCTCCAACTTTCATATGAAACTACCTACCACTACCGAATGCTCCAAACATAAATTTAACTGTGTGTTATGTAATCAGCTAAAACAAACAAGCGGTAGTTCCGGAATGGAACAAAACGTCGCACAATGGCCCGATGTCTAAGTGCTGCCCTTCCCGATCCGTCCCTGTCGTTGCACCTCCGCACGTGACTAGGAGAATTCCCGTTTTGTGGTGAGTTCGCCTCCTATTTCCCTCCCTTTTCCTAGGCGCTTTTAAGCTGTGCACGACAATTTCACCTTTCTAGCAATTGATCTTGAGACTTCAAGATGATTCGGCCCTGTGTGCAGGACGAGCACTACTCATTTTTTTTTTTTTTACTTCCTCAAGTTTTCTCTAATTTTTAGCATTCTGGTTCTCTTAGCTCCCGTTAACTGTTCACATAACAAGACAATTTGTTAGAAGGATCGCTCTTCAAAGCTTGCTTACAGGTAGATAATCAACGCGCCTATACTAGCAGCTGGTAAAAATAAGTGCTCTCAGTAGTAAAAAAAAACGAAAAGTCCTTGAAGGTTACCCCGGAAATCCGATTTGAACTCGAGTCCCTCCACAATATCAAGTCATTGCGCAAACTGCAAACCCGTTGCACAAGCTCCCCCCATACTATATCTGCTATTAGATTTTTATTTTGTTTTTTGTATTGTCCTTGTAGTTTCCAAAAGATTTAGAAGCAACAATGTTTTGAATCTTCTAGATCCGATAGTGTTACATCTATACAATACAATCTAGCCCGACTTAGTGGAATATCACGCATACTAGAAAAGTCAAAAGAAAGGACAAAGCAAGGTATCATTGAATTTTTTTAGAACATATTAAGGTCTTCGATATACTAAATCTAGCCAGGTGATGACTCTAATGGCAGAACTAGAACAGCTGTCGCCCCACCGATTGTCCAATGACGAATTGAGTCTCAAACCACAGAAATCGAACGACCAGTTACCCTTGAACCAGCTTCTCCACCCGGCCAAGTCAAAGCCCGTGTTTAGCTATGAACCTGAAATCTTCAACCTCTGCATTACGTACTTGAAAGAAAAGAATCACCATGGGTTGGCGCTCTTGGCAAGACAGAAGGGAGTACCTCCCTTTCTCCGATTCAAGGTGTGGCCCGTATTGTTGAAGTACCATCCGTTTGTTTTGAATCCATTTCTCCAACCTGATAATATAGAAGACGAGGAAAAGAAGAAGAAGAAAAAACACTCCGCTAGCACCGAAGATACAACTGAGGAGCATGACAAAACGGACTCTGCCTCGATGGCTTCCCAAAGCAAAGCTGGAAGTCTTGCTACTGCATCTGGTGGTGATGAAGAGAAGTCCGAACCAGACTCAGACTCAGAATTGAGACTGAACATACAAAAAGACTTGAAAAAGTACATTCAGAGGCTCAATTTCAATAATAAAGAAAAACCTCTTTCGGACACGGAGCAAGAGATTTTCCAGATCTTGGAGAGTGCTATTCTCAAATTTATTAAGAAATGGGGTGAAATCATCAAGTATGATAAAGCTATGGCGTGGGTGGCTCTAGGATTGGCTGAGTGGTTCCCACCTATCCCTAAGACTTCATGGGTATTAGTTGGTAGAAATATCAGCTCTACCGACAGGTGCTACAAGAGCGTGTTTGAGGACTTCAATGAGTTCATTAAAAACGAAAGTGATGAAATAGGTTTAGAATCTACTTTAAATGAATTAATTGAAGACGAGACAATCTCAAACATGAAGTTCCAGGATGTCTTTGAAAGATTGACTTTGGTACTATTGCACTCTCCAGAAAAGGGAGCGGGCACAAGCCATGAGAATGGTAACAAGAAAATCAATAAGAGCACTTTGCCCATAAACGGAGGCTCTATAGAAGAGAGGGTTTCTTTCTTCATATATTTGTTGAGAAAGTTGCTACCAGAATTATCAACGTATTTTCAAGAGGAGCAAATTTTGAATAAATTTGGTTCGCATGACGATGAGTGGTTGATCTGGTGGTTGAAATGGTGTGGATCCAAAGTGTGGTCCAGATATGATAGAGGTAGGATCTGGGATTTGATGCTTGGCTACAAGAACAATGACAATAGTCATCACAGCAAGAAATTGAGTAAATTGAAGCTTGACTCCATTCAATTGGCAAAATTGGGTCCTGATAATTTCTGGTCTGCCATAGACATAAACGAAGGAGCCAACGTGAACCAAGCTGCGAATGTCAGTAGCAACTCTTCCAATGACACGTCTGTTTCGTCATCATATTCAAACGAGCAAGTGATTCATAAAGCGAATTCGTTCAAAGACCTAATTGCAGGATTAAGAGATGATGATCAGCAACAGCAACTGTCTAATATCGTTAGTAATGCTAACAATATACCGAGTATATCCAGAAGGTCGTCATCTTCGTCAGTGTCTTCAAATTCATCCCAAGAAATTCCGATTTCGAGATTGGATCCACACATTGAATTGATATTCATCTCATTAGCATTACTCAAATCAAAGGAACACACCCTTGTTGAATTGGACCAACATGAAATCAGACAGTACTTGTCCAAATTACCCTCCAAAAGCTACAATCCAAGTGATAAATATAAGCAACATATAATGAAGAAGGAGATGGAAAAAGAGAAGAAGGAGAAGGAAAAGGAAAAGGAAGAGAAAGAGAAGGAAGAGAAGGGCAAGGGGAAAGATGTGAAAGATAAGGAAGAGAAAGATAAGGAAACTGAATCATTGCTCAGCGCTCAAATTGCACAGGTTGAATTGAGCAGTGTTAGTAATAACACCTGGAAGCGACTATCCTCTGCATCATCCACCACCACGGAACTTAGTGGAAATGTACAGCAACAGTATAACTACAAAGTCAACTATATAGACAATGTTATTTGTGAAGCTGGAGAGCTCTGGAGGAAATGGTTATGGAGAGAAATGATGGAAGATGATAGGTAGGTAAAACTTTGTATACATCAATAGGTTATAAACATGAAGCATTTAGAAATTTTGAAGCGTAGGCGAGTAACCATCGGCAAAGAAATAGCCGAGCCCCAACTATCCTTCTCATGGCAAGTTTCTGGCCACGGTTCATAAGCACTATCAGTCCCATCAGCTCAGGGCCTGGGGCTTCTTAAAGAATTGGAACAAATAAAAAAAAAAAAAAAAAAAATCTTACCTGCAGGAGTATAAAATTGTTCTGGGAATTGTTAAGCGATGAGATGAGGATGTCATAAGCGATTGCAACTTGCTTTGAATGCACAGCAAGTCATACTATAAACTATGAGTGACGACGAGAAGATAATATTGGCTACCAAGAAGGAGTCCAAGAAAGACAAAAAAGAAAGAAAGAAGGAGAAAAAGGACAAGAAAGACAAGAAGAAGTCCAGTAAGGAAAATGAAGAATCTGGCTCAGAAGATGAGCAGAGTGGATCTGACGATGACGATGAAATTGCCATTGATTTGAATGCAGACATTCCACTTTCAAAGAAACAACAACGTTTATTGAAGAAAGGGAAACTTGATTTAGCAAAATTAAAGAAAAAGAACCCAGCTCCTAAACCTGAGCTTACCGAAGAAGAGAAGATTGCCGAAGCTGCAAAGGAAAAGGAAACCAAGAAATCTCCATATGCCGTTTGGATTGGTAATTTAGCATTTGATACTACCAAGGAAGACTTGGTGAGATTTATAGTTGGTAAGACTTCTGGATACATAGGAACCGATGACGATGACGAGCTTATAAAGATCGAGAATATTGATATTACAAGAATCAACTTGCCTAAGAAGGAAAAGAAGATTAAAGGTTTCGCATATCTAGATTTCCCCAGTGCAAAGCACGTTAAGAGTGCCATCTCTTTGAGTGAGCAAATATTAAACGGTAGAAAGCTCTTGATTAAAGATTCCACATCGTTTGAAGGTAGACCAGAGAAGGATGCCAGTACAGCAGCTGGCGGTGTCTCGTTGTCCAAGAACCCTCCCTCGAGAATTTTGTTTGTGGGTAATTTGTCGTTTGACACTAGTGAAGATAACTTGGAGGAACATTTTAGGTTTTGTGGTGACATTGTTAGAATCAGAATGGCTACTTTCGAGGATTCAGGTAAGTGTAAAGGCTTTGCGTTCATCGATTTCAAAGACGAGACAGGTCCAACTACTGCCTTGAAATCCAAAATGGCTAGAAAGCTCATCAACAGACCTTTGAGGTTGGAGTATGGTGAAGACAGATCAAAGAGAAACCCAGGTCAAAGGAACAGAGAGAGAATGGAAGCAGGAAGTATTGAAGGAGGTGATGATGTTCCAGCTAGAGCAAGGGAGAGAGAATTCAGAGCAGACCAACCACCTCGCGAAGTACAGTTCAGAGAAAGAGAACAACAACCTCCAAGAGAACGTAGACCAGCACCACCAAAAAAGAGACAATTCAATGATTACCAGGATCCAAACAAGAGAGTCAAATCAAGTGTTGCGTTGGCTACTGCTCAAAGAGCCAGTGCAGCCATTGTTCCTTCCCAAGGGAAGAAAATATCTTTCGATTGAGGTGGTTGTTTCTAGGGAAACGAATATCTTTGGAGTGATGTGCTTGTTCCGCGTGAACAGGCTCTTGACTAGAAGGGGTCGGGCAACTAAAATTGTTTGGGGAACCAAAAATGACGGGGAAACAAAGTGGTGCAGCACATATATACACATACTATAATACAATATATCTACTACGAAATACAGCTGTTTAGCGAATCAAGTAAAGAATATTTGCAATTCTAGGTTATAAGCAACTGGGAATGTATAACCAGAAATTCTCTGAATTGTGGAGATAGCAATAATTTAAGCTATTAAAACCAAAAACCTTGATATGTGAGTCCTATGAGCTCAACAAATAGGAGCTTCGGCGGGTTCTAATCTCTGAGTATTCGGATATTAGCAGTTGGTGATTTCCCCTATTGTCGCCTATACGGAGCAGGGGTTCTATCTTGAAACAATACTCTATGGCAAGGTGAATCATAATTAGTCACCGGTGTGTACTACGGTGGCATAAGATGGTGTCGCACTTTCTGACTCGGCAGACGTGCTTCTCTGCAGCCTCTAAACTCCTAAGCTTCTTTATGCTCCTAGACAGCCGTCCTCGAACACATGAGGCAGAAACAACTTGATCCAACATTCAATTCACACATTTCCTGCCAAGCGAGAACCTACTGCATCGGTAGAAGGTGGTCTTAACCTCCCGTGGGTTGCTCTACGGGTAAAGTATCAGTGTAATTTATGCACGTAGCCGCACATTGCTTATGCACTTTGGTCAATCATTTATCGAAAGTTCGGTCTTAGGCGCGCATTGCATGAGCTTCCTTACTTAACTAAGAAAGTGCACAGTCTTTTCTAAGTCACACATTTGATGCTTTACTAGCCTTGTGCCTAACGGCGGCCTTGGTACGTTCAATGCAAGGCAGCTCTGTTTTTAGCTTGTCAGAAACGAATGGTGTGATTCGCTGACCAAAATATGCGCTAGGATAACATCGTGCTTCTCCGCAATTCTGCGATATGACCCATTTTAGCTTCCCCTCCCAGATTTTCCACTAGTTCTTGGTGTAGTTGTTCTGGTTCTTCTTATCACAAAGTAGGTTAGTATTCTAGAACAGGGCTACCCGCATACAGTATTTGTGCTATACATATATAAATATACGATACTCACTAAACAGGCTTTTGTCGAATTTATTTTGCTATTCTGATCCAGTTCTTATCCCGGTAAATCAAAAGGCTAGGTCATAAAATCGTTATGCTTAGACTCTTGTCAATTGCACCAAGAACATGCTCGTACAGAGCCACTGCTGCACCAGCTTTCAATGCTGCAAGATTTAGATTTCAATCCACATATACTATTCCTCAGACTCAGAAGGCTGTAGTGTTTGAAACCAATGGTGGTCCATTGGAATACAGAGATATTCCTGTTCCAAAGGCTAAACCCAACGAGATCTTGGTGAACATCAAATACTCTGGGGTATGCCACACAGACTTACACGCCTGGAAAGGTGACTGGGACTTGGCTACAAAATTGCCATTAGTAGGGGGCCACGAAGGTGCTGGTGTTGTCGTAGGACTCGGGGAGAACGTTGTTGGATGGAAATTGGGGGACTATGCCGGTGTCAAGTGGCTTAATGGTTCATGTATGAGCTGTGAATTGTGTGAAGAAGGTCACGAATCCAATTGTGGTGACGCTGATTTGTCAGGTTACACACATGATGGTACCTTCCAACAATATTGTACCGCAGATGCAATTCAAGCTGCTAAGATTCCACAGGGCACAGATTTGGCCGAGGTGGCACCAATCTTATGTGCTGGTATAACTGTCTACAAGGCATTGAAAGAGGCCAGTTTGAAGCAAGGTCAATGGGTTGCCATCTCTGGTGCAGGTGGTGGTTTAGGTACTTTGGCTGTACAGTACGCTAAGGCAATGGGGTTCAGAGTTCTTGCAATCGACGGAGGTTCCGATAAGGGTCAGTTGGTCAAGTCATTAGGTGCAGAAGAGTACATTGATTTCACCACAGTTCCAGATGTTCCAAAGACGGCGATCGAAATCTCGGGTGGTGGTCCCCATGCTGTCATTAACGTTTCAGTTTCTCCACAAGCTATGCAACAATCTACTGAGTTTGTTAGAAAGACTGGTACCGTTGTCCTTGTGGGTTTGCCAGCTGGTGCTAGTATCAATGCACTGGTATTCGAAACTGTTGCTAAATGTGTTACCATTAAGGGTTCCTACGTGGGTAACAGAGCTGATACCAGAGAAGCAATTGATTTCTTCGTTAGAGGTTTGGTTAAATCGCCAATTAAGATTGCTGGTCTTTCGGAATTGCCAAAAATCTTCCAAGAAATGGAAGCTGGTAATATTTTGGGGAGATATGTCGTCGACACTTCTTACTAAAACTATTCTACATGTGAACTAGTTAAACAAATACATTTCCAAAAATAGTTATAAAAATAATACAATAAAAAAGCTTAATAAAAAAGGTAATAGATCACTCACCTAGGTTTACTTTTCATTGTTTTTGGCCTTTGCCAAAGCTTGTTGAGACTTTTCATACTCATCGTGGCTGATTTCTAAGTAATCCGGGTGATCCTTGTTTCTTTCGTACTCACTATCAGAAACCTCTTCGTAGACAACAATGCTAGCATCTTCTGATCTGCTTGCTTGAGTTTTCAAAGTAGCTGGTGGCTGCTTCTTAAGATCAATAGATTCCTTTGGAGAAATCACAGCTGGCTTTTCACTTGGTGCTTCCTTCTTAGAAACTTCCTTCTTGGGGGTTTCCTTCTTAGTTGGACTACTTGGAGCCTTAAATTTTTGAGATAATCTCTTAATAGACTTGGTAATACTTCCTGACCTTGGCTTGGTTTCCAATCCAGTAGATGAAGTAGTGGCAGTCTTTGGAGTGGCTACTGCAGCAGATACACCTCCAACAGCAGCTGCAGTTACAGCTGCAGCTCCAGCGGTGGTGGCCTTTATACCATTCGAAGTAGATTCCTTCGAAGCTTTCTCCTTCTTCTCAAGAGCAGTGACGGGAGAATTAGCGGCTGCTCTGATTTGCGGGACCGGAATAAATGAAGACAGATTCAGAGCTTCCTTTTTATGTTCTCTATACAAATCTTGATCATCCAATTCAATCTGCTTAGATAATTTTGCTACTTCATTTTCTCTGTCTCTAATCAATTTCTGAATATCATCAAGACGGTCGTCTCTATTGACTTCAAGAGCCAACTTAGCCTTTTCTTCTCTCAATTCTCTAATCTTTTTCAAGTTCTCAACTTCTTCCAATAATCTTGTCTTTTGCAATTCTTCAAAATCCAACCTTTCCTGGAACAATTTCAATCTTTCTTCGTGTTCAGCTTTCAATTTTTCAATTTCGTCAAGCTTTTCTTGAGCAAGACGTTCAGCTTCTTCCCTTGCCTCTTGGGCTTTCAAGTCCTTCTGCTGGTACAATGCAGCAATGTCTCTTTCTAATTGATCAGCTTCATCTTGTTCTTTCTGTTTACGTTCTTGGTAAACTCTTTCCTTCTCGGCTCTTTCCTCATAAAGACGTTGCTTTTCCGCTTCTCTGGCATCAGCACGTTGCTGCCTTTGATACTCAGGTTGAAGGACCAAGCGAGCTTTTTCTTCTTCTTCTTCCTTTAAGGCTTTCTCTGCTGCAATTTTATCGTCTTCAATCTTCTTTTCGGCTGCAATCTTATCTTCTTCAGCTTTCTTTTCTGCTGCTATCTTATCCTCTTCTGCCTTCTTCTCTGCCGCAATTCTGTCTTCCTCAGCCTTTTTCTCTGCTGCAATTCTGGCTTCTTCAGCTCTGAATTCCTCTTCTTCTTTCAACCTTTGTCTCTCCAATTCAAGTTCAATTCTCTTGGTTTCAGCTTCTTCTTGAGCCTTGATTCTCTTAGTCTCCTCTTCTTCCTTTGCTAAGGCTCTTTGACGCTCATGATCGAGAGCAACATTCTTAGCAACTTCCTGTCTTTCGCTCAACCATGAATTGTAGTTTTCTTTGGCTTTAGATAATCTAGAAGGAACCTGTTCCTTTTCAGATTTCAACGAAGCCAATTTAGCTGCGTAGGCAGCGACAGCTCCAGTCAACAAACCGACTTCAGCAGCTAAACCAGAGTGCTTGGATTTCTTGGTTTCCAAGTCTGCTTTGGTAGTGGATAACTTTTGTTCAATTTCACTCTTTGTTGATAAGTTCTTAGCAATAGAAGCTTCCTTTTCGGAGTGAGTTCCCTTGAGAGCCTCCAATGCTTCAAATTTAGCATTGTACTTGGCGGTCAATTCCTCAATCTTGGAGGACAAATCGGAGTTTTCATCGTCCAATTTGGTTTTCTTCTCTTGCAACTCTTCAATTTCGGTAGTGGTCTTTTCTTGATTGGTCTTGGAATCCTCTAACTCTTGCTTCTTAGTAGCTTCTAATTCGTCATGGTTCTTCAATAAAGTTTCCTTATCGGAGCCATGCTTTTCGACAGCGGCGGTTTCACGTTCTTCAAATTCCTTGTTAGCAGTTTCAATCTCTTCTTTGGTCAAAGTGGAAAAGGCTTCAGCAGTCCTATCAGCATTGGCCATGATTCTTGACAAGTCATTCTTCTTTTCTTCAGTTTCCTTATCGAACTTTTCCTTTTGCTTATCGATCTTCTTGACATGCTTGTCAAAGTCACTTTGTAACTTCTTTTCATGGCCAGCGATCTTGGTGGACAAGTCTTGTTGTCTCTTGATTTCATCTTCAGACCTTGTTTTGGAAACCTCGTCGTTGATGTTGGCTAAGACTGGGGCCACTCTCAAAGCGGCTATATCTAAGAGTTGTTGTTGAGTCATCTTGAGACCAGAACCCAAGTCAATGACCTTGTTTGGATCGTCAATTGAACGAGAGACTGAGCCAACGGCTGCAGCGTTCAACTCGTTGTAACGAGCGAGCAAAAGTGGCTTGTCGTTGAAGTCTTGCAAGGTCTTTTCGTTAACAGCTTCAGTTGGAGCATACTTGAATTCTGGTTGAGTTACAATTTCAATTGGGGTATTCTTTACTTGCTCGACAATGTTGTCGTCATCAGCGGCAGCTTCAGGCTCTTTAGCAGTTTCTTCAGCAGTTTCTTCAGCAGTTTCTTTAGCAGTTTCTTCAGCAGACTCTTCAGTTGTGCCATTGGCAACGACTTCAGTTTCAACAGCGTCAACTGGCTCAGCTGGAGTGTTAATGGACTCGTCTTTCAATGATTTGACTGAAGTGTTGGAAGTAATTGCCTCGCTTGCCAATTCAGCTGACTTTTCTGGCTCCTCAGGAGCGTCTACAGTTTCTTCAGCGTCCGCATCAACTTCTGCTTCGGCTTCTGCTTCGTCTCCTTCGGCTTCGGCTTCGGCTTCGGCTTCAGCTGCCTTGGCTGCTTCTTCTTCCTTTGCCTTGGCTGCTGCTGCCTCTTCTTCTTTCTTCTTCTTCTTCTCTGCTTCTAAAGTAGGATGAGCCAAAAATTTCTTGGGAACACCAATCTTCTTAATGGAGTTCTCGTCTGCTAATTGCTGGCGTAAGTTTTTCTTTTCACCCCCAGCATTTCTAAATGGTGAAACCCAAGTGGACCCACTGGTCAATTTCTTTAAAGATGACGGCTTCTTTGTCTCAGACATGTTGGATACTAGCAATTGGCTGAATTGAGCGCTACCTTGTACTTGGTATATCTGTGGAGAAGAAGAGTAATACGTAGCTGTGCTATAAACCCTCTACCGCCAAATAGGGGGGACGAGAGCAAAGAAATTTCAGTCCACATTCGGTTTTGTGTAACCTTGCCTCGAAACCGCACACAATCTGTGCTTTTTTTGTTCCATGCATGTAATCCAAACTGGAAATAATGGTGCAGCAGAAAATGGACAAAGGTGGTAGCGGAGCGCAAGGTTATGCTACAGAGGAGAGATTAGGGGTGCTTGGGGAATGAGGAGGAAGGGGAGGAGATGGGCAGCTCAGGGTGCCTTGTTTTCGTGTAGTGAGGGATACTATTTTCCAGTATTTGTTTCTGTTGTGTGTACCTGAATTGAGGTTGGTATGACGTAGTTTTTATGCTTGCTTTCTTGTGTAACCTGCACAGCGATATCCGGAGTGGGCCACTCTGCTCGTGCGGCTTTGAACATCAGGTGGGGCTGGCATAGCGAAGAGTGGTTTCTATTACAGCGAGCTTGGGAGCGTGGAAGAAGGAGATCTTGCTAGTCGGTCTTTATGTGTATGTGTATGTGTATACATATGAATGTATGTATATGTGTGTATATATATGACGAGAGAGGGAATTGCGAGCTTCTTGCCGGCTTCGCTCCCTGACTTCTGGAAAAAAACACTCCTATGATTACCTCTATACTCTAGCCGCGAGCCTATTGTAGCAAAATTTAGTGCTTGGCCTTTTTCCATTGATTCGTCGCCTATTGGATTTTGGGCCGCTAGCCTGTGATTAAAGGGGGTTTGGCATTACCTGAGCTGTCCAATTCTTTGTGCGGGATCTGTATCTTCAGGAACAGTTAAGTCCTGTGCTCACCTGCGTGCGCACGATCTACCGGAATGCACCCGAGTCCAATTAGCCATGAACTGAACTTGCTTGCAAAAAAGATTGCAATATTGCTAGCTTTTGAAGGGATAGAGATAGATTTGGCGGTTCCATGGTCTATAGAGCCTATCCAAATTGGATTTTAGCTTTAACCCGTAGAAAACGATAATTAGCGATTAGTGTAGAGTGCATTTCTTGGGAGTGATGAGCCGGTGAAGCTTTCGTAGACCAGGAAGCCAAGTTATAACTAAAAAACCAGTGCATCCAGTGTTTTTTGCTGTGTTTTAGCGCATATATACCGCATAGAGTACGAGGACATGGTACTGTACTACAAGCGTATATATATATATATATATACAGACACATACACATAATAAGAGCCAGTCCTACTGCGTGCAACCAATGCATGGATTTAAGAAATTGCTGCACTAGAAAATGTCCCGATCCATCCCTAATTTTTTTAGCGCACCAAAGGAAATAAATAAAGTGCCTGTCCAGTTTAGCCAAAGAAGGTGAAAATACGGAACACCAAACCCAATAAAAAAAGACTGAAAAATCTCGTAAAAGCTTATAAGAGTTCAACCCTTACCTGAAAACTCTATCCATCAAATCAAACACAATATCCCCTCCAAATTATCAAACTATCCCATCCTCTTAAATTCCTCTCTTTTTCCTTCCTTCCCCATCGCGGCGCTCTTCCCACTAGCCAAATCGATTATCTCCACTAAATCTTGATTCGCTGCCGGTGTACATGCAGGACCCAAGATACAAAATTTTTGACACTTTAAAGTTTATGCATTTTATTTTTTGAGTCTACCTTTTTTATTGTTTAGGAGGTCAATCTGAAACATATTACGGTAGAAAGCCTGGTCAATTCGGTATCTATTACAATCCAGTACTTAGCCATTGAACGTGGCTTCCAGTTTTTTTGTATTATTAGGTAGAAAACTGAAGAAAACAGCTGCACTTACCGTTTGTGTGTGGTAGAGGCATTTTTATTTCTGTAGAAGTTTTTGATTATCGATTTTTATTTTATTACACTTCCGCTACAACTGTTGGGTTTCACTGTGAATTCGATTATCACTCGATCGAGCCTAGACAAACATGTCTACACTTATTCCGACGGCTAGTATTTGCCACACTCTTCAACTACCACCCATAGAGAAGGATGATAGGCTCAATTTGAACGTCCGGACAGGCTCCGCTGCGACCCTTTACAACTCTTTGGTCTTTTCACATGGTGGGTTAACTATCGGGTTGGAGCTTCAAGACCACACCCTTCCAGAGTTGCTAAATATATTTAAACTGAGAATCAACAACTTGAAGTCTCTTGAAATAGAGAACTACATCTCCGGGGAATTGTTCTACTTGAAGTTGATTGAAAGAACTTGGTTCCGTGTGATAATACCTCCTAAGTCTCCCAAGCCTGCTCCTCGTTTGTTACATGAGATATGTGCAATCAATAACTGCGTGTATATATTCGGAGGCTTGAAAGCAACCAAGGAGTTTGACTATGCCATCAACGCTTATAAAGATGACCAAAACGAAGATGTTGATTCCTTGGTACCGTGTAATGACCTCTGGGAGTTTAATTTGGAGAAAAGAGAATGGACCTTATTGCACGACGGGACCGGATGGGAAACCAACGAGATCATCCCTAAACCAAGATTTCTTCACAAGATGACCGCCATACTGTCAATCACTTTTATACGTAAGAATGGCCACTTCGGTATCTTCATCGCTGGTGGGAAAGATTCTAACTCGGAGCCTATCTATGATAACGTAATCTTCGATCTTGTTGACAAAAAGTATGTATGCGAGGGCCACGAAGAAAATAAACCCGTGAACTTGCATCTTGGTAATGCAGAGAACTTAAAAGCTTTCGATAGTGTTAATGAGAACGGTTGTTTAAATATAAATTATACAAACAGTATTATTGTTAACGTTACGGAAGAAATTGATCATATTTACATGAGGAAGAAGATGGCAAACGCAGACAATGGCATAGATGATAGGATCACTGACGAGAAGGAGTTGCTATCTGAAGCTAGGAACACGACGAGGGAAGAATCCATCATGGTGTATGCTCCAGTTAACATGGATGTCGACAGCGAGAGCATTACCAACCCCTTAATTTCCTTCAAAGTAGGGAAGAAGTTAAGACTGGGTAGAGTGGTAAGAACCCACAGACAGAAAAAGGACACTAAATCATCTCAGACAAAAAACCACACAATGCCGTTCAACTTAAGATATCCCACGGGGGGATTGTTTGGAAAAAATTTAGTTATTGTTGGGTTTTTACCAGGAGACTTTGACATTTCGATTTTCGTTTTCAACAAACCGACAGGTAGATGGTCAAGATTGAATATTTTCTGTAATCATGACTATGGGACACATAGATTTTGGGGAGGTTTTGCTTGGCAATCCCACCACAAGGTGGTATTATTGGGAAATTATCTAACTCTGAAAACTACTAGTAGTATTAGATTCTTTAGTCTGATGATAACGGTAAGTTTACCGATAACAAACATCGTGGCTAGTTTCGAATTGGCAGGGAACGAAGACAAGCGCCAAAGATTGCGTCATAAACTCAATAATTTCAAGGATGAAGGAAGCAATACGGACAGCTCTGCTAACGGGGATAATATCACCCGAAAGACTACGATTAGTACATCTTCTGATTCAGATTCGGTAGAAGTGAGAACGAAGTCCTCCGAAGAACTTGACCACTATGAACTAGAAGATGAAGAAGATGAGGAAGAAGGCTACGAGGAAGACGAAGGCGACTTGGAAGAAAGTGAAGTAAGATCTCCCACTATATCCTTCAATGATTATGTACATTATGCTGCACCCAAGACGAATTTTACGACTATCAGATCAGTTTTTCCGCCGGCAGCGGTTACTCTTGGTAGAATAGCACTTGACAGATATGGGGATTTGATATCCGATTTTGAGTTGATTTCATCAAATGGTGACAGGATTCCCGTGTCCTTGAATGTTCTCATGGAAAGATGGGGTAGGTACTTCATTGACTTACTCGCAAGAGGCTATGTTCAAGCTGTAGAGAAATTTGAAAACAGCCAGATAGAAGATGCAAATGCTTTAAGAATGTCCAAGGACTCTGGACACAGCTCCACTTCATCAGCTAGTAGAAGATTGAAGTCTTCATTGCAATCAACTCTGGAAGTTGAATCTAATAAGTCCAATAGTAACACTCCTAGTCATAGTAAAAACCATTCATTCCATATGTCAATACCTGTTCCCAAACAGAAGAGTCCCGAAAAAGATGCTCCACAGTTCAGATTGCCTTTCCAGGATTCTACTGCTGCATCGAGCTCAACATTGTTGAATTTGGATAAGGCTGATTTGGAAGTGACTTCCCCAGGGCAGGTAATTAATGATGAATTTAAAAGTAGATCGGATGTAATTGATGGGCTAGCTGGAGAACCAGAAGACCTTGTTGATTCTGATCCATTGGAAGAAAGGCCTACTGCTAACCGAGTGTCATCTGCGATAGATCCACATTCATCGTTGAATTTTCAAGGAGGTTCCAATACTGGCACTTTTCCTAATAGCAATACTAATGATAACTCAAAAATAACATCTACTTCATCAACACCGTTACCATCCATACGCAGGGAATCAACTTCATCGTTCGCTAGTGCAAATTCCTTATTCACTTCCCATTTACAAGATATCCCGCCACAATTGCCACTACCAGATGAACCAACACCAGCAGTTCCAGTAACTACATCATTCAGATCATCTTCCAGAAGACTGTCTAGTGATATCAGTTCTCCACGTGCATCCCTTATACATACCCTTACAGTTCTTAGAAATATCCCAACTTCTAGATCACCACGTGAATCTCCATTTGCATCTCCAAGAAACTCATTCTCTGGTCCGCAAATGATGATTGGGGGCCAAGATTTGACTTCAACAGGTATACCAAATCTAAAACATAAGGATGACCAATCTCAAAGTCAGTCTCTGACAAGTCCTTCAAATAAGTTTAGTCATTTGAAATCTGCATTTAGTATAGCCGAGCTAGGTAACGGGCCGAATTCAAAGAGATTGGAGAAAGATTCGGCTGGATCTTCTGGAGATTCGTTATCTTCATCAGGTAGCTCGAAGAAATCTTCAGATTTCAAGTATTCTGAATATAGTAAACAAAGAATATTGACTGAGGAACAGCAAGGTAAAGAAGATGAGGATGAAAATGAAGTTAGTGGGTTAGATAGCACTTCAGTTTTCGACGGCTTGCTTAACTTAGATGATATGGAGAGTGGGAAATTCAGAATGGAACCATCTCTTATACCTAGAAAGTTGTATATTCCATTTTCCACAGTCTCTGTGAAAGGATTCTGTGAATTTTTGTACACTGGCCAGGTTGGTAATAAATGGTTATTGTCCCCTACTACTTTGGACAACTTAGCATTATCTAAATTTTACAAGGCTCCCTTATTATATGACTTGATTAGTGAAGTTTTGTTTGGAGTGATTGGTAGAAAAGAAAGCTTTGTTATCAATGAGGGAAAGAAGCTCAAGTCCAAGTACTTTGAATTAATTAAGTTGACCGATACACCATTGGAAAGTGATTTTAAATTCCCACTTGATGAGTATGATGGTTTAATGGATACTGTTGATGATGGATATTTGGATATTGCTTTATTGAAGAAAGCATCCGAACACCGCAAAAACAGCTCTTTGTCAAGTGGAATTCGTAAGAAATCAAGAAATAGTACTAGTGGACCCAAGAAGAAACATTCGAAACTGCTGGAAATGCCAGCTCTGTCGTCTAAAACTGGTGACAGCGTAAATGCGGCTGTCGATATTGAGACAGATGCGGAATTATCATCCAATGACTCGTTGAAACGAATTTCTTCTACTTCTGATGAAGACAACGACTTTGAACTTGCATATCTTGACTCTCAAGGTGAAAGTGCTAACTTAGGACCACGTTCTAAATCTATTTTTGATAAATCTCACGGAAAGCTCAGCTTTCAAAGCAAAGTACTTGAAAGTGATAATGAACTTGACGAGGATGATGATTTAGCTGAAGAAAAGTTGAAGGTGTCTACTTTAACTTTAGAGCAATTGGTTTCGCCAAATGCACCCATCCCTTCAGATTATGTAATTGACCTAATTTATGAGATGGGTACTATTACGAGCGACATGAAGTTGATGTTAAGATCGATCAATGCGAAGCACATGTCTAAAATCTTGAGCCAATGGAAGGATGAATTAGAGGAAACTATTGAACATTTACAAGCCAAATATGAATTGCAATGTAAGGATCTTGAAAGAGAAAAATCACACAGCGCCCAAGCAGAACGCATTTTCTCATCAAATCAAGTTCACAAAAACGAGTTACTCGCTGGTAGCCTGGCTGAAAGTAGTGCTTTAGCGTCACCAAATAATGGCGTTGTCTCGGATGCGCCTGATAGAAGCACTGCCCCTTCCCTCAAACCGAGTAGATCGACAACATCCTTGCTTAGTACAGGCTCTATCCGCACCGAGGCTTCAGAGAAGTCATCTTCTCGTGGATTTCCAAGAATCGCCGGCTTTACACCATTCACTTCGGGCAAAGGTAAAAATCCAACTGCCATGGAAAACAACAAAGAGGTTGACAAAAGAATTACAAAGTTAATCAAAAAGGACGAGAAGTTGAGGATGAAACACGAGAAAGATGAAAAACTGAGACTAGCACAGCAGCATAATGTCGATAAACAAAAGAAAAAACAAGATGAAAAGTTACATCATGCTAAGATCCAACATTCACCTACACTCCCTAATATGGGAGGACATTTCACTCACTCTCCAATTACCAGAACAAACACGTCAGATAGCTCCAACACAACTTCTTCTGCAGGTAAGAAAGGACATGGATTGTTGTACAATTTCAATCATCCACTAACGAGGAAACATACTGCTTCTGCAATTGATCTCAAGATGACAAAGACTGGAGGTTCTGCTTCAGATACCAATTCTATTGACTCTGGCAAATCTAGCAAATCACTCAAATCCACTTCGAAGCATGGGTTATTTGGCTTCAAGCATAAGTCTAAGGAGGCATCTCCTAGTAGTCTTGATAATGCCGGAGTGCCGCTGGATAGAGTACCTCTTCATAGTCTGAAGTCATTTAGCAGTCTTCATTCTCAGGATAGTAAGAAATCGCAACATACCACCACATCGAGCGGAAGTTCAGGAAAGAAAAGGTTACATATTTTTGGATCTAAAAAAGAAAAGTAAGTAGATATTTAGGATTACAATGACAAAATACATGTATTTTTACGAAGCAAGGGATACTCAAGCTATGAATGTATGGAAGTGAACCGATTGAATGTGAAGAAAGTAAGATTCAGTCTATCACCTGGTCAAGGAAATAGCGCGAGCAACGTGAAAGTGAGCTCGAAGTAAGCAGAAGTCAGTGTATAGAGTGGTGAACAGATTGACAGCCCGATTAAGGTAATGGCTTAAAGCTGTCAAAGAAATGCAACACTGACAAAAAGAAAAGAAAAAGCAAAAAAAAGAAAAAAATATGCCTCCGCCCGTTCGGAGCCCTGCAGCCTTAGCAATCGCAGTGTCCGGTATAACTGGGCCGGGCTTTCAGTTACAGCTCCGACAAGTAGTATGAGCGAGTGCAGACTAACCTAGCAATAAGCGAAGCTTCTAGAATAGTATATTCACGTAATATGGTGGAATCGAGCCAAGGTAAAAAGAGTAACTGCAGTGAATGAGAAAATCGAGCTCAAAAATTAGCAATTAGCAATACGTCACAATGAAATCGAATAACAGAGCCGAGTCGCGCCACATTTCTCCGTGCAAACTTTACCTACCTAGCTCAAAGAGCTTCTGTCAAGAATGTAAACAGGAACTGCTTTATGTAACCATACATAAATCTCCAGAAACACATACCCATACTCTGCCATACATTTGAAATTTGTGACGTAACTACTCTCATAGTGTGTAACGCTTCATGCCTACGCTTGTCTACATGCCTTCTTTGGTCCACCCTACAGGTTTCTCACCGTTATTTCACACCCACATGTACTGCCCAATTGGGACTTGCGCCGCCCCACCACGAAATTCCGTTGGCTTGCCATGCGAGACATGCATGAAATTTTCACTAGGGCTGATTAATAATCCACACCTGGATGTCCCCCACCACTAGCAGTTTGATATAAAAGGGATTGGAACGCCCTCCAAAATCACCCTAGGTCGATCAAATAAGGAATTTAAGTATATTTTATATTTATATTTTTAGTATTATAATTAATTACCACAATGTCAATTCTTTCTAAGTCTACCAAGACCATCAAGTTAAACTCCGGCTACTCTATTCCAGTTATTGGTTTAGGTACCTGGCAAGCAACCGAAAAGGGTGCAGCTGCCAATGCCGTCAAGGTCGCACTCCAAAACGGATACAGACACATTGACACTGCTGCTATCTATGGAAATGAAGAAGAAGTTGGTCAAGGTATCAAGGAATCTGGTATTCCAAGATCAGAAATTTTCGTCACAACCAAGCTTTGGAACAAGGACCAAAGAACTGCAGAAGACGCTTTAACCACTTCCTTAAAGAAGTTGGGATTGGACTATGTTGATCTTTACTTGATCCACTGGCCAATTCCATTAAAGCAAGATGGTTCTGTTGACACCGAATGGGATGTCAACAGCACTTACAAGTCATTGCAAAAATTAGTTGCTGCCGGTAAGACCAAGTCCATTGGTGTATCCAACTTCAACAAGCAACAATTGGAAAGATTATTGGCTGACCCAGAAGTTACCATCACCCCAGCTGTTAACCAAATTGAAGGACACCCATTGTTACCTCAACCAGAATTGTTCGACTACTTGACCAAGAATGGTATCCATGCTGAGTACTACTCACCATTGGGATCTACTGGTGCACCATTGTTCAAGTATGAACTCGTCACCTCTCTTGCAAAGAAGTACAACGCCGAACCAGCTCAGATCTTGATTTCCTGGGCTGTTCAGAAGGGTGCTATCGTTTTACCAAAGTCTGTCACCTCATCCAGAGTCATAGATAACTTGTCTACTTTGACCTTGTCCGATGAAGACTTCAAGGCATTGAGCACTTTAGTTGACAACGAAGGTGTTGTCAGAAATGTCAACCCAAACTGGGGAGGTCCAGTTTTCCCATAGGTTGAATGGGTATAGAGATATAAATACATGCTTTTTTTTTTCTTTTCACTGTCAATTGTAGCCTTAGAAACTAGGCTACAATAAAGCTTAGTAGAAGATGTTTAGGTCTAAAGTCGTATTCTATTATATGTAATATCTAAGATGTAATAAGAAAAATATAATCACCCATCTATTCACAGGTGATGTACAGTACATTATCTTCCTCACCTTCAATGGTTTCACCATCGTAGAAGTCAGATCCAAATTCAATCAACCCGGTTTCTGCAACATATTCAGCCCAATGGTCCAACATTATTTGCAACTTCTCAGGTTCCTCTTTCGCCAAATCTCTTGTTTCGCCGGGATCATTCCTGATATGGAACAACTGCCACTCAGCAGGGCCAAATGGCTTGGGAATGTAGAGTGCCTTATATGGCCCCTTCCTAATCGCCTGTTGTCCAAATAGTTCCCAACCGGTAACAGTCTCTTCCAGATGAACCTCATCAGCTTTATCTTGCAAATACGGGACCCAAGATTTTCCCTTTGGCTTGACGACGGTTCTGCCTTTGTATGAAGTTCCAGGATGTTCTACTTGAGCTAATTCTAATACTGTAGGCAAAATGTCCATGACCGTAGTGAAAGTCTTGGATATAAATTGCTTCTTGCTATCGTTGTGTAGCGGAGGGTAATGAATGATCAAGGGGCATCTAATACCACCCTCAGAAGCCCACATCTTGTACATATAGGACGGTGCGGTTGCAGCCTGGGCCCATTGGTCTCCATAGTAAACCCAGGAGTCCTTCTTTCCAATGTTATCCAAGGCATTGTTGTAGTATTTCTTCACTACATCTCTAATACGAAGGATCGTCAATGGAAGAGCCTCCATCAACATACCCTCAGCACCATTGTCCGACATGAACAAAATGAAAGTGTTGTCTAGTTCGCCGGTTTCCTCTAACTTGGTAACTACTCTACCAATGTTCTCATCTAAAATTTCAACCATGGCAGCGTAAGTCTCCATGATTCTTGCCTCTACTTGTCTTTCGGTATCAGAGAGCTCGTGCCACCTTCTATCCCTGTGGGATTGCATCTTATGTGGTTCAACCCCATCTGGGATAATCCCAGCCTTGAGAGCTTGTTCTAAACGTCTTTTCCTCAATTCTTCTGGCCCATCGTCATACTTACCCTTGTATTTGGCGATTCTGTCAGCTGGCGCCTGATAAGGCCAATGTGGAGCCGTGTACGTTAAACAACCAAAAAATGGTCTACCTTTACGTATGTCAGGGTCGGTGATAAATTCAATCCCTTTGTCAGTATAGTAGTCGGTAGAATAGAAATCTTCAGGGAATTCCTTGTCTGCATCGATCTTTCTGTCATCTTCAACGTACAACCATGGCGAAAACTTGAGCTCTTCGCCATTCTCATCTCTGGGAATATACTTGAAGTGATTCCCAGCACCAGGCAATAGAGTGAATGACTTCTCAAAGCCTCTCTTGATGGGCCAATACTCTGGCAATAAACCCAAGTGCCACTTGCCAGAGATGAAGGTGAAGTACCCGTCATCTTGAAGGATTTCCGGGAGAGCTGCAACTCTCTCATTTAAGTACCCTTCGTACCCAGGCTTCCCTCCAAATGTTTGTGGATGTCTATTCACAAATTCTGCCATTTGGCCCAATCCTGCAATGTGGTTATCTGTCCCCGAGAAAAGCATCGAGCGGGTTGGAGAACAGGCCAGGGCTGTATGGAAATCAGTAAACCTGATACCCCTATCTCCCAATTTTTTGAGGTTAGGCGTATGGATCTCTCCACCGAATGCGCTCAAATCGGTGAACCCCAAGTCATCTGCAACAATAATTAAAAAGTTTGGTTTCTTCCCTTCAGTCATGGCGGATGCAGGAAAGCGAGTGATAATTGCAAGCGAAACTAACAGGAGACCAAATCTCCGGAATCAATCCCCACTCTTTGCTGCTTATCTCGTATCGTTTATATACTTGAACCGTTGGTGTCAGACTGTGGATCCAGATTTCATCATATGTACGTGATGTCACGATTATGCAGCACTTGCAGCATCGCTGCTTAGCGAAAATAAGAAATGAGATCGGGAAACAAGTGGACTCTCCGAGCTAAGCGGGAGATAGGTGTACTTCATGACAAAAGAAGAGAGATAAGGGCAGATAATTAGAGGAGTATAGAGAAATCGAACATAGAGCAAGTAGCTTGAAGAATGAAAAAAGAAAAAGTAAGAAAAAGAAAAAGTGAAAAAGAAAGAGATATGATATATTCCGAGCGAAATGCACTACATGCATCAGAAAACCGTCTTACAACTTAAAAAATATTCTAATTATGGAAGAAGTGCCCCCGCCATTTGACAGCTCCGAATCACACCAGCGAAGGACATTAAGAAGGAAGCCAGAGCTCAGTAAATTTTCCTACACCACCCAATTTATTTATTGGTTTCCTGACATAATCATGAAGGCGTACTCTGAGACGCACGTTCAACAGTACTAATTGTTTCTGATGCTAAGCCCACTACTGAAATTTCCAACATACGAAAACACTGATTCCGCTTGAGAGGAACGCTAACTAAACACCCGATGCCTTCGTGCGGGAAAGACCCCATCTCAAATCTACATGGTCACCCAAATCTTATGACTTACTAATATTTTCCAGTTTTTGAATATCTCGGTGAATTTGTCGCCGGAATTACGTGCAAAATTAAACCGTTAGCTCGAAGTGCTGATTTTGTGTAACATATGTGTCACCAATTCCTGGGGAAGTACGAGGAGCCTACTAATGATTCCTTGGCGTATAAGAGGGCTATCAGAAACTGACAAGTCAGAGCTTACAAAATATTAGATATAAATAGAGATCGAACAATAGCCGAACTTTCTCGCTGAAGTGACTGACTTTTTGAATTTATAAATTTGTTCGCCTAAAATCGATAGAATCGCTAAAAAACTCAGCACCACTCTTATCTTATTTATAATAAAATGTCAGACCTCGTAGAGTTCGCCCACAAGAATTTGAAAAACATCCCAGCTGGTCCCGATTATGATTTGATGATCCAGGGAATTCCCTACAACTGTTTTGCTAAGGAATTGATGGAAAGACGTGTTGTAGCCCATGAACTTGCAATTGACTACGACACAGTCAGATTGAAGGACTTTGATAACGATATCGAAAAGCACCAAAACGGGAGGTATGAATACTTATCCAAAATATTTGGGAAAATAGAAAAAGATGCATACATTGAACCACCCTTCTATGTTGACTATGGATGTAACATTGTCGCCGGAAAGGGATTCTACTGTAACTTTAACACCACCTTTTTAGATTGTACCATCATCAAGTTCGGTGACGGAGTTTTGGTGGGACCTAATGTTACCTTTACTACGGCAACCCACCCAGTTGACCCACAGCAAAGATTAGACGGAGTAGAAATGGCATACCCAATTACCGTTGGTGACAACGTCTGGTTCGGTTCCAATGCCGTCATCTTGGCAGGTGTTACCATTGGAGATGGTGCTGTTGTAGCTGCTGGTGCCGTGGTTAACAAGGATGTTCCTGCATACACCGTGGTTGGTGGTGTTCCAGCGAAGGTGTTGAAGAAATTAACTCCTCCAGTTAAGAAGGAAGACAAGGAAGACGAGAAATAGACTATAGATGACCCTTCCCTCCGCTATAATTAACTTACTCTAGCTTAGAATGTTATCAAAACTATATAATCGAAATGCTAAGTTCCTTCAGGGCCAATGAAATTCCTGCATGTAGACACATACATCAAGAGAGTGCTGCACTATCCAGGGCAGTGCTTGCTTTGGTAAGCAAGAAGATATGAGCATACTGAGTGAGATAGATCTGATCCCGAGCCTTTTTCATGTGTTAGCGCGTTTCGAAAGTACACATTACACTTTGCGCATTTTTGGAAGGTACCACTCTACTTCTACTCTCCACCTTTCTTCATTATGTCTGACCTAGTTGAGTTCGCGCATAAGAACTTGAACAATATCCCAGCCTGCCCGGATTATGATTTAATGATCCTGGGAAAGCCGTATGACAGCTACACTAAGGTGTTGTTGGAGAAGCGTCTTGTAGCTCGTGAGCTTGTAACCGACTACGGTACGATCAGATTCAAAGACTATGATTTCGATTTAGAGAAACATCAAAATGCAAGGTATGAATATTTGTCCAAGATATTTGGGAAAATAGAGAAGGACGTTTACATTGAAGCTCCATTTTTTGTCGATTATGGATGTAACATTAAAGCAGGAAAGGGATTCTACTGCAATTTCAATACCACATTTTTAGATTGTAGTATTATCACTTTCGGTGATAATGTTTTGATAGGGCCCAATGTTACTTTCTCTGCTGCAACTCACCCAGTTGACCCCCAGGAAAGATTAGAAGTTGTAGACTTGTCATACCCGATCACCGTAGGAGATAACGTCTGGTTTGGTGCAAATGCGGTGGTCGTGGCCGGAGTTACAATAGGAGATGGAGCAGTGATAGCAGCTGGTGCCGTGGTTACTAAAGACGTTCCTGCATACACCGTGGTTGGTGGTGTTCCAGCAAGGGTATTGAAGACGCTAGCACCCCCAACCAACACTACAGAAAAAGTGCAAGAAACAGAACAGTAGGGCTATGTAAGTAGATATATGTACCGTTAATGCAACAAGACCTTCCCACCTCTTACACAGCTAGAAATGGATGGCCCCGTCACTATTCCGTGAAAACCATGATATTCCTGCATACAGCCCCACTATGCACCGCCCAAATTTTATTTCACAGTGTTCGCCTTCACCAGTTGTAACATTAGCAACAGCCCATTCAGACCGCTAACCATGTCAAATAATAGCCTGAGCAACCTCAATCTGAATACCAATCTGCAGTACATCCAGCCAGATACAGAGGAGGTTCCAATTAATAGCAAACCAGCTGAGAATGCTGCACCTTCAAGCTCTGGTAATGGTGCCGCTGGCGGAGCTTCGTCTTTCTTCACATCATTCACCACTCCCAAGGTCGATCTCTCTTCGGCTTTCAAGCCCTTTGCTCAGAATGCTTCCACAGGGAACAACAAGGTGAAAGAACGTCAATATACCGGAGGGGACACCTTGGACGAGCCGGTTTGGCACACACTCCGTAGAGACCTTGCTCAGATCGGTAAGCGTGTGGCCATTGTGGTATGGCCAATTCAATTACAGTCCCTTGCTTCCAAACAACAGCTGAGACTCATCGATTTTGCGCAAAGCAACGGAGTTCAGATTCCTGACCTGATCCTAAACAGTAGGATGAGACCAGCTGGTAGAAATAATAACCTGAATGGCAGCAATAACTTCGACGAAGATGATTTCGAAATAAACGATGAAGACGAAGACGAGGAGGCTAACGTTGCATTTGAAGACACCACTGCTGCATTGATCAAGAATAATTTGGACTGGGATTTGTGGGGTCCATTGATCTTCTCACTTGTGTACTCTGTGTCGTTGGGACTTGCTTCTCCCAACCTGCAAACCAACCAGGTGTTCTCGGGTACTTTCAGTTTCATCTGGCTCTTTTCGCTTGCAATTGGGTTGAACATCCAGTTACTTGGAGGTAATATTTCATTCATGTCGGCCATCAGTGCGAGCGGGTACTCGTTGTTCCCTATTGTAGTGGGGAGCTTATTGTGTTCGTTGATAATCAAGTGGAAGTTGATCAGGCTCGCTATGATGGTGGTATTGTGTGCATGGAGTATATATTCTGGTGTTTTGAGCTTAAAGTGCTCCGGAGTTTTACCAGGAAGAGTCTTATTGGCTATTTACCCAATAGGTTTGATGTACGCTGTATTGGGATGGTTGTGCGTGATAACGTAGTGGCAGCAAGAAGAAATAGAGAGTTCTTGAAAGAAAACGAGAGTGACAGAGACGATGATCCTGGTCAGATGATCTATAATTAATGGCGTATGTACTTTTTATTATCTATATCATGAAGAATATTAAGAAGAGCCCCTTGAAGAATGATGAAATATTAATCCTGTGGGAAGAAGTGGCCCCATTCTTACCTGATGTAGTGGAGCCTGAACTTGTGGCGGTCTTTGTAGAGCTGACAGAAAGAAGTGTCGTAGCCGAGTATGAGGCTGTACCGTTGGAGCTAGTGGCATTCTTAAGTATGTAGGAGGTGTCACTAGCCACCGTGAAGCCAAGCTGAGCAGTTTCCAAGTCAAATGTTGTGAAGTACTGACTCAAGAAGGCAGCTCCCAAGATCCAAAAGTCGTTGGTCGTGGTACCCTGGATCTTAGACGCGCAGTACCCTGTAAGAGCCAGCGATGTGTATGCATTTCCTGTGAAGTAAGATGATAGAATAGTCAAGGTTTCACCTCCACTTGTTGTGAATGAGATCTCAGCACTCTGGCTGGAGCATTTGAATGCATAGTTTCCCAATCCATCTGTAACCAAGTCTGACCCGAACAACTGCTCGTGGACAAGATTTGCGTCTGCCATGGGCATAACTATACCTGTAGTTCCCGTGTCAATGATGGCTTGACGGTCGTTGCCAGAGTTTGTGTAGTTGAGGTATTCGGTTGTTCCATTCTGGCTCTGGATTTCGATTTCTGTAGCGTTCATCAACCAGTAGGCGTTTGAGTTGGGTACCACGTCTGCGTAGACCACAGTGTTCTCTGGCGAAGCGAACGGATTGGATACCGAGCCAAGAAATAAGACCCCTCCGTAGCTCGAGGATGTTACCTCAGCTGCCGTGGAGCCCATGTACGAAGTTGCCGAGTTGTTTGTGTTTATAATTACCAGAACTATCTTCTTATCTATGACTCCTTGGGTGTAGAGCTGCTGGATAACGTTCTTGTGGTCCAACGTGAATGTGGCCGGTATTCCAATCACTCCGCTGATGTTGTAGCCATCGAAGATAGAGGGCGAGGTGTTAGCGAGCCCAATAGTGATATTTTGGAGCCCAATGGACATCGTGGGAGAGCGAACGGATAGCGTCAAGTCTGAACCGTTTGTGGTTACAAGGTCCCCGGAGACGACGTCACCAGAGTATGCCAAGTTGAACTTGGTGGACGAGTACCTTGGCACTCCGTCGTCGTCGAACTTGGCAGCGTCGGTACACGGTCCAGACGAGCAGCTCTCGTTGTAGATCCACGACATGGAGCTCCCTGTATCGATCAAGAGCGGGAATGTGCTGTTGTATGAAGATGCAGCGTCGTAGATGTTCGTATCGAGGTAATAAACAGCTCGAGACGAGTCTGTGACTATGTAGAAGGAAGTGTCCGTCAACTGCACAATGGGGAGAGACGACGAAGTAGCAGAACTAGCTGCGGATGCGAGCGACGATGTAGCAGAGCTGGCTGCCGATTCGAGCGATGAGGTAGCGGAGCTCGAGACCGTCGTTGAAGCAGACGAGTTCGAGGAACCGGGTGCACTGACGGAGTGCAACGACGAGGACGAGGACGACAACGACAACGACAACGACAATGCCGACGACGAAGCAGTCGCCAAAACTGCCTGCTTTTGGACCACATTGCTGCCCATGTCCAGCACTCTAAAGTCCTTCACAGGCAAGATGGCGGCAACATAGCTCACGATGAAGGGTATAGCGTAAAGCTTCATTGAACTATGTGCTATGCTACGAGATGTATATGTAGTTTCTGTTTGTGTGACTTGGGTCGAGCCTAAGTGTCAAGAAGGTGGCCGGCGTGGGAAGTGGTACGGTGCCAGGTTGAGGATGGAGATCTTGAACTACTAGAATATGCTTAGCCTGGAGAAGAAAAAGAAGGAACTGCAAGAAGAAGACCCTGGCTATAATAAATACAATCACTTGGACCTCTTCCTTTCCTTTATCAGTTCGTTGTACACGAAAGTTTCACTGGTAAGCATTTTTTTTTTTTTATTTTTTTTTGTTTTATGCATCGTAGTTTTTTTTTCGAAAAATTATTCCGTTTTCAGTCAGTGGTAAACAGTGCAGTGCGTATTTTACGAGCCGAGCGGGTACCCGCACAGTGTTAAATGTGTGCAACTTTAAGATCAAATGTATTCAATTAATGCAAAGCGTGTCCTCATGGTACCTTCATTTAAGTTCGATTAGGGTTCCATACGTTCTGATGGAGTATAGGGATGGAATGAAGACTGTTTCTAGCATATTAAAAATAAAAAGCCAATATTTGAATTGACGCGAGTAGCTTGTTGGTGTAGAGTATAGAATAGGAAGGTTGCTGCAGGTACTCGGTGGGCTTTGGAGAGATGTCCATTCAAGGGAATGCTTCTCTAGAGACAATGGCCATGGAATGGTACGGGATGGTATGGTATGGAATTCTTTGTCTCCTGAGCCCACGAATATGCTGATCTGAATAGTGCTAACATTAACTATATCGTTCCAACGCGCTTTTCGACTCTTCCATGAATCTAATTATATCTCGGCAGATGCGTATTTAGCATCTCTCTATGTTTTCGAGTTTGCTGCGGTGCGGTCTAACCCTACAGATAAAAACGTGTATTTTTTCCCTATTGAGATGTGGGACCTCTGCGGTCGCCTGTCTGTATGAATTTATTTTCTCTCACGTTGCTCGATCGCGCCATGTCCGAGTTCTGCACATAGTCCTGCACTTCTCAGGTTGGTTCCTCAAGAAGGATTTGTTCTGAGATTTTCGCCTCGATTGGCACAGTCGTCGGAGCTCTGCACTCAATTGGACGCTCGTAGTAAAGAAATTTCTGAAAACCAGGCGGCTTTCTTTGAATTCTGCATACAGCGAGGTTGTGGATACTCATTGGTGCGCGGGTTCGACTTCAACTAAAATTTTAACACTTTTATGATGAATAACATGGATGTGAACAATCTCTGAGAGCCATCAACGATGGTTCGTAGATTACAAAACCTGCCTTCCTACTGAGTTAAAATTTTTTAATGAGACTCGTACGTGATAGCAATAGGGGAGTTTATGTTTGTTTTTATGTTTTTTAGGGTACTTTAGTGTACTCACTCTTCTACAGTCCAATCATTCCAAGGTTGTAGTATTGTTGTTTTTTGTGAATAAGACCAGTAATAAATAAATTAATCCATACAGCTATAAACATACTACATATTATGAATTACCGATTCACTCTTCTTGTAGTCCATCAATCTCCCTTTGATGATCAATTCCTTTTGTTGCTTGGGCCTCTCTAGGTCATTCTATATTTATACAGTTCAATGTGAATCTTAGAGCTATTCAGGGAGGTGGGGAACCATTAATTTGCGTTTACGTTCTAGTTGACTATTTCCCTCCCTTTCTTCTCTTCTTCCTCTCCATCTTAGCAATTTCCTTCAAATCATCTTCACTGGGCTCGTATATATGCCACACTGTATAGTGAGGTAATCCTCCAACAGTGAAACCCATTTCTTTAGCCATCTTTCCAAACGCTTCAGTTTCAGCATGATTCAAAAATGTGAAAGCTGGGAAATGCACACCATGCCTGAAGATTTTTGCTTTTGCTAAAATCGAGACACCTCCAACCCCATCTAGGTCCAATACTTCATTGGGGTTCCCTCTAGCATCTCTCAAGTAAGCCAAGTGTACTCTCCAGGTTGGATATTCTGCGTAACCCTCAACAATAACATCGTCTTCGTCCAAAGTCTTTGCCAACTCCAATGCAGGATCAGATTCGATCCAACTGTTTAAATCGTACGGTTGCTCATTGCCTAAGAATGTTGGTAATGGTCTCCAGACGTTAGGCACCATTACATCATAATTATGCTGCATCAAGTCTTGGATTACAGTACCTGGACAAGTTTCAATATCTACATCTCTCCAGTAAACCCACAGGTGCTCAGCCTTCAATGCATTGGTGGTAAGCCAATTTCTAGCTCTTCCCATCAACTTTCTACGAATTCCCTGAACTTTAACGGCATGTCTATCACTGAACCCCTGTCCAATCATTTGACCAAAATCTTTACGGAAGATGGATACCGATCTGAAAGGCTTGGAATAGTCCTTGTGGTACAGTTCAGGGTTGTTGTAGGACTTTCTGACATTATTTATGTAGTCTTGATCCATGTATAATTGATACAAATCAGATGAGCCTCTAAATTTCTTGGATTTCCTCAATTCTTCTTCACTTTGGAACTTTTCCACTAGCGTACCATTTTGTAAATGTACAGAATAGTCGAATACAGTTTCCAAAGTTCTATCATCCGGAGAGCAATCAGACACCAAGAAGGCTATGTCGATGAGCAGATGATCGTAAGTGAGATTCATCAAATTGTGGAATGCCATTGGCAAAACAGATTCTGCATTTCTCAACGGCATAAGGAATAGAACAACGTCTCCCTGTGAAAGGCCGTCTCCAGTTCCACGATAATCGTTCAAATCGTAGTAACTGACGGTCTGCTTGAAAAGCTCATCTTCGCTAATGGGTGTCTTCTCTTCTGCTTTAACTCCACCTGCAGAGCTTTCGCTTTCTGCCAGAGAATTTTCTTTCAATTCTATTTCAACTATTCCATCTTTGGTAGCCTTGTACAACTGATGGCTACTCAGCTTCAACTTGTCCAATTCATCGGGTATCTGCAAAACCGGCCTGTCTTCTCCTCCTCCGCTTAAAAATAGGTACCAGAGTATGAAAATCGATGTGACACCTATGACAATTTTCTTGTACAACGGAGGGAAGGTATTTTGTTTCTTGGGAGTGAAATTATGGCTGTTATTTTAGTTAGTAAGGGGAACTGAGAAAGAGAGGAGGAAAGAGGGAAACGAGGTGGAAAGTTGCCATGGAAGCATCTGAGGAAGGAAGGACTAGCGTATCAGAGCCCGTTACGCCCATTAATACTACCTTTTTGCCTACTTCAGCGTAGCGAGAGCTTGGCCACGTTCCTACGGAGTCTCTGCGCATTTGGATCAGACAGTGCGAACTGGAAAAGCACACGGTGATCTACCGCAGAGGGACCAGGCACCAGTGACCAGTCAGTATCTGTTCGAAATGGAGAGAGATTGAACTGACCACTGTATCGCATGTACACCTACTACATCCAGTGCCATGTACAAACACCAATCCACAATGTTCTTCACCACTAACTAGGAACAGCGCTGTTTAGCCGAGAGTACTTCTTCTGCCTCGCATAGGCCACTGATCCACACGTTCGCTATCCATACAAGGAACAAAGTCGTCCATTAGGCGGCCATTTGGCGGCCTTTTCATATTTTTTACATACATTGGAAGGTCGGACTTCTTCCCATAATCATCTAATACCATGGCCGTATACTATCTAAGCTTCACCTGGAAGTAAACTCTGTCTGTAGAGAAAAGAAACGTCAACAGTGGTGAAGGAAATATTTTTTTTCTCTCTATTTTTTTTTTTTTAATTTACTTGTCCTACAAAGTTGGCGAGCCAAGCACGCGCTCAGAATGCAGATAACAATGAGAACATTCTTCAGGAGATGGTAGGCGTAGGGTTGGCGTAGGGTTGACGTAGGGGCAGGGTGGTAGTAGTGTTGTGAATTTGTGCGGTGGATGTAGAAGAGGTGGCAGATTTGTTGTTTTGGTTCAGTTTCTTATGTCGTTTGTTGGATATCGACTGGCGACTGTTAGGAAATATGTGTAGGATCTTGTATTTTAAGGTGTATACTGTAGAGAGGGTACATGGTGTACTGATATTAAAAAGATGTGTAAGTTAATACTGAATTTTCAAAAATTTGTTTATTTTGGTAAGAGCGCATGTAATGAGTTGGATACTTCTAAGCAGAGTGTATGGCGAAGTGTGTACAATGAATTGGTGTACAGTGTAGATCGCTGTGTTCTAAGGCAGAGTATATACTGAAGTAGTGTGCAGTGAAGTTGTGTACAGTGTGGATCACTGTATTTGAAAGCAGAGCGTATTCTGAACTAGTGTACAGTGTAGATCGCTGTATTCTAAGGCATAGTTTATTCTTAACTAGTGCATACTCTGGACCATTGCATTTTCTAAATTCCTGCAGTTCTTTTTACATTATGCCTGAGCTAGCATATTCACCGGATCATTGTATGCTGTGAATTATTGCGATTCTACTTGCATTATATCCAAACCAGTATATACTCCAGATAATCACATGTTCTATATCATTCTTTTTATATCATATCTAAACTAGTATATATCTGGACCATTTCATGCACGAAATCACTATACTCTTTTTATATCAAACTGTTTTTATATTATAAATGGTGCATAATCAGAATCACTAAACATCAAAATGTTCTATATCTGCTTGCTACTATTCAAAGCAACATGCTGCAGACCCTTACTAAAGCTCATGAACTTCTAGACAACTTCCTGCAACCCGTTCTCTACTGGTTTAAACCATTCCCTCTTCAATACATCCCAGCATAGTCTTGCCAATTCAACAGACCGGTCTCCGCTTTGTGCTTTGGCTTCAATGTAAACCTTCAATTTCGGTTCGGTTCCGGATCCCCTACAGGTGAAGCGCACATACTCGTCGTCTGTACCATTAGTTGGCTTAAGAACACTAGTGATCATTTGAGCTTTGGGATCGCTTGGAAGTATTGGTACATTGTTCTTGGTACCGGATTCATACCCAACAGTTAAATCTCTCCAGTAGTTCACCTTAAACTCTGCCCCAATATTGTCAGGAGCGTGAGAATCATAGGACTTTCTGATCACTTCATTGAATATATAATCGGTTTTTGAAAGATCGTCTAACTTGTAGTACCCATTGCATTCCTTAAAGTATCCATATCTTTGGTATCCCTCTTCAAGTTTATCAAGTGGAGAAGTGTATTTAGTAGTCGACAGGAACCACTCCTGATAGAGTTGTAACCAGATAGCGGCTGCAGCTATCCCATCTTTGTCATTGACCAGGCTAAACATATACCCAATAGCTTCTTCGTATCCAAAGGGTACCAAGTACCCTTCATTCTTCAAGTCAATTGCCTTGTTACCAATCCATTTGAAGCCAGTAAGAGTATCTTGAAACTTGAATCCATGATGATCGGCCATAGACTTGAGAATTTGGGAAGACACGGTAGAGTCAACCAAGTAAACATTCTTCAATGAATCAGGGTCTCGTTTCTCCTGCTCCTCTATTATCCACATCGCAAAGAGGAAACCAATTTCATTACCAGTTAGCTGCTGCCAATTCCCAGTCTTCGTTCTCACGGCAACGCTGAATCTATCGGCATCTGGATCATTGGCCACAACCAAATTACAATTTGCTCTGGAATCAGCTTCCTTGATAGCGAGATCAAGTGCCCCCTTCTCCTCAGGGTTAGGAAATGAAACTGTGGGAAAGTCGGGATCTGGATTACTCTGATCTGGAACCAGAATGTACTCCCCCCCTTCAAAGAGGGCAAACACTTTTTCAAAAATCGATAAGCCTACACCGTGAACTGGTGTGTAGACAAAGTCAAAATCAAGCTTCTTGGATATAATCAGTTCTCCTACATTAGCAACATAACGGTCTGTGGCTTCTTTGTACACAGATAATAACTTTCCAGATGCCAAACCTCTAGAAAACTGTCCCACTACATCGTACACAGAGTTTTCCGACCCTTTCCCCCAAGGAGCCAAGTTTTGATCTATAGCATGTGCAATGCCTTCGTCATGAGGTGGAATAATTTGACACCCATTTCCATAGTACACCTTGTAGCCATTATCCTTTGCAGGATTATGGGAGGCAGTAACCATTACCCCACACGAAGCTCCATAGTAATCAATAGAGAAGGGCACCATTGGGGTATGGCACACCCCATCAGCAGCACTGGTAGCGACTTTAAAATCAGCCTTAGTTGCAGATAAATCTATGGAATCCGATGAGAGATCCTCAGTTGATCCCAAGTAGTAGACCTTAAACCCTTTGTAGAGGGCAGCACTTGCTGCGAGCTCTGCAAATCTTTTGGAATGGTGACGATGATCATGTCCTACGACTATGGAAGGACACTCACCTCTACTTTCGGTCTTCCAGTTGTCATTAATATACTGAACCAAACCTTGAGATGCTTGCAACACGGTAACATCGTTCATGTGGGCAAAACCTGAGGTCATTTCTGAACGCAACCCAGCAGTTCCAAAACTGATTCGCTTGGAAAGCTTCTCAGTCAACTTCTTGGTACTTCCATCTCTACTCAATTGTTCGATTTCGCTTCTTGTTTTCGGGTTAATATCCACCTCAAGCCACAGGTTAACTAAACATTCGAGTGACATGATTGCTGAGTAGTTCAAAGAGTAAGAAAGGATGAGAGGAACCAACATCTACTCACCCAAATCACCACTCACTCATTGGAGATCCATATCTGTACTCCGGCCTGCATATAGCCATAATATAAACTACGATAAGGTTGCAATTTTAGTGTGCACCATTGAATGGTGGTTTATTTGGACCGTCTCTAGGTCTTATTTTGATTATCTATACAGATCTATATTACATTTTGTTGATATGCTGGGTAACCGTACATCTTGTTGCGAATTGGCATCAATTGGAAGCACTATTAATCGCATGCTCTCTCTGGCTTCGACTACTACTACGATGAGTATTCCAATTGGTATTCCAAAACGCTACTATTTTGTCCTACTCCTACGAATTTGACCTCCCCCGATTCTTTGAAGCCTGCAGTTTCTGCAGAGGTCACCAATTGTAGCCCGTGTAACGCAGTGTCCACTTCAATAGAGAACGCTCTGTCCAGCCATACTTTGCCCTTCTTGGTATATCTATGCAAGGACAAAGAATCTGATGAATCCAAGGTAATTATAACCGTGGAGGATGGGTCTATAAAGAAGTCCACAATTTTATTGGTAAATTCAATCGAATGTATGGAAACAGGCTCCTTTCTCAAATCGAACACCTCAAGAGAACTCAGTTCACTTTCGGAGGCAGAGGCAACTAGTAACCAATATCCGTTCATGGCGAACTTGATCAGACTTATGTTTTGATATTGCAGTTTGATGGAAGATATCGATGATCCTGTGGCGAGGTCAAATATGAGTATTTCTCCCAAGTTGTTTCCAAGAGCAAGCAAGGCACCATCAACATGGATGTCCGAGCTTGTCACCGATCCCGCGATTGTACTACTGTTCTTATACAAAGTCTGCAATTTCGAAGAATCATTCAAGGACCACGATCCATTTTCGTACACTATAATGAAGAGGGTTTCTACCGATGGATGTCTTATCAAGCTTGAGATGGCTAATTTGTCCCCATCTGTTCTAGGGAACTTGGTAAGATTGTCACCGATAATAATTGCTCCGTTTAAGTGCGAAACAATGGGCTGGATCTCTTCCTCGTATTGGATCATTAAAATGGAGCCTACGTCCATACCCTTGTGTGCAGATTTTGAATATTTTACAAGTGAATTATTGTCATCGAGCCTTATTAAAGCAATAGCTCCGGTCGAGGATCCTAATACGAGTGTGCTCGACTTACTATTGTAGTATGAAGCCGAAACCTTTTTGAAGGGATGAGAGGAAATGCTGCTGTTGAATTTGATTGATATCTGTTGGTTGCTTGCAACTGGAAGTGAGGGCTTCTGTGACTTGTGAAGTAAGAAGAGAGATTCCCTAGCTTTCGAGATAAGTTCAGCAGGTGGTGCCATGGCATTTTCAACTTGGCCGTCGCTGTGTTTCTCTTTCCCGTTCAGATCAATAACAGGGCTTGTAGCCAGACCTGAGCCCAGTGTTCCAATGGCAATGGATAACTCCTGAAGAGCCTGCTTAGCCTCATCCCTCTCTTTTATTGCCCTTGCTGCTACTCGTACAGCAGCGTCCTGGTGATACAAAGCAGCACTCAACTCCTCTCTCGATTTATGGAGCTGTTTCCTCAAAGTGAATACTTCTAACGCTAGCGAATCCCATTCATTCTGGAACGTGGAAAGCATCGAAGGAATGGAATTGAATGCAGGAGGTTTTGGTGCAACATACTTGGCACTCTGTACATTTACAGGGATCAAATCATCCACCAGAAGGGGTTCATCTGTAATAGGGTCAGTTCCTGACGAAGACACATATTTTTCTACAAGCAATCTCTCGAAGATTGCGCCACTTCTCGGTGAGATCACCGGGTCGCTAGCTATTTCTCCAGACACTAGATGAATGTTAGTACAATGTAAGAAATAGAAATAAATCCAAACTGAAAATTCTCAGTCTAGTTGAAAAGTTCATGGAAATCTCGGATCCAGTACATACAAGCACAATTCATTACAATGGTATCCTGTTACAGTGGACTAAAGAGCAGCGGGTGTTGCTTCTGTGTGTTTTCGTTTCTTATGGAAAAGGCATCTGTTGAAGATGGCTCGCGCACGACCAGCAGATAGTATACAGGAACAGCATAGACGTGCATGATTAATGCAACCATTTCGCAGCCGTATGGTAGTTGGACTTGGTAAGCTGTGGCATTCAGCAAGATGTGATACCAGTTCGTTTAGTTTGTCAGTTGCCAACTTCTTCTCTACATGGTTCAGTGTTAAAACAATTAGTAGTATGTTATTATATCCACTCTTTTTACCTTTTTTCTTTTTTACTTACTTATATACATATAACCGTCCAGTTCCTATGGCGGCTAATAAGTATGGCATTTAATGAGGTAGGGATTAATCAAACCAAGTCAATATTATTAATCCTTCTCCACAATAGTCCTATAGTACTTCCTCCTATGTTTCTTAGTATTGAAAAGTCCTAAGCAATGACCCAAAAGCGAAAAACATACAACCAACCACCCAGCGGCTGCTGCTGACCATATGAAGCCATAGAAGCCAACCGTTGTATGAGCCTCTGCCCCGTAGGTATCTTGTACGTCATTTACTTGCAGTTTGACGTACAACATCATTCCAGTTATCAACCCTGCTGCAATAATGTTTATGACAAATATAGCGAATTGAAACAAGAAGTTGATAAATGAAAGCATACAATTTCCTGGAGATAAGTAGCAACCAAGTAACCCGATCACAAGTGAGAGAGATGTTAGTGCCACGGTAGCAACAAGCAAGCCAAATGACGCCTTAACAAGACTTTTGACAGTAGCAAATTTCTTATCTAAATTACCTGGTAGCTCAATGTTAGAACTATTAAGATTATCCCTAAGTGCCTCAAGCTGTGACCTCACTGTGTCGCTCATAGTGTAGGTAGCTAAAGTATTATTCAACTCAGCCTTGATGACAGTTGCTGGATCAAATACGTACGAAGCTTTCGGCTTACTACACCAAGTAAAGTTTACGTTCGAATTATCATAGCTCGTTGACAGTACTCCGTTTTTAATAGTAGTTGTTTTGTCAGCAGATCCTCTACAATAGCCCCAATATGACACGGAATACACATCGGCAAATCCTAGATCTCCGAAGGAGTATGTACTATCAAGATTGTTGATAGTTTCTTGCAAAGAACCGTAAGCGTAAGTTGTGGATGATACTGCTGACAGACTGGAAGAAGTACTTGCACCCAATGATTTAGTGGTAGTAGGCTGCAACAAAGTAGCGTCTGTACTGGTAGCTGCGGAAGTATCACCATTAATGATAGTTCCTGCAGTTGTAGATGCAGTATCCACCAAAGTATCCGCCGTTGTAGTCGGGTAATAATACCCATTGTCCCACGTTGTGGCTCCCCCCTCTGTTGCTGCTGCTGGCGATGAAGCAGTTGTAGTAGCTACAAGCTGCAGGGTTAAGGTTGTGTCACTCATTGTCACAGTTGTAATAGGTGAGTAATACACAATTGTACTATAACCATCCGCTGCTGCGATAGTGTTTCCAGAGTCACCCAATGTCGTCGTCACTACTTCATTGTTAGACAATTTTGTTGTAGCAGCGGAGGTGGTAGTTACTGGATTTTCACCAAATGCTCCAGCATCTCTTTTCTGAAATTTATCAGCTGGAAATATTGATGCCAAATTTATATCTGCCACATAGAAGTCTATGAGGTAGAATTTTGTCAAATAATCGACCTTTTTGTAGGACGAAACCAAAGCAAATACTGCTAATAGAAGCTGAACAATGGTCCAAAATATCAATATGAACCGGAAGATAGTGAACAACATGTTTAATTATAATTTGTTGAAAAATTAATTAATGGAAGTGATAGAGAATTAAAAAGTAAAGTAATGCAAAATGTTTGGTACCGATGTGGTGTGTATGCGAGGTAAATGATTATGCGAGTGAGTGTCCGTAAATATGTACGGAATTATGTAAGGTGGTGTACGAATTCGTACAATGAAACTCTGTAGTGAATTATTGAACACAGTACCGGTCCGCAATAACAGTTAAGGATTATTATCTGAAGCTTAGTAGTAATGATTCTTAATTATTTCAAGTTAGATGTAGTCACCCTTATTAAAGGATTATTTTGCTCTCTTATTATCCTTGAATTTATTTCTCTTTTGTTGCAACGGCAACCTGTCTCAATTTAAGCTTCTTATCTTAATTTTAGTAATTAAAGGTGAACAAGCTTTGTTCAGTGAAGTACTCCTACTACTTTAGTCTCTGGTATCGCTGTTTAAGTAGTTCTCTGGTTATGGAGGTACTCCCACTGTTAATAGGGAAATAGAAAGAAACTTTTCAAATTATAAATTCTTGATAGATTGCCAGCACTATATATATGGTTGACTTCACTATGAGGAATCATTGATTTAAGCTTTAATAAACTTGTTTTAGGTCCAATTAAGGTACCAGGTTGACAACCAAGTTAGTGGTGGAAACCTAAATTGTTGCAGCCATTTGCACGAATATGTTCGATTTGAGCCGCACGAATGTGGCTGGTCTTGATTTCCTGATGTTCCCCGGAAAAGCGCTGATCCTAAAAGGTAGCAGACTGCACGATAAACTAAGTAGGTTTTTGGAACCTACGTTGCTGTTCGAAGGGGACGTAGGCACTAGATGAAGAAGACTTCAAATTGCTGTAAACCAGTGTACAAGCTTGCGTAAGTCAGCCACTCTGTCACCGGAGAGGTTATCGTATTCTACTGCACGTTCATTTTTTTGGTTGGTAACCTTGCGTTTTTTTTTTTTTTGCTCGCATTCTCACTCTAAATTGCTGGCTCAGTTGTGATGTGGATTAAGCTGGCTTACATTCTCCTGATCCCACACACTCATTGATCTCGTCTAAACGAAGTAAGCGAATTAAGCGAGAAAATTTGGTAAAGCATTGCATGGTACGACGCAGGGATCAGGATAAGTTTACGGGATTGTTTCGGTTAACGTTCGTTAGAATTAATACACTGTTGCGAACTGGTGATCGCTTCACCATACCAACCGTGGTTAAGCAATAAAAATACCATAGGCGCTATTTAATTTAGTAGTAGATTATTTCAAATGGTTAGGAATATATTGTCATTAGCAATGATTGGAATTTTGCTGGCCACTTTTAAACATTTTTTACTAAATAGTCATGTTAGAGCCATGTGATACAATTATCGAGATTTGCGCTTCTACATGTGCAACTACAAGTGTAAGTAAATATAAATCAGCATCTCTATATTACATACTATACATATCATTCTTCTAAACCGTCAAAGCCATCTAAGAGTTCCTGCTCGAGCTTGTCTAAATCCACTTGCTCTTCATCCTCTTCCTCACTCTTCTCTCCATTTGAATCTAACCTATTTCTTTTGGCAGGCAGTTCATCGTTATCATAATCTTTTTCATCATCATCTTCATCTCTGCTTCTCTTCAATACACCCTTTCTTCTCTCTTCATCTTCAAATAACTTCCCTTCTTCCTTTTCTTCCTGTTCAACTTTCATTTCCTCATCCCCTATTGATTTCTCTTCCTCTTTTTCCTCTTCATCGTCATCGTCGTCGTCGTCATCACCTTCGTCGTCGTCACTAATTCCGGCTAAAAACTCGTCAACTTCATCCTCAACCCCGTCCAACGAATAATCTACAACAGAATCACTTCTGTCGTTGACTTTATTTCTCTGCTGTGACAAAAAGTCTTTGTAATTCAGTAATTCTCTATCCGAGATGTACCAGTCTTTGTCGCTTGACTCAATCAAATATTCTTCTTCGTCAACTTTACTCCAGCTACTTAAGCATGCAAACAACCAATCAGGATTAACTATCTTGACATCAGGTATAAGTTTCCTTGCAACACGGACTTTGAATGTGGGTCCTATCTTATGAGCTTTAGATCTATTATCTCTACAAACAACATGAGTGACTTCAGGGTAAAGCTCATTGACGACTTTCACCCCAAATTGCTTACACCAAATTACAATATCAGCCCTTTCCAAATTGATTCCAAGAGGTAAAATACCTGAAAATAACACCGTAACTCCTTCTAGGCATCGATGCTTTAAAGAAGGAATTATCAGTGTCAAGTCAGGTCTCAATTGCAAGTTTTCAATACTATTCTTCTCCAATATCTCATAATATTTGGAGTGAATTCGTTCCAATGCCTTTTCGAGTGAAAATAATTCAGTATCATCGTCATAAAGTAAATTTTGCTCAGGAGCAGGAGTAGAAGCACTGTCACTGACATCAGCCGCTAAATCTGTAGAGGGTATTGCAGAATCATCTTTCAGGTTTTCAGAGATACCGTCGCTATTTTTTTCGTCTTCCTGAATCATTTCCAAGTCGTGCTGCAATTTGGCAAGAGGTCTGTCATGTTGCTGCTGTTCAATCGATATGTTTCTTGTGATCGATTGTTCAAGAAGTAAGTTTGTGTTGTCTTCACCACCTCCTAGTTGAAGTATTCTCTCCACTGGCGAGGGATTCAATTCCTCACCGTTTGTTTCTTCATCTCCATTTTCAACCTGCCCGTCTTCCTTACCTTCTTGATCTTCTTGCTTTTCTTCTTCGTCATCACCAGTTTCCTCTTCGTTTTGTTCCTCCAACTTAGCTATACTCTTCCTTTTCTTACTAGGTCCAATCAATTGCCCATTCTTCTTCGGCAAAAAGCTGGAATTGATATCCCCAATACCCACAAAGAAATCATACGGCACAACCTTCACCAAATTGCTTTCCCATTGCCATACATCACCTCTATCGTCTATAATGGCAACCATAGATTGATCTACTGGGAATAATCTCTTCAAATTCTTATGAGTCAATGAACCACTTTCGTCTCTACTCAAAATTCGATCTCCAAAATATTCCCCAGTGGGGTCAATAATTTTGGCAATGGCCAAGGCATAGTTTCTAGTGGCCATGGTATATATGTGTAGTTCATAAAGGTCAGATATCTTCTTCAAAAAGTCCTCTAATCCAGGACGAAGCTTTACGTAGTACCAACATTTCGTTGGAGTGAATTTGGGACCAGTCCAGCCTGGTGGCATTATGGGTTCCTCTTCTAAACAGAAACTCTTGACATCTTTCACAGATTTGTAATTCGGATTCAGTGGATCGCTCTGCCATTCCCCCACAGTTGGGTCCACCGTAGCGTGAATTACCGTTTGATCCAAATCAACAACTAATATCAACTTACGTTCATCAAGTAAGCGATCAGTTGTGTTCTGTTCAATCTTGGTAGCTTCGTCGTACGATATTTTCAAGCCAGTGCTATCATGAGACATCTCAATCTGAGCCCTGTCTTCGTAGTTGTATCCCGTGTAATCCTTCTCGTCTTCGACAGCTTTCCCACAGAGGGCACATAGCCCACCATACTGTACTGAATGATCGCAGGGTTCTCTTATAGAAATAAGCTCCGACGAAGAAGAATGTATCTGCTGACCGATCTTGATGTTTACTTGTTCAACTTCGCCCTCAATTGGGCTTTCAAACGTGCCTACTCTCTCCACCTTTTTCTGGAGAGGAGGGTCCTCAGTAGAAGCAGGGTCATCTTCGTGGTCCCAGTACTTGTAAGTGAAAAGCTGTGTGTGTTTTGGTACGGTTTCGCCAACCTGGCAATTGAGCGTAGCAATGGTTACCGGAAAGGGAACATATTGCGGCAATGTTACCGTAGTTAATTGTGGCATAGTGGGAGGTGAGTGTTTGGTATGAAAAAATTCCTGTCCTCTTTCCCTATGCTATCACTTCTTGACTTTCCTTTCGAAAATATAGTACTTTTCTTTTTTTTTCTTTTCTTATTCTGCTCAGTAGCTCTCAGCTCTTGCTATAACCCAATCCTAGTTCCAATATCTTATCTCGTTATCGTTAGGCACTGAAGGCTGCTAGCTTTGCTTTCTCGCTTATGAGTTTTTTTTTTTTATTTGTTTTTTATATGCCGTTAACGCTAGGTGTGCATATAAGCAACCAGGTACATGGCTCAAGAATAGCTTAAATTGGAAGTAGGTGGTTCCATACAGGAGGAACGCACTGAGTTGGTGGGGAGCGTAAGGCTGAGATGCCGGGTGTGGTGAGTCGGGGTGAGAGGGTTACATGGTATTGGTAATACTGGGGCTATTGTACATTATTTGTATTTGTGTTTTGGTGAAAAGGGCGTTATCCTTTTGTTTCTATATTACACTATATATCTTCAAAATCGTCCTCGTCTGAGCTACTGACTGGTGCAGGTGCAGCTGCGGGTGGTGTAGTAGATGGTGCAAGTGCAAGTGCAGGTGCAGGTGCTGCGGCATCATCTTTAACTTCCCCTTCATCTTCAAGGGCGTTTGTTATTTCGTCAAACATATCTTCATCGTCATCTGAGGAAGCAAGGTCTGCTGAGTGTGCTGCAACTGGTAGAACTGCTGGATTTTCTTGCTCCTTGAATTCCTCCGTCGTTTCCTTCTTGACTGTGCTTTCAGCTGTGTACCCCTTTTCTGCTTCCTGTTGTTGAGAATTATCCAGGCTCAGCGTATTAGGATGTGAAGCTGTAGCTTCTGATATTTCAACACCTGAAGACGTATTTGCAACTTCTGATGGTTCGCCTCCTGTTATTACTGACGAGGGCTCGATGCTTTCGGTCTTGATATCCACTTCTGTTGCTTTGGTCTTAGATGCGTCGGTTTCATTTGGAAGCTCTGTTGGTTGAACAGCCTTTGTAGCAGCTTGCTCTTCAGTCGCCTCCGCTTGAGACTGATCCAGAGTAGCCACTGGTTCCGTTTGTGGAGGCTGCAGTACAGGGAAGTCAAATTCTGGAAAGTCCCCAGTGCCAAACCCTCCATCACTTTTATCGTCATCATCTTCATCAGAATCTTCCAACCTATCGTCCCTTCTTCCCTCACCAAAGCTAAATCCAAATTCAACGTTCTCTCTAGCTTTTTCTCGTTCCTTTTCTTTAGCTTCTCTTTCTTTGATAAGAAATTCAATCTTCCGCTTTTTATTCTTCTCAGCTGTTCTCACGGACAAGATCACCTTTTTAAAAGATTCATCAACGATATTTTCGTAGATGGCCAGAATTTCAGGAGTCTTCAGATGAGTGGCATACGGTGAGAAGTACGTTTCAGCTTGCAAGTAAATGTTTGATTCACGTAACTTTTCAGTAGCAAAGACCTTCTTTTCTTTCTCCTCTCGCAATTTCAACCTCTTCTGTGCATACGCTACAATATCAAATTTCTTCTGCGATTCAGCACTCAATATCGGTTTTGAAGAATCGTCTTCTTTTTCAGCTGCATTACCCTTTTCTTCATTTAAATCTACGCTTTCGACGTCTGTATGCTTTTCTGGTCTGTCACTCATAACGCTGTCCTCACCATCGCTACGCTCCTCATCTAAATCATCCAACTCCTTTTCAAACTTATCTTTCCACTTAATTTCATCATCATCAATCAATTTATACAATGATTTCTCGGTCAATCTGCTTTCTTCCACCATTTTCAATCTCAACTCTTTCAAATCCGTCAATCTATCCATGAAAATAGGAGTCTTTTGATAAGTATAATCAGGTGGAAGGTCAGGCAAGAAATGAGGGACATATTTTGGCTTTCCACTTTTCTTTGGGACCAATTCCGTTATTTCATAATGCTCGTTGGTGAAGAAAAGTAAAGAAGGATCGTCGTTAGTGTATTCTACTTCTTTTTCTGGGTTTATGGAGTCATTGGTGAGTTTGTCGAGAGTCTTGATGTCTTTCATGTACGTAAAGCCCCTCAGCTTTTCATACTCTTCAAACAAGTGCAGTGGCTTTATCCTTCTCATTTTCAATAAAAGGTCTATATCACTTTTAGAAGGTTTGCTCTTCCGCTGCATTTCCGTGAACTGATGCAATTGTTTACTTAAATCGAAGAAGTAAATCGAAGTCAAATCCTTCAATCTCCATATGAATTCCTCACTGAATTCAAAGTCTTTGGATTTGAGTATCATAGCAATGACTTTAAAAAGGAAGAGATCTACCGGAGATGTGGTGTTTATAGATAAATGGGGTTTGTTTAAAAGCAGCACAGTCTCTGGGGACAACCGACGGTCCTGCGGGGGGATGTAAGGGTTCGCAATTGGTATATATTCGGGCTCAATAGGATTCAGGGCTACTGGCTTCGAATCTGGTATCTGCGCTGTTGTAGTTGGTACGTGAGCGGTTAGAGCTTCGCCGGCGTCCACATCTGGAGCTGATTCAATCTTTGGCCCTGGTCCTGCTTCTGCCAGTATTTCCAAGCCTTTCTCTTGGGGTTTATTCTCTGCTGGCTGCACAATAGCCAGTTCTTCTTTCCGTGAATCTATTACCAGAGTTGGTTCATTTCCCTCAGACTGAGCTACATTGGGGTCAGAATCCACCGTATTTTGCTTAACTTCTTGGGTTTCCTCTGACCGCACAGTCTCTGTCAGGTTAGGTTCATGTACTTTTGGCTCGTCTTGTTTCGGTTCATCTACTTTAGTCCCGTTCTCCTCAGACTCAACCTGTTTCGGTTCACTCGATACGGATAAAGGCTCAGATTCCTGTTTCTTCTCTACATTTCCACCGCCCAAGGCAGGCGTCTTTGATTCATTTGATTCCTCAGTGTCATCTGCAGCAGATTCTCCACTCGAAACAGTATCCTTATCTTCTCCCACTGTCGTTTCCACTAGAGTTCTCTTCGGCGTCGCACCATCACTGTCCTTGACTTCTACGTCTCTGGCAACTGTCAGCGAATCCTCCAGGGATTTATCCTTTTCTGTTCCTAGATCATCTTCTCTGGGTTCGGACCCAAGTTTGGTGGAGTCTCCCATGTCTCAAGATAAGCAATGATTCGCTAGCTGGCCTTAGTGGTGTCTACAACCTTCTTCTACACTCCACTTCCGATTTTTGGTGCAAACAAAAGGGCCAGGCATATCGGTGCGCGCACGACCTCTCATGAAGTATACGCTGCTTAAGTTTTCTATAGTGATTGGGTTATAGGCTTGGTTAGGCTTGGTTACTGGCTGGTATACTAATTAATTCGTTTATTTATTTCACTCTTCTTAATATTGACAGCTATCTAGGTTGCTCATTGAAGTATTCCATTTTGAGACATTTCATTGTGTTCTCCATAGTGAATGAGTTACTGGAAGGTATACTTATTAATTCGTTTTATTTATTTGACTCTTCTTAATTTGACACCTATCTACGTAATTCATTGAACTAGTCCATTTACAAAACATTTCATACTTTATTATCTTCATTTGAAGCATTTGACGTAGTTTATTTTTCTTTTTTTGCATTTGTTTTTTTCGATTTGGATAATTTCTGATTTGGCCCGCTTTAGTTGGATAAAAGGTATTCAATAGCACCTTGAACGCTACCACCAGTTCTTCTTAAAGCTTCTACGTTTCTATCAAAGTCAAAAAATCCCATATCGTTAAGTTGCCTAAGTTGGTTTTCGTAACGTTCTTCTGGTGGTCTATTGTCGGCTGGAGCAGCGGCGTTTTGGTTTGCACCTGCACCGCCACCAAACATGGCAAATGGATCTATTGGGGGCATTCCACCTGGGAACATGGATGCAAATGGATTGGCAGCAGCAGCAGCAGCATTAGTGTTGGTGTTGCTGTTGGTGTTGCTGCTGGCGTTGCTAGTAGAATCAGCGTCTGAGTCTCCAGTTGCTGACCCTGGAGCTGGGAATGCAGAGGCTGCACCTCCAGCACCAGCTCCACCGAAACCTCCTCTACCCATTTGCATCATACTTCTCATCATTTCCGGGTTGCTCATCATTTGTCTAAAGAATGGACTTTGCAACATTTCTCTGGCTTGAGGACCCATAGCTCTCAATTCAGGTGACTGGTTGATCATAAAGTCAAGCATCTGCGGATTGGAAAACATCTGGTTCATTTGCTCTTGTACCATTGGGTTTGACATCATTTCCGCCATCTGGTCTGGATCTGGCATGTTTTGGTTCATACCTCCGTCTGGGCCAAACATGGAGGAAGATGGCAACTGGGTGTATCCAGCATACCTTGCGCCTGTTAAATCTGCCAATGGGTTGAAACTACCTTGGCCAGAGGCAATGTTGGATGGAATTCCGGCACCAGTTCTACTAGCATTGGTCGCTGGGCTGGTGGTGGAAGAGTTCAGGGCAACTTCAGTAGATGGGGAGCTAGTCGCACCAGAGGTAGCGTTGGGCACTCCTGCACTCTTGACCAAATGAATTGTGTGACCGCTCTGCACCTTGTAACTCGCGACAGTTTCACCATCCTTCAAAACTTTTCCAGAGTAGATTAATCTCTGGCGTTCAGCAGGGATCTCGGATTTGGTTTCAATTTCCTTCTTCAACTCCAACACAGTGTTGGAAGGCAAAATGGAGACTTCGTACTTCGTGTCTCCAGACGACTTTATGGTGATACTGATCGAGTCGGACATTTCGCTGGCTATAGATTTGTATCGATCAAAGAAAAAGTGTTCGATATATGCTGTGGGGCGGATGCTACTATGTGTTCAGTTGGATTGCCTGGGCCACTTCATTATCAGTTGGGGTGGATTTCGGTTTTGTGATTTAATGCGTGGGAATCAAGAATATTCCAGAAGAAGCCTGCATACAGAGAGCGGCAGAAGGGTTGCAGATGCATCATATGCGCATGGAGTTGGTGCCGGAGTTGTTGCAGAGCAAGAGAGAAGAGGGCCTATAGATTGGGTATAGAGTAGCGCATTAGCGGTGTATGCTACGCTAGTGTTCCTCGTTGGTGTGCTACATTCAGTTTTCGTTTTTCCTATTTTGTTGGTATTTTATTTCCTAGCTTAGGCTTTAGTTGCACCGCATTAATTGATTGTTCCATAGTCCCTCAACTTGTAAAAGACAGTATCGCCGAGTTCATGCTGGATCACTACATCATTCAATACTAATATTTTTATGAGCTCGTTCAAACCATCTGGTGGAGACTCCACCCAGCCGCCATCGACTTCACTGTTTGCTGCAGATTCATCCAGTTGGCTAGTCCTTCCTTCCACCAACTGCCGTATAAACTGCAGTCCAGCATCTATATCAGTACCATGATTCTTGCTGCTTTCTATCATTATATACTTTAAATATGAACTGACCTTCCTATCCGCACCTCTAGCTTCTAATTTTAACTTGTCTACAGACTGTGATCTCTTCTCTGCTGCTCTTCTTTCTAATGTGTCACTATCCTCACTTAGGCTGCTGCGAAGCTTCTCCAAATTGCCTATTTTGGAATCCAAGGCTTCTAGTCTCTCTTGCTTCCTCTCGATCTCACTATCTATTAAGCCACTCAATTGCTGATAGTCGTCTAGTATCATCTGCAAGTAGCCACTTTCTACTTTATTCGCCCGTGTTTCAGATCTCCAGCTGCTTAAGATCTCCTTCTGTTCTCTTACTAGTGACTGTGTGACACTGTATGCAGTAGCCGTCCCTATTACATCATTCTTATCTGGGAAGTAAGCCAACCTGCTAAAGGCTTCGTACTGGGCAATTACTCTCTTTTTTGTGTTAAGAATATCGCTTTCTTTCTGCTGCTGAAGATCTTCTCCCTTTTCTAATTTTAAAATTGCGGCGTCAGCCTGCCTTATGAATTCTTCTGTTCTCGAAATATCTTTAGATAGTCTTTGTTTATACGCAGATGAGGTAGTTACCTTAGACGAAGAATCGCCCGTGTTGAAAGAGGAGAGTAAGTCCAACTCGGTAGTCATGGCTCAGCTAAATACTAGGCTCTGGGCAATTTAAATAGATCTTCTCCTAGAATTCTCTTGGTATTCAACCTAAACACGTCAAGGTGTATTCTACAGGTCAAAATCGCTCAGAGGTGTAGTGCTAATGTATTCCTGCATGTAGTGTCATGATGTGCAGAGTGTTCATTGACATTTTTTTATTGTCAATATTTTTCAAATAGACAGAAACAACCCAGCACTTGCTTCAGTATAGGAAACTACCACTAATTATGTCCTCGATCTCCCAAGCCGCTTTACAAAACCTTGATGAACCTTCAAGAAAGGAAATAATGCAATTCATCGAATCTGAGAATTCGAAGTCCAAGGTTCAGATGTCAATTCACTCGTTCACTGATATGTGCTTCAAGAAATGTAATGCTCACAAGCCTATCACTAGTGGGACTTTAGATTTTGCAGAAGAACAATGTTTGACAAATTGTTTAAACAGATTTTTGGATACCAACATTAAGGTTGTACAGGCTTTACAAGGTGCTCAAAAATAATCTGCCAGAGCATTCTGATTATATTATATCTATATGGATTGCTACAAAAAGGTTGTCATGTCCGACTGCATACGGGGCCATTTTGCATTGACATTGTCATATTTATATTTTTATTGTACATAGTATTGGCAAATAAATGCCAAAGAGAGATGAAGAGATGTTAGAGCAGGTGAAGTTAGCGGGGGGTGGGTTGTATAGAGTATATATATGTAGCTTAATAGAGTTATACATAATGGAGAAGTCGAGTAAAAGAAGTGGGTACTGATCTATGTAGCGTGAGCATTGGAAGTACTTCCTATTTGGGATGGGTTAAGTACTTCAAGAACTGTCAAACGTAACGTACAAGATATAGCAGTAGGATTTACTTGATACTGTCATACAATATATATTAAAGTAGAGTTTATCTATCCTAGAAAGTAAGAGGGAACCATTTACTTGTAATTCATCGAAGCACCAACTGTTTTGTATGAATGGAGTTAGTCTATTGCAGCAGGCAGAAAGAGTCCCAATAGTTCTCGATTCGTCGCAGTCATCTTATCAAGGTCGCTTTGGAAGGCTTCTATCTCTCCGGCACTAGCTGATATCTCTTTCAATATGCTAACATTATTCTTTGTTGTACTCAATATGTGTGATTTCTCTTCCAGATCTTTGATATATTTAGTTAGTCTCAAGTATAAAACCGACCATGCACCTAAGAAGTCATATTTATACTGCAATAGTGCAAGCTTTCCTTCATGATCCTCTTCTGCAAATAATTCTATTATACATTTATGTATTAGTAACCCTAATTTGATTGACGTAAGTCCAATCGAGATATCTGCCGTTTCCAAAGTCAGTGGGTTAACTATAATCTGATTTACAGAAAACAATATTCTTGAAAGGCATATAATAACATTTGCACCAAGGTGATACTTCACTACCTGGATTATGTTGCTGAGTAATAAGTTTGTCAACTTGTGTGAAGAAGATCCACTTATATGTTGTATGGATTGTAGAATATTCTCGTTCACTAGGGAGACGAATAATAAATTTGCAGAATCAAGGGAAGTTGACTTCGCTTGTGCCTTAATTGAAAGGAGTTTCGTAATGGATGGGTACGCCTCAGAAAGGAGGTAGACAGATATAGGTTCAGGAGTCAAATTGGGCAAGTAGGAAAGGGACACTTTAGTTGACTCGATGAAAAGGTCAATAAGCCCACTTCTAGTAAGGAACAGATGTGATGCCTGCTGATTCACTAGTAAATGCAAAAGCTGGCACCCTCTAGTCTTAAAAAGAGGTTCATGATCCTCAATGACATTTAGGATAAAGGAAGTTATCAATGGCCAGTACTCGGAGTCCAGAGAATCGATCCGCTCAATCAAATACCAGACCATGGATAAGGAATCCACCCTATTTGAATGTTTCCAATTTCTTCTTAGATCTTCCTCCTCCGAGGATGTTGACGAGAACCCCAAAACTGGCTTAAGACCACCTAAATTGGAATTGGTCTCGCCGGCACTTTTTTTATACCCTGAAGTGGAAGATATCTTTGGATGAAAGCTACTTTTCGAGACAGCCAATAAGTGAGGCATTAGGTACTTTTGGATGTATGTAGGAATACTAATCTGTGGAACTAGAGATATATAAGTAGATGCTAACTTGGAATTTTCTTGTGAGGTCCAAGGGAGATTAGGGTTGACATGCAACGTAGCAGCAGACACTAGCTCTTCGCTAGCGTCTTGGAGCGAGGATAATACTCTCAACGGATGAGTGTATCTAGCAGACTCCAGTGCACTATTAAGGTCAAAGTTCCATGATTTATCCTCAACTTGTAAAGATTCAACAAGAAACCCTATAATGCCACTTTGAATCAATTGTGATCCATTTCCTTTAGTAACTACACTTTCTAACACTTTCCAAAGCTTCTCTACATTCAAACTTGAGGACGATGTCTTAATTTGATCTATCGCTTCTTGTACAGAAATGTCCTCAAGCTCTCCGCTGACAGAGCTAATGCTATCTGTCACCAGAGATGATCCTTCACCGCTTACCATTATATAAGATATACCAGTATGTGCACGGTGATATCAGCTAGAAAGAAAGTGCTTCTCTCCATACTAATTTTTCATTTTTCTCCATAGTTAAGCGGTGATCCATATCGCAGCCATATGGAAATGCGATGTGGATGTTTCACGAACGAGCTGACCTAAAGTTCTTCTTTAAAAGATACGCTATACATTATACGAACGATGGTATTTCGAGGTTCAATTACAAGATTGGCCAGTGCTAAACCTTTCAAGTTACCATTGGTTATTTCAGATGAAATCTCACACGCTCTCTCGACTAAGTCACAGGCTGTAGTATCGCTTGAGTCGACCATCATAACGCATGGTTTACCATTCCCGCAGAACTTGGAAATGGCCCAAGAGGTTGAGCATACTATCAGAAAAAATGGAGCGATTCCTGCCACATGTGCTTTCTTAAACGGTAAACCACATATTGGATTGAGTAGCTCCCAATTGACATCTTTGGCAGAGCTGAAGCATGCCAACAAGGTGTCGCGCAGAGATGTCGGATATGTTATGGCCAATGGCCAAAACGGTGGAACTACCATTGCTCTGACCATGATATTGTCTTCCATGGCAGGTATTAAGGTGTTTGCCACTGGTGGACTAGGAGGTGTCCATAGAGACGGCCAGTTTACGATGGACGTTTCAGCTGACTTGACTGAACTAGGTAGGACGCCAGTGACCGTAGTTTGTGCTGGGCCAAAATCCATTTTAGACATTGGGTTGACATTGGAATACTTGGAGACTCAAGGAGTTTTTGTAGGAACCTACAGTAAAGATTCGAAATCAGTAGACATTCCAGGGTTTTATGCTAAAGAGTCCGGATTCAAATCTCCTTATGTCTTTAGTACCTACGCTGAAGCGGCCAATATTATCCACAACCAGAACAATGTCATGAATTTACAATCGGGTTCTATACTTTGCATTCCCCCATCTGAGAAAACCGCTTTGCCCTCTGAAATGATTCTGAAAATCATTTTAGAGGCTAATGAGGAAGCAAAGACATCGGGGATCAGCGGTAAGGAGCTCACCCCATTCCTATTAGGAAGAATTGCGAAGGTAACTGAAGGTAAATCAGTCAAGAGCAATATAGAATTAGTGCTCAACAATGCAAGAGCTGCAACAGAGATTGCAAAGGAACTTTTGAATATAGAGAAGGATGAGGTATGTATAGATTCAGCATCTACAATTTAAGAATCGTAATGACTACAATACTTACATAGATACACTTATCTCTAAATTATTCTTTGTGTTGCATCTCCTGATATATTTTCTACAGACAAGGCATAATGTAACTTGAAGATACATGATACTAATATACTTTTAGCAACCTGTAAGTTTTCAGCCGACTTCGAATATCATGAAATCGACTTCGACACATTCGCTGAATAGAAAGAGAGATAATCCCACACTACACAACCCCAAAAAGGAAGTACCTGATATTGTGAATACCTTAATAATTGGATCTATTGCACTTGATTCTATTTCTAAAATTTCAGAACCTTTAAAGTTGAATGATTCGAATCCAGGCTCAACTACCTCATCCTTAGGTGGAGTTGCATACAATGTTTCTAATGCGTGTAATTTAGGATTACAATCACCGTCGTGCGAGACTGGGAATATCACCACTAGTAGACTTATTACCATCCTCTCTGATGATCTAGCAGGAAAAGCCATAATTGAGCAATTGTTAGAAAGAAATATTGATATCACAGGAATTTTGACTAGCTCGCAAGATGTTGGTAATAGTGCTCAGTACACTTCAATACATAGAGGAAACGGAGATTTGGTCGTTGCTTGCGCTGATATGTCCATTGTGGAACATGAATCATTCACAGCGCATATCCTTAAACAGATTGAAAGAAGTCAACCAAAACAAATTGTTATTGACTGTAATCTTAGTCCGGAATGTACTTCTTCTATATTTGGATATCTAAGAGACAATAATCTTAAATGCAAAGTTATAATTGAACCTACATCTGGTCCTAAATCGAAGAGAATTGGTCAAATACACTCGAGTGGCTTGCAAACCTTTCCTAACAGCACAATCCTGCTTATCACTCCAACAATTGCTGAGTTGCATCAAATACATGAATCATTCGGCAATCGAGGCTTGTTTGACGATTATGATAATTGGTTCCCACTATTAGACTCCCTCGGCGTTGACTCAACTTTCAGAAGTAAACTAGAGATCAGTAAGGAAAATGTTATCAAAGACGGCTTAAAATTGGGCTATCTCCAACAAGCATTCCAAATTTTACCATACATTCCGAACATTCTCTTAAAATTGGGTTCAAAGGGTGTCTTATCGCTCACTTTATCTACAAGTATAGACGATTATAAATCATTGCCTACGACTTCGAAGTATCTGCCACTGTTCATAGTTACCACCCTGAGCGGTAGAATCATGGACGACTCACAAAAAAGGTTAGGAATTTCCATTCAGTACTTTCCGATCCCGACTGAAAGCAAGAATATCGAGATAGAAAATGTAACAGGTGCGGGTGACTCTTTCTTGGGCTACTTGGTATCAAGGCTTCTGGCGTCAAATCTGCAGCTAGATGAAGGTACCTTTCTAGACTCTGAAATCGGTAGCGTGGAACAAGAATGGTTCAAGTGGGAGTCAATATACAAAGCTCAAGTTGCAGCAGGAGAGTCCATCAAGTGTATGGAATCAATAAGCGAAGAATTAAAGAATATATAGAACGCTATTTCGTCTCCGAAATAGCCAATTAATGAACGTCTTGATCTGCTTGAATGTAAACGAGTCCATTAGGTTGCATATTGGTGTACGGATGTCCTAATTAGGACCACCAATATGGAAAACCAAAGAATTGAAAAAAAATTGAAATAATTGATACCAATGTGGAGTCATTCTCTTTTTAATCTTCTATTAAGATAGTACCAAAGTATGTTTCGTCGTTCAAATCTTCTTCAAACCGGAAGATGGTTAGCCAGATCGCTTTCAACCGGAAATGCTGCACCAAAGAAAGCCTTTTCGTCCCCTTTTAGTAGACACTTTTTCATTGGTGCTTCAACAGCAGTTGTAACCTTCTCCGTGTTTTCGAACTTTAATATCCGCCTCGAAGCACCTCCAGTGAACTCGTCAATTACTCCAGAGAACTCTATTCTGGTTGATTCCTCTATTGATGCCTTCCCTATATCTATTTCCCCACAGAATAATAAAAATATCAACACCAGCTTCGATCTCTTAGGTGCAGGTGTTAGAAGTGTCACCTTCTTGGGCCTTAAAGTGTACGGAATTGGACTTTATCTTTCCACTGAAGACATTCATAAGGTCAAACAAGTCATTTCCGCTACGAGTGAGTTCAATTCTGCTCTAAAGGACCCCGAACAGTCAACCGAATTTATCTCGAAATTGCTTGATCTGCACACCAGATTCGCTGTCAGAATATGTCCAGTTCGTAATACAGACTTCACCCACTTGAAGGATGGGCTCATCAAGTCAATTTTGTCCCATCCGCTCTCCAAGTCTGGCTCACCTGTAAAAGATGAAGTTTCCCGTGGGCTTGAGCAGTTAAGAGATGTGTTCCAGGGCAAAAAGGGATCAGTTCCTAAGAACCATTTGCTTTGGATCGAAGTCTTGAAAGACGGTAAGGTTTCAATTTCCTATGAAGATACTAAGAACAATAAGTTAAGACACTTGGGTGAAGTAGAAGAGCCAATGGTAGGAAAGGTGTTGTTTTTGCAGTACTTGTCAGGAAAGAAGCCCTTAAGTGAACCATTGAGAACCAGCTGCAATGAAGGGTGGTCGAAGCTCTAACTATCGAACCTGCTTGAACATAAATAATGTCTCTTGTATATAGCTTTAAGATAAAATGTGTGAATATAATGATATATGTAAGCTACAAGTAAGAGTATTTTTATTTAATTGTTTATTTAATTATATGGGTATTGGATTATATTACATAATAATAGATTCATGTTCAACATTGGCAGAAATGGACTTGTGTGGTAAAACCTTGGCACCGTTAACGTAGATTTCGTTCTTGATTTCAACGTCATCACCTAAAACGGTACAACCTTCAGTTCTGGCCCACTTACCAATTCTGGAGTTCCAACCAACAATGGTAGATTTGACCCAGGCGTGGTCCTTAACTTGAGAGTTGGCCAATAAGACGGATCTTTGAATTCTGGCACCTTCTCCGACAACAACGTTTGGACCAATAACAACATTTGGACCAATCAAAGCCAGAGGGTGGATCTTGGCACTTGGGTCGATTAAGACGTTTCCACCGGTAACGAATGGTTCGCTACATAACTTTTCTGGGGACTTCTTGGTTAAAGCAGTCAAGTACAAACAAGTTCCGGAAAGGAAATCCTTTGGTTGACCGACATCCATCCAGTAACCTTCCAAGTCAAAGGAGTATAATTGCTTCTTTTCAACCAAGATTGGGAAAGTTTCCTTTTCAATGGAGGTTGGTCTCATTTCAATTAAATCAATAACTGAAGGATTTAAGATATATAAACCGGCGTTGATTCTGTTACCAACGAATTCCACTGGCTTTTCGACGAATCTGTCGATCAAGTTAGGAGTGTATGGATCGTGGACAATGACACCGTACTTGGATGGTTCATCAACCTTGGTAGCGACAATGGTAGCTTCGGCCTTGTGGTACTTGTGGAAGGCGGCTAATTCCTTGAATGGGTATTCACAAATAACGTCCGAGTTCAACACGAAAATTGGAGTATCGTCCTTCTTCAACACCTTTTCAGCGAGCTTTAATGGACCAGCGGTTCCCAATGGTTCATCTTCAACAGAGAAGGTGATGGTGACACCGTAGACATCTTCGTACTTCTTTAAAGTGGAAACCATAACCTCTGGTCTGTAGTTAACAGCCAAAACGATATCAGTAACACCAGCAGCAGCTAAAGCCTCGATTTGGTGTAAAATCATTGGTCTGTTACCAAACTCAACCAATGGCTTTGGAACTGTTAAGGTTAAAGGTCTCAAACGAGTACCGTAACCACCGACTAAAATTAATCCCTTCATTCTGTGACTATGCTTGTTGTATCTATATTATTTAAGGATAATTTCCTTCAAAGAAAGAAGAAGATTAAACAGAATTTCACAACGAAGTGGGAAGAACGATGTTTATATGTTGAATTTTGGGAAACGTGCTGTGCTGGTAGGACGAGTGGGTAGGGGAAATCCCGAAAAGAGAGCCAAAAAAAAAAAAGATTTTTCATGTCTTTGTGTCCCGTTTTCTGTTGAGTGCTACACGAAAGACAGCGCGTCCGAAGACTTGGAATGGTAGCGGGACGAGGGATGGAGAGGGACGGAGAGACGGTTTATATGTGATAGGGGAGTTTCGGGGGTGTTTGGGAGTTGTTCTGGGAGTGTGACAGAGTGCTTGGGAGAGATCGTGTTTGAGAGTTTGACATTTGACTGGTGCTATTTTTAAAGTATAGTGTGTTTCCATCTTGTTTCGAATGTGGCTCGAAGATGCTAAAAATACGAAACAAAAATAAAAATAAAAAAAAAGAAAGCAAATAGCCAAAGAAAAAAAAGAAAATGTCGAAAAAAAAAATAATTTTGAAAATTCTCCGACTGTCAGTCTCTCTCTGAAGAGGGCTGGAGTCCGAAGTTTTCCTTTCTTTTCTGGCTTACCTTCGGAATCAGGATCGACAGACGCCAAACTCGGGGTCCAATACACGTGTATATTTATGTTTACTGGAAAAATAAACACGGTTGGCATTGAGAAGATCTCGAGAATCTTGAACGTTTATCTTTTTTTTGTCTAGTCAATACGTGTTCATGTATAGTGCCGCACCCGCCAAAAAGTGAAAAAAAGAAATGTCAATTAGAGGCAGAGGTGCAGGAAGCGAAATTTCACCCACTTCATCGACACCTTTGGAAAGCAGAGATGAGCCAAAGGAGAAGCCAAGAAGAACCGACAAAGGCAGATCAGTGAAACAGGGCTAGCAATTCTGCTCCAGCTGCATATCACTAAAATCGCTCCTAGTGGATTTAAACTAGCCTCTACGTCGCTAATCGGCCCATAACCAACCAGTACACGCCTTTTTCCGAAGAAACGTCGGCGCACACTGATTCGGAACAATTGTGGGTGCCATGCAGGACCACCTGTGAGGTACAACTCATCAATGAAGGCTACCGCAATGAATAGGAGAAACTTGCAGAATACGCGGCTTTATCGTATGACGCACGGGCTACAGTGCTGCTGGAGGAACTTGGCAGTCCTATCGGTGTGCAGCAGTGTTAGGGTAAGGCTGTCTGGAGAGATTAGAGTGTACTTTGTGCTGCATTGCAATGCTTATGTAAGCGACGAAATGCAGCATGTATTGTGTATTTAATGGTATGCTCACGGGAGACGCTGTGACGGGGACTTCTATTCTGTGGTAGGCCATCTTTCTAACATGTTGGGCCTTTTTGGAAGGGTAGTCGTATCTCCAGCAGAGTCAGTGTTAGCGAGACTATTTTGCTTCAACGGATTGAAATTCACTTTTCTCTCCTTCTTTCTCCAATCGTTAAGTCTCAAGCATTGCGCTACTCTGCCCAAATTCTCCGCAGACTCACCATGTTCTTTATCCATATCTTCTTCACACCTTAACCATAGTGATTACCCCTAGCTTCTGTTCTACAATGACCTCTCAACTCAAGTATGCTCTTTATTTCTATAATTAAATTATTACTCAATCTCACTAAAATAGCGTAAACCCTCTCTTACACCAAAAGGCTCTCCACACTATCACCACTAAAATGAAACTAACTACTAAACCTCCAGACGTAAATGCAAAATATTCAAATAAACATGAAGAAAACCCTTCATTTCCTTCATCCACTCCTCTACACTTGGAATCTACCTGGTTCCCATATAGTAAGGAAAATCCAATCGATCCAATGGCTGGGGCAATCATGAAAGAACCCCATGTAGATCCCATGATATCTATCCCCCATATCGATGCAATGATGGTGGGGTATATTGTGAAAAGACCCCCATAAGAAAATCCGTTAATCGCCGATATCACCCCAAACTTTTGTCCAGAGACAGCAGAAGAAATGGGAATCAATTGGCCCAATGCTCCAATGAAAATTATGGCTAGTAAGATCCAGACTTTACAGATGGGGTACTTCCTCGATGTAGAAGAAATGTAGTCTGAGAGCATTCCAAGAAGCAATCTAGAAAACGTCGATGACGTTGCTAAAACACTGACTTGATTGGAAAGGTCAACGTGACTATCATAACCGCTCACATTGGTGATTATAGATCCAAGATTGTTCTGGAAGGATTCCATTGGGCCCAAATTCAAGACTAGCGATACAAGAAGAACCCAAGCCGAAGGGTCCTTGAGGAACGCAATATACCGCTCGTGATGGTCTCGAGGTTCAACGACTTCTCTTGAGGGTAAGAAAGTGTCGCTGTCTTCCTCAGTCTCGTCCCCCTGTTGTGGCTTGTTGAGGGAGCCGCTAGTTGCAATATGGTCATTACTAACTCCCTCGGACAACGAGCCATAGCCATTTTGGTCTTCACGGGTCAACAGGTCATTTTCATCGCCGAAAATCACCTCGCTCTCGATGCTCACAATGGAGCATGCTACAAAGTTTAACACACCCACAACCAAGTACAACCAAACGTAGAAGGAGAACACTCTCACCAAGTCCAATGACTTGCCCAAAGTGTGGAAGTAGTCTAGTTTCATTAACTGCGACAAGATCAAACTCGACATCCCGTAGCAGCTCACTGGAAGCGATATTGCTATCCCCTTGTACTTAGGGTAAATCTTGGCACAAGTGAGCAAACTCAGGAAGTACATCGAGCTTGTTGCGAGACCGATGAAGAAGAAGCAAACACCAAAAGCGTACAAGTAAGCCCTATTGTCTTCGCCATGTTCGAGCTTACCGTTGTTTATAATGTTAGCAGTGGCCAGCCTGACGATTCTTGAGCAGAAAAAGTAGCTTGGGACGAACAACCAAATAGAAAGCATGGCTAACAAGCTGGGGCCGTAGCAATCACTCAAGTACCCCAACACTGGGAGGCACAAGTACATTCCAATGGCCGATAAAGAAGCAATGAAGTTGATCTGAAGGTAGCTCATACCTATCATCTCATGAATCGAGACAGAATAGAGCGAAAACAACAATATTGAACCACATGATAGGCATGAGAATAATGCGACAAGGAATGCCGATAGCTTTAAGTACTGGATGGAGATATGTCTTGAGAGATAGATCTTGATGGAGTGTGAAAACCTATTGATCCACGATTTCGAGTCGATCATGGTGCTGTTATTGACCTTTCCACGCTAATACTTCTGAAGAAAATACACCAGAATAGAGTGGTTTAGCCTTGAAAGAAGAAGACCTTAGGGCAACAGAGCCGAATCACTATGAGTCTTTTCGTTCAGTGTGCGCATCAGCGGAATTGGGATTGCTGGGTGCACGGGTGGAAAAGGGTTGCAATTTCACCCCACACTCGATGGCCAAGGAAGAGATGAGCATAGTACTCGGGTGTGTTGCTCGTGGGTCAGGGATGGGGGGACTGTGAGATGGATTCAGAGAGCTAGGTAGAGTGTGCTGGAGCGGGAAATGCTGGGTTTTTCGAGTTGGTGCTGAGTGCACTCGGTGGTGAGGTTCTGTCATCAGAATGGCTCTGGGCTCGCTCCACTTGGTAGAGAACTTCCCTGCGACACTATAGAGGTGTTAACTGTACTGACTGGTACTGGTGTGGGTTCTGCTTCTAGTTAAAGGTGGCCCAGACTACATTTGGTGTTTCTTGAATCTGTGGTAGATCTCGACTCAAGACACTTTTCACCAGCAATCAGTAATCAGATGCTTTGGACCATTGTGATCCGCACCTTCCGTTCACCAGCTACGATGTTTCGAAGGTCTGACTTCCGTTCACCGGTTAACGATGTACATTACTAAGATCTGGCTTCCGTTCACAGCTTATACATACATTACTAAGATCTGACCTTCATCACTTAGACATACATTACTAGGCTCTGACTTTCCATTCCGCGGACTCTCTACATAATCAGACCACCGCATTAGCTCATGAGGTACTCTCAACCACCACTCTACATCTCATTGTTTTCCTTTTCATCTAAATTTTACGTAACTCTATACATATTGTTGTTTATTAAATAAAGAACGTCGTCATCATTAAAATTGGGACCCGTTGAGTCAATACCGGGCCTTTATTTTCGGTTTAATTTTCTCTCCTTCACCTCCTGCTTGTCCTGCCCTTCTTTTTTCGAAGTGTTCTGTCGCTTACTTCTTGATGTAGGAAATAAACTTGTCGATTTCTCCTTCTGATCCCAACCAAATACCACTCTTGTCGTGAATACCCTTTGGCAAGATGTCTAAGATTCTTTCTCCGGAATCATTGACTGCCTTTCCTCCGGCTTGTTCCATAAGCATGGCCATAGGGAAACATTCATATAAAATTCTTAACTTACCGTTTTTCAGCTTGGTGTCTGCTGGGTAGGAGAAGATACCACCGTAAAGTAAAGTTCTGTGGATATCGGCAACCATAGACCCAATGTATCTGGCAGAGTATGGCTTCCCCTTTAATTCCTCTTGAGGTTCCTTCAAGTCGCTAATGTAGTCCTTGACGTATTGCGGCCAGTAGTAAGAGTTACCTTCATTAACGGAATAAATAGCTCTTTTCTTAGGAATTCTCAAGTTTGGCGAGGTCAAGATGAATTCTCCCAACTGGGTATCTAAAGTGAAACCATTGACACCTTGACCAGTAGTCAACATCAAGTGAGCAGATGCACCGTACATAGTATAACCAGCACAGACCATTTCAGTTCCCTTTCTCAAAACATCTTTTATGGACCCCTTGGAGTCGTCTTTCAAACGGTAGATTCCGAAAATGGTACCCACAGAGACACCCGCATCGATATTGGAAGAACCATCGATTGGATCCGTGCAAACAGCATATCTGCCACCACCTTCAAAGACAATTAAATCTTCTTGTTCTTCAGAAACCAACACCTTGACATTATTTGAGGATTTCATGGCATTAATGAAAATTTCATCACCAATGACGTCTAATTTCTTCTGCACATCACCGGTGGAGTTGGCGGTTCCGCTGACACCAATCAAATTGACCAATTCAGCTCTTCTGATGTTGTGAGCAATGAATTTGAACGCAAATTGCAAAGAATTAAGTAAAAGAGAAAGTTCTCCGGTAGCCTGAGGGGCCAATTTCTGCTGTTCTTGAAGAATAAATCTGGTTAAAGTAATAATATCAGTCTCGATGTTCATCTGGTCCGAGACCGTATGATTAGCGTCTGACATTTTTTTTGTGTGGGGAAATTTTTTGGGTTATATATAGAGAAGCGGCGTCAAAAAATGTGGATTACAATTTTTCTAAATAAATATTCCAAATGCTAGTAACAATAACTCAATTGCTATGATAAACTAATCAAGATAAATATCGTGGTCTCCAAATTTACAGCGCTTTCTCTTTTTTTTGGCAACAAAGGATCATGGGTGAATTTATACCTTGCAGTAGTGAATCCTACTTGCGGCTCGAAGGTGGTGGTGAACCCTCGCACCCCGGAAATTCCCCGGTATTTTTCGGGTTGCTATTTCAGAACGCACTGTAGAGGGAAGACACACCCACTAGGCCGAGGAAATTAGGATTTGCAAGTGCGCCTGGGGTAGCACTGGCAGGTCGGAACCATTGTAGGATGAGCTAGGTTGTGGTTTTCTTTGCTACTTTGCCTCTTCAGCAAGCTGAGCATCGGAACAACTGGCGCTAGACGCTGTAGCAACTAGCAGCGAAAGGATGAGGTCAACGGAAAAATCTGCCCTGTGGATCCTGGCTCCTATACATTTCTAGCAATCCATTGGGATTCGGCGCTAAGAGGATACAGGCCTTGTTTTTTTTTTTTTTGCTACTGCATGGATCACCCATTCCGTAACTTATAGTTGGTTGACGGAAATATAGTGCCTCTTTACAGTTCCCCGTACTTTGTGCTTACAAAGAAAAATCAGATGAAGGAGGGGCGGGTGCGCTGCAGTGGAATTGACTGCGATGGTGCACAACGTATAGAAATAGTGACTTTCCACCACCAGCCGGGGGGCACCCCACAGCACAAAGCTGCACTGCGAAAATTGGCAGTGAGGAATGTTCGACTAACCGCGAAACTGAAGCTGCTTACACGACGCTCACCTAGTGCGCTCTACACTACTCCTCTAATCTACAGTTGATAGGCTAATGGTTGGTTATGTCTATTAGTACAGCATGTATCTCATTATGTATTCCTCTGTTAATTAGTTTCCTTTGTATCTTTGACCCTGTGCTTGCGGTTGTGCTTGCTGCAGGTGCGGTTGCTGTTGCAGTGTCTGTTGTTGCTGCTGTTGCTGCTGCTGATACACAGACCTGTTAAGCTCAAACAATAAATCCAAGCTATTCAGCTTATGCTCTTGTCTTATAACTGCTTTGGGGTTATACTTTGTATTGCTGGCCTTCTTGTTAACTACCGACTTCGTTTTCCACTGCGAATTGCTTTCTAAAGATTTGTAGACTAGTGTATCGTTCAGGGTGTTTGAATTGGCAAGATTTTTTTGGAAGTTGCGATGAAGATATTCGATTATTTCAGTGGAGTTGAAATTAGACTGATTTATAGCATTGACATTGCCATGAGATCCACTGGCGCTGCCTTCATCTTTGTTCTTTTTCACCAGCGATTGGAATTGTTGAGGTTGCTGTTTCTTTTTCGTATTCGATGGCGGAGTATTGGCAAGTTTTGAGGCCCAGCCTGACATGATAAGCTAAAATGGTGGGGATGAAGTAGGGTGTTGATCAGTTGTAACAGAATGAAATTTTTTGATCTCATCAAATATGGTGGTGTAATATGCAGGATATTTGCATATGATAGGAAGTTCGCATGGTGCTGTCAGCTATATAGATGGGATTGGCTAGCAATTTAGATGTTGGCAGGATCTTTATTGCTTCTGGTGGCACTGGTTCTGCTCTAAACGGACGAGGTTTGAATGGACATTGTTCTGAACGGAGCTTGGCACAGCCATTCTCCAGCTAGTGGATCACAGGATGGAACCATGTGCAGGATGAGACTACAGTAGATGGATCACAGGATCGAACCATGTGCAGGACCCACTACTCAGCGATAGAGGACACAAGCAGCACACTTTCAGTCAGATCTGGAGCGATCTGGAGCTGCTTTTCAGTCCCTCTGCTCTCTGTCCTCAGTGACCCTCCATTACACCCTCCATTTCACCCTCCGTACCACAGCTCCTCATCCCAATTCGTGATCAGTGCAACCTAAGTGGTAGTGACAGCCGCACCCGACCTCGTAATTTGAAAAAAAAAACGAACGACGCCTCCAAGAGAATCTCACTTCCACCCTTCTCACACAGCTCTAAAACAAAAAGAAACCCCCACAGTTGCAACCTAGTACGCCCTCGATACTCCCATGCACCCAATCCCCGAACGCACACACAGCGCAGACTACTTCTCCTTTTCTCCCCTCTCACGCCCACCTAGTGCCTTCCAGTATCCCTCTCTCTCCATCTCCCTCTCACGTGTCCTTTCACGTGTCTTCCTCTCCAACGAACACGTCAACACCTGAAAATTATTTTTTGTTTAGGCTTCGATCAATTTTTTCGTTTGTTGACCGCACAAAAAGAAAGTGACCTCCACAAGGATTACGTTTGGTTGTTTCTTTTCCCTTCACATTCAATTCATTCATTCATCACACAACTATGTCTGGCTTTCGTGTACTTGACTTGGTCAAGCCCTTTTCAGTGTTCGTTCCTGAGGTCATAGCCCCAGAAAGGAAGGCTACTTTCCAACAAAGAGTGATGTGGACAGGTATCACTTTGCTTATTTTCCTTGTCATGAGTGAAATTCCACTTTACGGTATTGCTTCCAGTGATGGCCTGGACCCTTTGTTCTGGTTGAGAATGATGTTGGCTTCCAACAGAGGTACCTTGATGGAGTTGGGTATTTCGCCCATTGTCTCTGCTGGTATGGTGTTCCAGTTGTTGCAAGGTACTAAGTTGATCGCTGTTGATATGTCGAACAAGCAAGACAGAGAACAGTTCCAAACTGCCCAAAAGCTCTTTGCCATCTTGTTGTCCGTCGGTCAAGCCACCGTGTATGTCTTGACTGGTATGTACGGCCCACCACTGAACTTGGGTGTCGGTGTGTGTCTTTTATTGATTTTGCAGTTGGTCTTTGCCGGAATCATCGTGATCTTGTTGGATGAGTTATTGCAAAAGGGATACGGTTTAGGTTCTGGTATCTCCTTATTCACTGCTACCAACGTCTGTGAACAGGTTTTCTGGAAGGCATTCGCCCCAACCACCTCGAACACCGGTAAGGGTAAGGAATTCGAAGGTGCTGTTGTTGCGCTCTTCCACTTGTTAGGATCTAGAAAGGATAAGAAGAGAGCTGTCTTGGAAGCCTTTTACAGACAAAATTTGCCAAACATGTTACAATTAGTTTCCACCATTGGTGTTTTCTTTTTGGTTGTCTACTTGCAAGGATTCAGAATTGAATTGCCAATCAAGTCTACTAGACAAAGAGGTCCATACGGTTCCTACCCAATTAGATTGTTCTACACCTCCAATATCCCAATTATGTTGCAAAGTGCATTGTCGTCAAATATCTTTATCATCAGTCAAATGTTGTTTGTAAGATGGCCAAAGAACTTTTTCGTGAAGGTTTTGGGTCAATGGGGTGCCAGACCTGGTGGATCTCAATTATACGCCGAGTCTGGAATCGCATACTACTTGCAACCTCCTTTATCTATTACCGAGATCTTCTTGGATCCAATCAAGACTGTGATTTACATTTCATTCGTCTTGGGTTCATGTGCATTGTTCCTGACTACCTGGATTGAAATTGCTGGAACCTCTCCACGTGACATCGCCAAGCAATTCAAGGACCAAGGTTTAGTTATTGCAGGACACAGAGATACTTCAGCTTATAGAGAATTGAAGAAAATCATTCCAACTGCTGCCGCTTTTGGTGGTGCCACCATTGGTGCATTATCCGTTGCCTGTGACTTAATGGGTACCTTAGGATCTGGTACCTCCATTTTATTATGTGTCACCACTATCTACGGTTACTATGAGTTAGCTTTAAAGGAAGGTGGATTTAACAAGAATGGTTTAGTGAGTGGATTCACTGACGGCATCTAAGGAGGCAGAGGAACTAGGAGGAAAGAAGAAGCAAACATATCCTACAAGTAGAAAACTAAAACCAAGAAGAAAAAAAAAAGTAACATAACATAACATATTGCATAGACACTTTGGAATGTGATAAAGTCTCTGGTACACTGGACAATAGTTTCAAATCCCATTAACTTTTTGAGGGAAGAGGTGAAATATTTGTAGATATTCTCTTTAACATCCGAGAAGTATGACTAAAGTATAAAAAGAGATGAAATATATAAACAAATCAATATCTAAATATAGAACTATAGTATCAGTGTCTTAAAGTGATGTAACGTTTTGAAGTCTTCCGGGTTAGTATGAAGCTGTAGAGCTTGTGGTGTTTTGGTGAACTGTAGGGTATTCAGAAAATAAGAGTGAGTTTTCACGGTAATTGTGTCTTTCCAGAAGAGTAGAAGATGTAGAAAAGTCCCAAAATAGGGAGCGCAGTACCAATTTGAAGTATACAGCTGTGCAGTTATTTCCCAAGAAGTGCATGAAAATTCAGAAGAAGGGAGAAGGTTACAAACTAGTGGGTGTAGGATACCCCCCAATCTAGAATCAATTTGTAATGTGCCCATACAAAAAGTGTGCAGTAATTTCCCAATCTGGAACTAATGATCAGTCTTGCATAAAATCTTTGCGGAGTAACTACTGACATTTGAGTCGCCGTCTCTGGAGAGCTCTGTGTTCAACAGGAGAATATCCAATGTCTATATATTCTAAATAGTGCTGTCAGAACTTCAGGCCCATATTCTTTGGTGCCAGAAGTTGCCGAACACAATAGGTGGTCCCAACTCCGAGTAACTATCCATCTGCGATGACACTGGGCGCCTAAGTCACCGAAGCCCGCCCAAATTTTACGATGGCTTCATAATAATTTAGCGGTGGTGCAGAGATTGAAACTACGCTTACTACGAGCCGAGTGTTGCTTGTCTTGGAATTCTCAAAGTAGAGAGAAAGTGCAAATTGAATGTGGAAACGGATATGTTAGGTGGCCATATGTAGACAGATATTCTAGATAAGACGTAACCTGTAGTCGAAGAAACATGCTCCTGAACTGGGCACACCTTCCCAATCCGACTGCTTTTTTAACACACCTCCTTAGGGCTGGTGGCTTTGTAAGTTTCACGTCAAACTTTGATAATTAAAAAATAATGAAAGGATGGTAAATTTTTGGATCACGCGCATGCTACAGAAGTGTGTAACGTCACACACACTCGCATGAAGATCTCACATTGCTTGGGAAATGTCCCTTGGCATATAATACTAGTAGTACATTTAAACACGAAAGAGCAGAAGGCTGTCAACAACAAAGAAGATCTTAATCTGGAAATAGCGTAGTTGAATTGGGAGGTTGAGCCGCTCACATTCGATATTAAGCTCGGGCAATTTCTGACGCAGCCCCAATCGAATGTCGCGGTTCAGAAAAAATCAAAGAGGAATTTGGAGATTATTTTTTCAATTGCCGGTTCGTTTTTCGGGCACTGTCAACATCTAAGTGATGTGGTTGGCTAAATTTTAAGCTTTACAGTAATGGTATGATATATTTTATAGAAAGTATGTTTTTTGTCACTCCAAAGTCTGCTTATCTTCCAGAGCGTGTATGTGGGTTAGGGTTTGTGAAGCAGGTAACGATCCCTATCCAGGTTATTATCTACTGGTGAGCGTCTCCACATATGTATGCCCGATTTCGATCTTTCATGTGGTTGATTTTCAGCCCCTTACCGTACATGTATGAGGTACATGTACACGGTAGCTCATTGTTTTAGGAACGCAGCCAGTAATAGGGAGATATGTAGCTTGTAACACTCAAAATAATCAACGTACATCCTTCAGCATACCACACCTTCCCAAACAGGTCGCGATTTGGGTTATGGGCACAAGACTAGTTACTATTCTGGAGTTCAGTCACGCTACATTGTAAATTCTGGAACCCAGAAAAAGGCAAATTATACGAAGTCTAAATGCATAATGTGGACTACTTCTTGTTACCGAGTCGTGTGTTAGAGGTGCCATGACCATAGCCCGAGCCTGGATCGACCCAGTGCCGGATTTAGTCTTTGGGAAGTTGCTAACCTGTCACAGCATCGCCGCCGCCCTGTTTCGTTAGCCACGACTACGGGATTTGACCGGAACTGCCCCCATTGCGTTATGAGCCAGTCTCTCTAGCTTTCCCAGTCAATGTCATTCTTTGGGGCAAATTAAGCTTTAATGACCGGAAGTTGATGCATCATGCACACTTAAAGAAAAAAGAAATTATACTTAATAAAAGATGAACAGTAAATTATTGTAAGGTGGAGTATCTCATACAATGGTACGCCATTGCTTTATAGATTTCGGTGTAGAGCATCAGAATCCACAGGATCCGACGTAGGCTATTCTCACGTCGCTAAGCAGCCTTTCATTCAGCTCTCTTACACGCGTCGCACTTTCCTCCCGCAAATGGCTTACCCCCTGGCTTATCTCCAGTGATTTGCGGTTTCTTTCTTAATCAGGACTTTCATTTTATCTAGCAAGCCGCACGCACCACCTTGCAGGTGGTAAATGTTGCTTGCATTACAAAGCCGAAGAAAAAAATAAAAAAAGAAAGAACAAATAAGCAACAAGGTAGAAAAAAATGGAGAGTGGAAGCGCCCAAGGCATTGGAGAATGCTCCATCCATCCTCTCTGTTATATATGTTCAAGCTGGACTGGCGTGTTAAGAGTGTGGTGTTGGTGGTCCAGGCTCACCGTGTTGCCCCCCTCCCGGCATTGGCTACACGATTGCACTCCGTCGAGTCCCCCAAACGTTCATGTGAGGCCCACCTGAATCTCAAACAATAACATGTAAAATAAAATAAAAAAGTATAAAAAAATGTATAAAAAAAGTATAAAAATAAAAAAAAAAAAAATATTACATATTTCAAGACGACATACATGACAATAAATTTAGAGTCGTTTGACCCTTAGCCATTTCGGAAAGACAAAAAAAATTGACAACACTTTTCTTTTCACTTGGTTAGTTAAGTTCCTTTCATTCATCACGACTCTTTCTCCTTCCATAGCACTATGATAAGGATAAAGAATCAGTTTAATAGAATTGTAGCAACCACCAGTCATGCGGGCACCGGCAGCTTCAAAAAAATTGGCAAACTTGGATTGATTTTGTTTGCATTTTTCAATGTGGTGTTCATAACTGGGTTGTTGTTAAGGTACTCCGATATTCCACTGACGGAGTGGTCCAAACTGCTCTTCGAGTCTTATTTACCGCTGGGTTCAGACCTGGGTAACTCAGGCGTCAAGCCAGACACTCAAAAACCGTCTTCGAACGACAATGTCGAGGCGGAAAGTAACTTGCTCTACAACCACAAGACTGGGGGATTCGATTTCGACCCCAGCGTACCATACGACAAGCTAACCACACAGCAGAAGATCCAGCACAAGTTGAATGAGGTTGCAAATGACAAGGACCAGTACTGGTTGGCCCATACGGAGTTGACCGACTACGAGATCCAAATTGATCCCAAGGAATTCACCAAGGAAGCGTGCAAGGAGAAGGCTAAGCTTTTCTTCGACCCTAGATTCACCTACACGGTGGTGTTGAACGAAATTCAAAGACAATTTGCTGAAAAGAACAAGAACAACGCCAGATCCAAGGTCCAGGCCGTAGAAATCCCGTTTGCCTGGTCCGATTGGGCTGATTTGACGGTGTTGAACCCATACATTGAGAACCAGGACGATGAAGGGTGCGAGATGTTGGCCAAATCGTTCAACGAACCTACCAAGGACCCGGAGTACTGTGTTAATGCTAACCAGGTGAGTGACAAAGAGTTGAAGGAAAAGATTGGTTTACCATCCAAGAAGTTTTTACCAGCGTTTTCCATCAGAAGACCACCAATGACTGTAGCCACCAACGAGATCAGAATTTTAGAAGGGAAGTCACACTTGTTGACCTATGCCGCTAACCCTATCAACGTCATCTTCTTGACGAAGAACGGGGTCTACGAAGCATACGTGAAAACCGACAAGATTAAGGAAAGAATCGTTGACTCAGACTTGTTTGAAAACTACATGGCCCTGAGACATCCCAACTACAAGGGAGAAGACAGGGAGTTGGTTACCTTGAATCCAGTGGAAGAACTTGCTAACTTGGTTGAGACAATCCCCTCTGATACCAGTTCTGGCGAGGATGTCTTTGGAATGACCCAGTTGATGCGTAGCAAGGATGTTAACGCTTCCAGAGAGATCAACATCCCGCCATCCGCTTTCAACTACCAGCAAGATGCCATCGAGAGACAATTGAAGGAGTTCAAGCACCGTCTTGATACGTTTGAAGCTACTCTTGAAACAGATTTAGAGCTCGATGAAACAGCTGAAGCGTTGACGCCTCACGAGAAGTTGTTCTACAAGTCCCTTCAAACAGTCAACCTGTATGATGCCAGAAACGAATACACATACTTCAAGATGGCTAGATTGAAGAGAGATTCAACTAACCAGGATGACGGATACCATTACGAGTGGAGATTCTTCAACGGTGCGTTGAGATATGTTAAGCCAGGTTGGAATGCCGACGAAATGTTGATCCGTGAGAAGATTGTTTTGGACAGAATCTTAAGAAACTGGTTCAGATTTGCCAGTGAACGTGGAATCTTATCCTGGATCGCTCATGGTCCACTTCTTGCATGGTACTGGGATGGTGTTCTTTTCCCCTTTGATGAAGACATTGATATCCAACTCCCTGCAGTAGAGTTGGTGAGATTCGCTAAGAACTACAACCAAACTCTTGTTGTGGAAGACGTTGCAGAAGGGTTCGGAAAGTTCTTTATCGATTGTAACACATTCTTGCATCACAGAGACAGAACATACAGAGAAAACCATATTGATGCAAGATTCATCGACGTTGATACCGGATCCTACATTGATATTACTGGACTTGGTATTAGTGAAGAAAAGGTTCCAGAGAGATTCAAGGAAACCACACAAACTGCACAGGAATTGGGAGAACCAAGACCTGTCTACAATTGTAGAAACGCACATTTCTATTCCCAACATCAAATCAGTCCGTTACGCTTAAGTAGTGTTGCAGGAACACCATTGTATATACCAAATCGTCTTGATGTAATCTTAAAGGATGAATACCCCAGAGGGATGACATGGTACGAGTATTACAACTTTTACTTTGTTGACAAATTCAACTTGTGGTTACATGTGGATAAGATGAAGAACATTTTGCCAAAGGATTTGAATTTAAGAAACAATAACGATTGTATTCGTGAGTTACAAGCACTCACTGACGAACAAGTTTTGAAGTTGATTAAAGAGGACAAAAATATCTTGTTGGAATACTACTTGACTAGAGAACATACTACTAGACATAGAGAGGAAATGTCGTACCTCTTTGAGAACAAAAACGGTAAGGAATCTACCATTTCTCAATTGGGTAAACAAAAACCAAGTAAAGAGATTTCAGAGAATCTAGACTATAATCGCCTCACATCTACTTTCCAGTTTGGAAATCCAATGACACGTCCATTGTACAACTTTGAATACATTGATAGACATAAGAAGAGTCAAAAATCTTCCTATAGCAAATAAAAGTGGTTCTAACTGGGAAGGGAGAATGACTATGACTAACACAAACAATTGGGGTTCGTGCACTGCACTGCAGTGTCCTTACAAAGAGTAATAATTTATACACCACGTACTTGCTTGTGTGTTTCAATAGTAGTTTAAGTAAACTACACATTTGCTTCGGTGTTTCAATAGTAGTTTAAGTAAACTACACACTTACCTCTTCAATGTTTCAAGAAGTCGAAGTAAACACGCGTTTGCTTTGCTATATTACGAAGTAGGACTAAACATTAAAGAAGAAAAATTAACAAATGAATGAATATAAACAATAGAATGGCTGTGAAGGTCTTGACATGTACCAAAGACACGCTACAACTGCATACAGTATGACAGATATATTAGCATATACATATACAATGAATAGAATAAGTATACACCCAGCTTGTAGCAACCTTGAGTAGTCTTACACTCTTAAAGCAGCGAACTTTCCAAAACAGAAGCTGCGAGAGGAATGTTGAACGAACAAACGTGATTTTTGCCCATTGAAGAAAGCGTACACACCACCACAATACAACATAACAACAACACTTCTTCAAAACCGTGTCACCCACACCATCTACACTCCGGTAGTACACCGGAGTAGGTTCCCGTGCCAAACCCCAGAGAGGCTCCGTTCCTGGAAGTAAATGGTCGCGTGAGAAATATCTCCTGTCCTGCAACCTGCAAGACTTGCAGGAGCCTCATGGAAAACCGAGGGTGATTCAAATATGCCAAGAGTTTTCTTGTCTTTTCTTTTTTTTTGGCTTATCTTCCATTTTTTCCCTGCACGTACTAATGTCGCAAGACAGGGAACCAAAAGGGGCGTGTGGGCTCAATTCCACGGTAGATGTAGGTCCCGTCCGTACTATAGCAGTGGTTGCGATAGCAGAGGTTGCGTAATGAGCTCAGGGAAGTATTGTGCTCGAGCCCAGTAATGCTGGTGTCTTACTTCTTGAGCTGCAGCGTTGGTGGCCCTGTTTTCGAACATGTTCCAAGTGCACTGAAATTTGACAAGTACTGTTCTTGGGTGCTTTCTTGGCGCAGACTTCACACAGATGAATCATTCCAACGGTGTAGCTGTTTTGCTATTTATAGGAAAATAATGTGTTTCTGCGACCGGAATTCGCCTAGTGGCGTGTCATTCCTTTGTTCAGGCGTAGGACGTTCTCTAATCCGTGCTGAGGTTGGTGGTACATTGGATATTGAGTAGTTGGTGATAATGCTGCGTATGCAGTACGCTGCAACTAACCGATCCAACCTAATGAGTGGAATTCGGTAAGGTAGGTGAAGCTCAGGGCTGTTTCAACAGTGCCGACTTAAGTGTGAAACGAAGCAAGGTTGGTGAAGCACTGGCTATCAGTGTCATGCTGCGCCTAGAGCTGCGCTTGTTCTTGTCCTAACTGTCTTTCATGGTAAGGTTTTCCATCGATCGGCTATATTGCATGATATCTTACGTAATCAGTGCAACCATAACTGTGCTGGCGCTAAAAGAGGAGAGAAGCGAGTTCATTCTATGCACGGACTTGTAAGTAGTACAATGGGGCGGTTATCTCACGATGTTCTCGCTTGTAGAGGGGAAACCTGGACCGGCCCAGTCCATTCTTCACCTAGTATTGGCTGCCAAGTATCTTGGCTAAAGCCTGAACTTCGCTGCTGTACTACTGAGTGGCATTCGAATGGGGTCATTCTTGCAACTCGAGTTTGAAGGATTCAAGCTTACAGCTCAAGCTTAGGAAGAGCCCTTGTGTGATTTCTCCAGGACAGGTGTTACAGTAGCAGAAACTTTGATGGCTTTCTTTTTCAGCGTTCGTCCAGGCGTTGGCCTTTCACGTCCAATCTGAGACAGCGAAGTTCAATTTGAAACACCTTCAACATGTCTGGCCAAGGCACTTTCTACAATCTGGAATTAACACCTCCAAGCAGAACCCCCGTGGCAAGGTAAAACTCGCTGATGTATCTTTAAAACCGCTGAAGGCCATTTGAAACGTATCATCTATAGTAGCCTGTCTTGAATCTGTCAACGGTTGCAGCTCTTTCGTTTCAGTCTGTCCCAAACAGGCAATTTTGAGTCGCAGAGCAAAACGACCCCATTCAAACTAACCAACTACCATTACACACCAAAGACTTATATAAACACATAGAAATCACCTCCCATAGCCTCATGGATTCCCTTCACCGCGCTGTTCTTCTCATTCCCCAAGCTAGCTCCTACCATGACCAGAAAACTCCCTGACACACTTCTCTTCTTCCCCATACAAAGGCTCCTGCATCCAATACACATAAATGGCATTCCTGCATATGCCGCCTCTCCATCAACATGGAAAGTGAAGAACGCGTACTTCATAAAGGAGGAGGGTTCAGGAGGCTACTTGTCATCGATTAGCCAAGTAAGGATGTATAAATCGATTAATTTCGCGCAGGTTCCTCCCTTGTTGAGGAGAACTTTGACAAATTCAAGCTATCCAAAGAAACCCACCACCGCAACTCGCCCTGCTGCCTCTAAGACATACAGCTCGTATGTGAAGAAGCCCTTGACTTCTGCTGCTACATCTGCTGCTCCTGCTGCGGGCTCTGCTTCGTCCATTTCCCCCTCAGCCAGTGCTGCTAAGGCAGCTGCATCCACTCCAAGCTCGACCGAGTCCGCTACTACAGTATCTCCAGGCTTCAAGCTAAACGACTCGCCCCTCCCCCAGGCCAGCAATGCGCAACTGATCGATTGGGCTGACTCGTTCCACGGAATCGGTACGGCACCCTTTGCCAGAGAAATCGCCGACATTCTCCTTGCCCCTATTGAGAACGACGACATCGAAATCAAGCCAGACGGGCTCATTTACCTCCCAGAAATCAAGTACCGTAGAATATTGAATAGAGCGTTCGGTCCAGGAGGCTGGGGGCTCGTCCCAAGAACAGAGTCTTCTGTCTCTCTCAAGCAGATTACCAGGGATTACGGATTAATATGCCATGGAAGATACGTGAGTGTTGCCCGTGGGGAGCAGGACTACTTTGGTGGGGAAGAGAAGATTGCTACGGCATTGGAAGGATGCAAAAGTAATGCATTGATGAGATGTTGCAAAGATTTGGGAATCGCCAGTGAACTTTGGGATCCTAGCTTCATTAGAAAGTGGAAGGCCAAGTACGCAGATGAGGTGTTTGGAGAGCACGTCGTGACAAAAAAGAAGAAGAAGTTGTGGAAGTTGAAGAGCATAAAGAGTTTGGATTATCCGTATAAGCAGTGCTAGAGTCTCTTGAGTCTCTTGTTTCTGAAGTTTTCGAATATCCGTATAAGCAGTGTTAGACGTCTTGCTTCTGAGGTTTCTCAGCCGTTGTGGTGCCTTTTTTGCCTTCTTTCTGGCAGTCCTACTGTTAAACACGCTTATACGACCAGAATACGCTAGAATATCTAACGGGAGTATCTGGCGCCATGTTCGTACTGCTGAGCTGTCTGAGAAGTGGTTAGAAGTGGTCTGTCTTGCGCTGCACCTTCTCTGCACCGTACTAGCTCTTGTATTTATTAGATCCCTTGTATATAGTCCACGGCATGTCAACGCCAATATAAGAAACTACAAACCCGATTTTTTCGCGTATTTATTACTTATTTATGTATGTATGAGGAGGTTTAAGATAGTAACTGTATCTTATGAGTGAGAGTGGCATCGAGAAGATCTCTCCAGCCATCGAGAGTGATCTGCGGTTCAGTGGGGTGGTCAAGGAGGAGTGTGCAACCTTGCTTATGGCTTCAATACACCACGGCCAACACCTAGCTCTTCTACGGTTTGACTCAATGGTCTTCTTTGCCAAACATCCCAGAACTTTTGCTTTGGCAATTCTTCTTCTGTGTTGGACTTGGCGTAGGTAGCATCAGTGTAAGCGGAAGATGTGGACTGGGCCCATCTGAAGTGGTCTGCAAAGGCAGCAGCACAGGCACCGGCCACACCGGTCATGGCCTTGTGCTTGAGGGGCATGGTCTTAAAGCCAACGGTCAACACGGTCAAGTTACCTGCTGCAACACCCCAGAATGTGTTCCATCCATCGTTCTTCTCTCTAATGTTGGTGATCATGGCCTTGGCACCAGTAGCCACTGTGGCGAATGCAATTACAGTTGCTGGAAGTCCCAACTTGAATGTGGTTCTCTTCCAGATGTATAACCAAGCGTACGCACCTGCAGTTGTGTAGAAAGAGAATCTAAACACTTGCATAGTCTTCTTCTTGGTATCGACTGGCTCGAACGGTGGGTATGCGGAAGCATTAGACAAGTTACCGAACGGTCTAGGCCACTTAAAGGTTGAGTCTGGAACGACTGCTACAGCTTCTGTTTCGGACATGCTTTGTGACGTTATAGAACGAAGAATACGACGATATTACTGTGTCTACTGGCACCTTTACCTACCTCTAACTTTTTTCGTTTTATTTTCTTTTGCGTAAGCCAATCATGTTGATGATTTCATTGGTTGAGGGATAGGGCTGTGTGCAGGATGCCTGGTATGCTCTGGTGGGAGTGTGGGAGGAAGATCTGGAGGAGTGTGCAGTGATTGGGGCTGCCTAGGGCCGCTTTCAGTGTGATCGAAGGGGAGCGGAGAGGGGAGAGACTCTTCGGGGCTCTGGAACAACTGGTTGGAGAGCAAATGAGTGGTATCTCCATAGCTTGTATATGTTTGACAATGCGTTATGTGCAGGACGAAGTTGTGCTCTCTAGGAGTAGAGTGGGAAGAGGATAGGAGGAGGGTGCAGTGACTGGGGCCGCTTTCAGTTTGATCTAGGAGGGGTTGAGAGAGGAGAGCCTTTTCGGGGCTCTGGAACGACTGGCTGGAGAGCAAATGGGTGGTTCCTCTGCAGCTTGTGCTGGTGCCAGCATGCTCTGAGTAGCGTTAGGCTGCGAAAAGGAAGGCTGCAACTCAGTGCTCACCAGGGAGCCCCAAGGGAGCCCCAAGGAACCACTTGAGGGACCAACATTAGCCAAAATTTGGAGCTATTTTTTCGATCTCTCTCCTTTCTTCTATCCCGTCTTCAGTGCTCACTGCTTGGCAAGTACTCTCGCCCACCTTCTGCTCCCTCCTGCTCCTCTTTCCCATCAATACCTCTCACTCGGTAGCCTCTCCTGGTGCTCGCCTGGCCTGGTGCCCCATGTTCGTGACCTGCATACAATCCCATCACAAATCTCGGTTAGGTGCCATTTTTGTGGCACCTTTAAATTTGCTAAAATCGCTAGCTGAAGAAAATTACGAAAAAAAAATCGATCGACAACGGAAGGGATTCTTTTCACAGTCATTATACCTGCTGATTATATATGATGAACAAGCCTTTGACCATCACCGCCATCGCTGCCACAGCCTTAGTTGGCTATGCCATCTATTTTGATTTCAACCGTAGAAATTCTCCTCAATTTAGAAAGTCTTTAAAGAAGAAGTCCATCAAGCATGAAAAGCTTGCCGCTAAGGAACAAGAACAATCCAAAAAATCCAAACTTGATGATATCAAGAAGGCTCTTGCGCAAGACTTAGCCGAAAACCCAATTCCAACAGACTTGGCTGAAAAGGAATCATTTTTCATGCAACAAGTCGCACTCGGTGAACAGTTAGGTGCATTACCTAACAAAAAGATTGAAGCTGCCATCTGCTTCTACAAGGCCTTGGCTGTATACCCTAATCCTACCGATATTTTAGGGATTTACCAAAGATCCGTTCCTGAAGAGGTTTACGAATTGGTGGTCATGTTGATTGCTGTTCAACCACCTGCATCTGTCACCAATATCTTGGGTGGTGCTTCCACTGCTGGTGCTACTGAAGGTGAAAAGAAACCTACTGCCGAAGATTTGGATTAAGTAACTATTGATGCTGAGATCCATGTCAGCTGAAGAAGTTTTGGATTCGACGATTCTTTGGTGGAGTGGTAACCCCAGCCAAATATTTAAAAAAAAAATTAACGATTCAAGGAGTAGGAGGAGAACGACGTATATATAAGACATAGCTCTAAGGAGCACAATAGAGAACTGATGATCATAAAAACAAAATTAAAGAAATTTATTTAATGAACAATAAAGAAAAAAGTGAATAAAAAAGAAAATATTGAAGTAGTCACCATTAAGCAATCCCAAAAGCTTGAAATAACTTAAGTCTATGTACCCTGGTCCGTATGAGCTAATGCCATGAACCAGATGTACTTAGTGGCTTTTAACTCTCTTTTTGGCGCTGCTATAAGGTGCTGCGGTATCTGTACATATTAACAAACAATATATGACAAAATGAAAAGATTAACTCTCTGTAGTTTGCTTAGAATAGTTCATGATGGCTGTTCGGCAAACACTTGTCAGAATTTTTCCTACAGCTTTTGGCAGTTTCTGTCCAGTTGCTAATTCGATATCTCCATCCGATGCTGCACAACCCTATTCTACTGTAGGTGTTTCCCGTTGCGAGAGCCTCTGAAAGACCTGCCATTTTCACACATCACTTCTCCTCTCACTATTAGGCCCAATTCGTAGCAGTTCCCACCAAGTGCAACTACTATTATTAGTTGTGATTATGTAATCAGGAACTCTTCCATTATGCATGGACCCTGCACACCAGAAGTTTAAACACGAAGAAACGTCTATCAACAATCAGAGTATTCTTATCATAACGTTGGCTTATCATGCTAATTAGCTTATTTCTCCTCCTAACTACATTCACTCGTTCGGTATGTTGCTTCAATTCTTCCTATAATTCTACGTTGCACCCCAATATCTCGCAGTCCAGTGTGGTGCAACCTGAATATAATTCTAAATCTTTCCAATACAAAGGTGTTGCACTCGGTGGTTGGCTCTTGTTAGAACCTTACATCACACCCTCTTTGTTTTTAGCATTTAATGAGACCGATTCTCTGGCCAATATTCCAGTTGATGAGTACCACTATTGTGAGACTTTGGGCGAAACTGAGGCTAGCAAGAGACTTCAAAAGCATTGGCTGACATTCTACAATGAGTCTGATTTCGCTAGGATTAAGCTGTACGGGTTGAACATGGTTCGTATCCCAATAGGTTACTGGGCCTTCAAGAAATTGAGCTCAGATCCCTATGTTGTGGGAGCTCAGGAATACCTCGATCTCGCCATTGAGTGGGCAAATGCAAATGATTTAATGGTCTGGATCGACTTACATGGTGTTCCTGGAACCCAAAATGGTTTTGACAACTCTGGCTATAGGGATATTGGATACCCGGGGTGGTTCAACGATACTGAAAATCTTGACTTGACTTATGAGGTCTTGAACGAAATATATACCAAGTATGGAGATAGTTCCAACCAGACGTATGTTGATACGATTTTGGGAATTGAAGTGGTGAATGAACCATATGGCCCCAATTTAAACCTCTCAACATTAAAAGAATTTTATACATTGACTTACAAGGATGCTCGAGATTTGCAACTGATAAACAACTCAATTATTTTCCACGATGCTTTTCAATCCATCGGGTACTGGAATGATTATTTGAACACTACTTCATTTCTGAATATCTTGATCGACCACCATCATTACGAAGTATTCACCTTCGGGGCATTGAATATGACGATTGCAGAGCATATCAGTAGTATTAAATCGTATAGCTCGCTGATAGAATCGAACGAAGGTGATGCTAACCCTGCGTTGGTCGGTGAATGGCTGGCAGCCTTAACTGATTGCGCACCTTGGGTTAACGGTGTTGGCCTTGGCGCAAGGTACGCCGGAGAGCAACCTTATGACAATGATTTCATTGGTGAGTGTGATAACATAAATAATTTCAAAAAATGGACAAAGGAGCGAAAGAAGGACTATCGGAAGTATGTCGAAATTCAATTAGACCAATACGAAAATTATACCATGGGCTGGATCTTCTGGTGCTTCAAAACAGAGACCACCATTGAATGGGACTTTGAAAAGCTCGTCCAATTGGACTTGATGCCACAGCCTTTAAGTGATAGAAAATATATTGTTAACGGGACTGACACTACAGCTAAAAAGAGCATTGGCCATAAGTTGAGCATTGGTTGGGGGGCCCTATTTATTGCATTCGTATACAGCTTATAGACACAGCACAAGCTAAAGAAAATTCACGCTTCGAACGGTGACTTCTTCCTGCTTTTACTCTAGACTATTCAATACAATTCCAACGATTATGTATACAATTTTATGAAATAAAATAAGAAGCATTCTAATAGAAAGGCCGAAATATTGTGGTCTACTGGGCCAATCTCTGTGGCCCTTCGCTTAAAAGCACTAATCTGAAATTTAAAGCGGAATCTTCTAAAACTTTCCAACCTTCGCCTGTTTTCCATAGTATTATAATTATTATTATTATTATTATTATTAAAGCGAGAATCTCCAAATTCCAAATACAAGTATACTCTATAAACCATAACTGTAAGCAATGTAGCCTCAATGGTGTTACATTTGGAACCCTCGCTGACGCAAAATTCGCAGCCAAGCGATAGTGAAAATTATGCGACACCCAAAGCCCCGCCAAAGCTTTACTTCCCATTAAAAGGCATACCCTTTTCAAGACATGAGATTACAAATATTCAAGTTCGACTTCTGCTTATTGGTTTCGGCTTGAAATTCTCCTCTTGCCAATTTTCAACCAAGTCCCAAAGCTCTTGTCTTATTCTCTCTCTTCTTCCACCTGCAACTAGCCCCATATCTAATCTCCTGCACATAATTGTTCTACTTTGGGTTGCATGGGCGCACGCAATATGATTCACATCGATTTTTCAGTGTGGTCGACCAAGATGGCCACACTCTACAGCTCTGGTTGAGTATAAAGTAGTAGTCGAATTCGTCTAAATTTCAAATTACTTCATCGTAAATACACTTCGCTATGGTTAAATCTGTAAATGTTGCCATTATTGGCTCAGGTGTCGTTGGTTCAGCCTTCGTCAGCCAATTGAAAAATTTAAAGTCTCCAATCAATTTTAACGTTGTGTACTTTGCAAGATCTTCCAAGGAAGCATTATTCTCTTCAGACTACTCCCCTGTTGATTTATCTACTTACAAGTCTGCCACTACCGTTCAACCTGTCTTAGCATTAGACAAGCTTGTTCAATTTTTAGCTGCTGCTCAGAAGCCAACTATCTTAATCGACAATACTTCCAACCAAAGTATCGCCGATTTCTATCCAACTTTTATCAAGTCTGGAATTTCCATTGCTACTCCAAATAAAAAGGCATTCTCATCCGAGTTATCTGTTTGGAATGAAATCTTCCAAGCATCAGCTGCTCCAGGTGGAGGATTAGTCTACCACGAAGCTACTGTCGGTGCTGGTTTGCCCATCATTGGACCACTCAGGGACTTGGTTGTCACTGGAGACAAGGTCGAAAAGATTGAAGGTATATTCTCCGGAACCCTTTCATACATTTTCAATGAATTTTCTACTACTGACGCTGCTTCCACCACTAAATTTTCCGATGTAGTGACTGTCGCTAAGAACTTGGGTTACACCGAACCAGATCCTAGAGATGACTTGAACGGGTTGGACGTTGCTAGAAAGGTCACCATCTTGGCAAGAATCTCTGGATTTGAAGTAGAATCACCAACCTCCTTTGAAGTTGAGTCATTGATTCCAAAGGCATTGGAATCCGTAGAAAAGGCTGACGACTTCTTGGCCCAATTGCCAAACTATGACGCTGATATCCAAAAGATCAAGGATGAAGCATTGAAGGAAGGTAAAGTCTTAAGATTTGTTGGACTGGTTGACTTCAAGGCGAACAAGGTTTCCGTTGGAATTGGCAAATATGCTTTTGACCACCCATTTGCTTCATTAAAGGGTAGTGATAACGTCGTTTCCATCAAGACTGACAGATACCCTAACCCATTGATTATCCAGGGTGCCGGAGCTGGTGCTGAAGTTACTGCACATGGTGTTTTGGCTGATGCTATCAAGATTGCTGAAAGAGTTGCCGTTTAATCAGGTTTTACTTTTGTCAACTTAAGAAATTACAATTTATATACTATAATCAATATATTATATTATTAATACTACTGCAATGCTTTTGCCGCTGGTTGGTATATTGTCTCTAATTATTAATGTCTTTGTAAGTTAAAGAGAGCTCCTGACAGTCCAATCTTGCAAAGCTTGGCTAAATATCCCTCTCAAGATATTCTTATCTGTACAGGTTCTTCTGAAATCAAGCATCACTTTTTGAGCATCATGTGTGTTCAACTTCAGATTTGCGTCTTTATCTGGAGTAGTACCAGATGTCGCCCTCTGTCTAGTTAGATGAACATTGTTGGGAGCCAAAAACAAGTCCCCATTGTCTCTTAATTCAACAATATAAGTACCAGTACCATGAATGTACTGTGCATATTTAAATACCGGTTTCCCCCAACTATAAGTGATATCAATGTCATCTTTTCTGAGGAAATTTGGCAGTCTATTGTCTAGCAAGAATCCTGATCTGCTCAACAAATATAAATGGAAATAAAACTTGTTTTCCTTCAAAATACTACTTCCACTAAATTCCGGGTCAGTCCACGGGTCTAATTCCAATCTGATATCAACAAACAGATGGAATGGGTTAGCCTCTGGAATGGTACAAAGTTCATCCCAAGGAGTCTCAACAAGTTTTAGACCGTACCTATCGCAGAATCTAGACCAGTTGGTTATAGTCTCATCGATAAACTTCGCTGTCGTATTTAACCATTGTAATCTAATGTGGTAGCAATGCTCCGGATTGTGGACTTTATCGTAATGTACAGTAACTATTTCCGGTTTAAAGGATTTCTTCAATGGGTCCACATTAAATTGGACAGAAGAGGATAAATGGAATGACTTTTTTTCAGTGTTAGCATTATCTACCGATGTTGACTTTTCTAATTCACCTCCAAACCTAGAGCTTTGTTCAACAACTGGACTCTTAATTGATCCATTATCATTGTTATTGACGTTGTTCTCCAAGGTAGTAATAGAACTTCTACTCCTATTGAACCACCCACCACTCCTCGTACTCTTGTATGCTTTGTCTATATAATCGTCCTCAAATTCATAAAAGTAATGCCCATCTAACAATCCATGTCTGCTCTCAACGTGCTTAAACAAACCCATAACCTTTAATTCTTGTCCGAATTCAGTTCCTTCTTCCCTACTATCTATCTCCTGAAAGTTTTCAATTAACCATGAGACAAGTTCGTTACCAAGAAAACAATGAGGGTGAACCTTAAAATGCCATGTTCTGTCTACAAGATTTAAACCATTTTGCCCTTGCAATTCTTGTGCCAATTGGTTTAATGTAAAATCATTACGACTGAACCTACTACTTCCTTCGTTACTCCCAGAATTATGAGACCCATTAAGGAAATCGTTACCATCCTCCTGTTCAACCAAGAAGTCATACAAGTTTCCAGTATAAAAGTTGATTTCAGGCAAAATCTCCTCTTTTTTCCTTGCCAATTTCCGTCCAACCAGTAGTGAGGCACCTTTCCTGTATTTCCCTTTTTCAATTATTGCAATCAACTTTCTTAATCCTTCTAATCTAATTTCTTCATCTGAGAGCTTCTCATTAGAAATATAAACGGCATTTTTGGAGATTTCCGAAGGCATCACAACAAATTTCATTTTATGGAATGACCTTTGGTCCTCTGGCATAGCCTCCTCAAATCCAGCTAAGAGTTGGTCAAACTGATTCCAATTATATTTTTGAGGAGTCCGCTTAATAGCATCAATTTTAGAAAAGGAATACTCATCTGCGTATCTTGTTCTAATCAAAGGATCATACGGTTTAGTTTGGTAATTACCGGAGCCTAAAGATGAAGCAGGTTTTGTAGGAACAATGGATTCAATCCGGCGATATAGTTGCACGTTTAAGTTTCCATTGAAGTCAATATTGATTCGATGAAGCTCATCATCATAACTCAAGTATATAAGCGACCCAAATGGTACCAGTCCATTAGAGTTCAAATGTTTAATCAAATACTCGGGGTTCCCTCCATTTTTTCTATCTCCCTCAACCTCTTTCACTTTATCTCCCCAGCAGATTTGGAATCCCAATAGCAATCTTAACTGAACCATCTCTCTAAATAATTCCATATTTGTCTCCAAATGCAATTCATTATCTGAACTCAATAAGACATCGTATATTTGGAAGGTGTAATTAGAATTCAACTCCCTTGATGAGGGGAAAACAGTGGTCACGATCGGTAATGCAGCAGGTGATTGAAAAGATCTCCATTTTACCGATCTTCTTTTGATGTTTGGTGGGAATACTCCATTCCATCTAGACAACCTCAAGAAAGCTAGAATATCGGAGTGCATTTCTTTCGAGGGATTTGCAACAACTGTCCACAATAAATCACTTGGAAGGTCAGCCACTTTGTCTTTTGCTTCAGGTTTGAAGGTTTTACTATCTGGGTTAGATATTTTTCTCATTGCTTGATCAAGTGCTTCCTTCTTTGGACTCGTTCCAAGTAGTTCACCTGAGCCAAAAATTTCATCTTTAGGAATCAATCTAGGTTGAGTTAAATAGTCTCTTGAGCTTTTAGCAATTGGTATTGGTGTGAAAGATCTTTTAGATTTTGGTGTAGATGTACCACTACTATTAGTCACTACTGGTGAAAGAAAAGAGTTCAACATTTGCAGTGAAGGTGGTAAGACACTTATATCCGTATCTTGATTCTTTAGTGAGTACAATGTGCTCAAGGCCGCAGAATCGCTTCCAGTATTTGTCACGGTTCCCATCGCGGTGGTAGATACATCGACGCTATTTGCTGCTGATGTGCTTCTATTATTCGTAGTTCCTTTCCACATTAAAGATATCGAAGAAAAATCAAATGAAGGAATTAACGACGAAGAGGACTTTTTCGACTTCACTTTAAGATCTTCAGTAGCTTCCTTTTTTTTCTCATTCAGTTTATGTTTGTTGTTTTTTGGGTTAGTTAATTCTTTCTCTTTTATATCTTTTGAAGAAATTAATTGGCTTAGGTTCGAAAGTTGATGGGCATGAGCTACAGGAATTTCAGTGTGAACAGATTCCTTTGGTTTGACAACTGGTGCAAATACATCCTTATCGTAAACATCCATTGCTTCTAATACGCTTTTTGCACCCTTTATAGCTTGAAATCTCTCAATTTCCAAATCATTTACTTCATTTTCCATTACCCCCATCATTTGTAATTCATAAATTTTACAACGGGGAATCCATTGACTGGTTTTGAGGGCCAGGTCTTTAAAGAATGAGATATCGCACCAATTTGGAACACAGTGTGAAACTTCCCCTCCCTTGTTCGGATCCTTGTATCTAAACAATGGAACTATATGTAGTGGAGGTTGACTCAAACAGACTATATCTAGCCCCGCGTCAAGGCTAAGCATTTTCCGACTCGTCTCGGCCATCAAGTTGTAATCTACGTCAAATAGTCCAGTACCTGGTGTAACAACAACAAAAGAATTTAAAGAGTGTTTCAAATCTGTGTTCTTGAATCTATCAGTAACAATAGTAATACCCAAATTAATAGCTTCTAATAAATTCCCCTTGACTGATGGTAATGAGTCTCCTTCCATCAAAAATTTACCATTGGAAGTCTTGAGCATTATGTCTCTCTTAAAATTGGCAAACTCTAATCTTAAATTAGCCATGATCCTGTCCCAATGGAAAATGTTTACTTGGTCAACCACTACTCTGAAGAAATCCCTCCTGGTGCTTGGCCTTTCACCCTGACCAAATGAAGTCCATGGCACGCTGGTCAAATCAACAGATGTAAATAAGACAATAGTGATAGAATGGTGAGTACCCTTATCCCTCCATTTTTGAAATATTTTCGGAAATAAAGTATTTACTAACTTGTGAAATAAAATCTCTCCAGTTTCTTCGAAATGCCACATCTCTCTTGATAGTTGTACCAAGAATATCAACTTGGATGATTCAGATCTGAATATCACATCGGTCTTTTCACCTATGTATCCGGAGAAGACCCTTCTACCATTTTTGTATATACATTTCACAACTCCGCATCTACTATCCAAATAACTTAACCTCTTGTCAGTATAGACACAAGAACCAACCAACTGCAGTGAAAAGCTCCACATTGAATCTCTTGAAAGCGAAACGTCCTTTATGAAGACTTCTACTGTGTCTACTTCGACAGTCTTAGCATCCACAACTTGAATATGTGCCAAGCTTCTAGGTGGTAAGTCTAGGAGTGACTGAAGTGGATTTGACAATAGCGATACTTGGAAATTCGACTTGAGCGGCAACCCAGTGGTATTGGAGGATCCTCCAGATGCAGATCCCGTTATACCTTGTCCAAATCCAGACATATTTCCTGATGCATTGAGATTGTTTACTCCACCTCCAGGTCCTGAGTTATTTGTCGAAGCTGGAGATATTACGGGCGTTGTTGGTACAGTTGAGGAGCCTCCGACAGAGGAACCAGAAGATGGAATCAGCATATTGGAATTTAAGGCTGTATTAATGGTATTATTGTTATTACTACCTTCCGATCCTTGCATAGAATCCAGAGATTCCGGACTATTTTCATTGTTTTTATCTTTCGCTTTGAAGATGAGTTTTCTTCGTTTCGGTTCTCCTGCTCTTTGGAATGGTGTCAACTCGCAGATGTCCCCTTCTTGGATTCCCGGGATCAGCCTACATTCTAATACTACATCTTCTGATGTGGTTCGCGTATCATGGAACCACACTGTGACAGGTATAGGGTCAATTGGAAAATTTGCTCTTGGAGATGACTCTTGACTCAACCTCTTAACTACATGACCACCTCCAACTACAGTACGTTGTACCGAAGTCGAGGTTATATTGGAACTACTCGATCTTATACTTGACAAGTCCTTTCTCCTGCCAGTTACAATTGTATTTTCTATGCCAGATCTTGAATGACTAGAGGTATTTAGAGTTTGGCCCACTACAAGATTAGTCTGATTTGAGGACATAGTTCCAGAGCCTCCACCTGATTTTACTTCTTGTGAAGATTTATGATCAGCTTTGCCTAGCATTTGCCGCCTCGTGTTAATGCTATTATTATTGTTTGAAGCGGGAATTCCACTATTCTTACCGCTTGGATTGAACATCCTAGCATGCTGCATCGTGCTTAACCTGGTCCAGCAAGTTGGTAACCTCCATATCTCTCATACAAAAAAAGCCATGGCCCTTCTGTAATCATATCTACGTTGTATGCAGGTCGCTCACGATCCATTTTACAGAAGCTGCGGAAGATGGACAGGCATATGCAGGGACTGGGAATACTACGTACTTCCCCAGCTTTACATCGGGGGGTGATTCGTTTGTGTTTTCTTGTATATTATATAAATAAACCATTTCTATACTACTTTCCGCTTACAAATTCATCTAAAAACCATTTATGGAACCTTGTATCGTCGCTGAGTTCAGGGTGGAATGAGGTTCCGATTTTATTGCCCTGTCTCACGGCAACAATTAATCCGTTTTCCAATTGATGTAATATTTCCACCTTTGAAGGATTCTGGTAGGTATTTTCAGATCTGATTACTTCTCCGAGTTTATTGTATGTTTCTTCACTGTCATCTAGTATCATCTCGACTACAGGAGCTCGTATGAATACCGTAGGGAAATCACTTACTCCAGGGATGAAAGTGGAAAAGTCCAATTTCTGTTCAAACGAGTTCAATTGTCTACCAAATGCGTTCCTCTTCACCATAATATCCATGCCTCCTAAAATCTTCTGTCCTTCTCTCCCATTGACTATCTGCTTCGAAAGAAAAATGAGTCCTGCGCAAGTTCCCCATACTGGCTTCTCAGATTTAATGAAATCCATCAAGGGCTTCAACATACTAGTGCGTTGAGCAATAAGTGAGATTGCAGTGCTTTCACCCCCAGGGATCACTAAAGCATCGCAAGAATGTAATTGTTCCTCGGTCCTAACTTCTATAAAGCTGTATGACACGGGTGATTGAATTTTCTCAAATATTTGGATGTGTTCAATGAAGGCACCTTGTAATGCCAAGACACCAACGACTAGAGACCTGGTCATGTTCGCCAAACCACACTCTCAAATGCACGGTGCAAAGAAATTGTGTCAAAGTGAAAATAAAATCGAGAAGCAGAAAACTAAAAATAAAAGCAAAAAAAATAGAAAATCACAGAAAAAAAGTGCAACGATCCTACTGCCAGTGAGCCAAAAGAGTCTTTAGTTCACATATGACTCTTGTGGGGAAGTTGGAATGTTCGTGGCGATGTCGGCGGAACTTGCTTGGCTCATTTGACTCTGATTTCAAGTCAAAGGTTATCGCTAGTTCCAGAATAGACACATTCCATAAAACCGCGCATGCGCAAGTTCCGTAAACGCATGCAGGCATATAATATTTCACTGCAGTCTTTTCTTGACTATGCAACTTCTTCCACACACCCATATAAACCGATCAGAGTCAATAGCTTGAACAATAACCTCTCCCACATTACGCTAATATTATATAGTGTTTTGCTTGATGACACATTACCCTTTGGTGTCGGGAAATTTCACGTATTAATCAAGTAAATCCGAATCAGTGAATATTTCTTTCACTTTATATAAAAAACCTAGTAGATTTCTAAGTTATTTTAAGCTCTTAGTACTCATTTCCTAATATAGACCACCTAGTGAACACACAATTGTACCTATATTTTTCAGAACCATGTCAGATTTTAAAGTTAAAGCAGGATTGGCCCAAATGCTCAAAGGTGGTGTCATCATGGATGTTGTCAATGCTGAGCAAGCCCAAATTGCTGAAAGAGCTGGTGCATGTGCCGTTATGGCATTGGAAAGAATTCCAGCTGACATGAGAGCTTCTGGCCAAGTGTGTAGAATGTCAGACCCACAGATGATCAAAGATATTATGAAGACTGTCTCAATTCCTGTTATGGCCAAGTGTAGAATTGGTCACTTTGTAGAAGCACAAGTCTTGGAAGCCTTGGAAATCGACTATATCGACGAATCAGAAGTGTTGACTCCTGCTGACAAGTTGTTGCACATTGAGAAAAAGAAATTTAAGGTTCCATTCGTGTGTGGTGCTAGAAACTTAGGGGAAGCATTGAGAAGAATAGATGAAGGTGCAGCAATGTTGAGAACCAAAGGTGAGGCTGGTACCGGTGATATCTCTGAAGCTGTCAGCCACATCGCCTTGATCAAAAAGCAAATCGAAGAAGTGTTAGCATTGAAGACTGATAAGGAAATTGAGGAATATGCTAAGGAGATTAGAGTCCCAGTTGAATCATTGGTCCAATTGATAGAGAACAAGGGTAAATTCCCAGTGGTGAATTTTGCTGCAGGTGGTGTTGCAACCCCGTCAGATGCAGCATTGTGCATGCAATTGGGATGTGATGGTGTTTTCGTTGGCTCGGGTATTTTCAAGTCGAAACACCCTGAGAAGTTAGCAAAGGCTATTGTCAATGCTGTTACCCACTTTGACGACCCAAAGAAGATTTTAGAGTACTCTACTGATTTGGGAGAATTGATGTTCGGTGTCGCAGTTGGTGGGTTAAAAGATACCGAAAAATTATCCTCGAGAGGATGGTGAGGGAACACTAGCTAACAAGCAATATGCACCCCAAAGTAGCAAAAAAGATATGCTACAATGGTACCATCCCTTCCTTCTCCCAGCTTGATAGTTTCGATCGACATGAAAGTACCACAATCAAACAATAGGGCTAAACTAAAAAAAATACTTATATAATTTGAGTTACATAAAAAATAATGTATGAGAATCTTACACACCTAACGTTTTGATCTAATATAGTACCTCGTTTATTTTCCACCGTGTGTTTCGTGTATCATGCTGCCTAATTGAAAAATATAGGTCTTACCTTGCTATATATATCTTCCTTGTTTTGATCAATGTTTACTATTTCCTTAACGAAGTTATCAATATCGTGGGGAATTCTCTTGGTAATGCCTAAATCGTCACTGCATACAAGCAACATGTCAGGTTTCAAGTTCTTCAATATGTTGAAGTAACCCTGTAAGTTCAGGCAGTTGAGTAACTTATAGTTTTGGATCAAGGTCTTTGGTAAATTGTAAGACGTGCCTTCTTCACTTCCCTTGCCTCCCTTTTCCATGTTAAATTCCAAATCATCCAATGAAAGATTTGGTGGTAAAATGAAAGTTACGTTCTCCGAGTTGAGCAAGATATCGTTCAAAGGCAATTGAGAGCTTAAGATAGAATGGGACAATGTGAGGGCAATGGACTTATTAGTGTATTTATTTGATTTCCTTCTCTCTATTCCTGGTTGTTTATTGTCTTGTAAAGTTTCATCATCTTCTTCTGTCCTTTCCTTGCCTCCTATGTATGAGTTGTACACTTGTAATGAAATGGCAATGGCTGAAGTTGCAACTGCAGCAACAATCCAGCCCTTTGGATTTTTTTGGAATCTTTTTAAGGACATCTTAATGACTTAGTGTATGCGATTGAGTGTGGTATACAGCAAAATAGAAAAAAAAAGTACGATGTTCTTTGAATTTTTATCAGTTCCTGAGTAAATAGAAGTACTAGCGTATGTGGGGAAAACTTATGATGGTGTGTTTTCAAAAATATTTCCAGAATTTTTTGTAATCTTTAAAAAGTTGAACCACTGGGGTAAAGCAAGTCAAATATAAAGTGACCTCGGTGTCTATCGAAAACACACTTGAAACTGTCAGTTGAATGAAAAGTAACAGCTGCCTATAATAATGCGATTTCAGTAGTCAACCTATATGATCTTGCAGAAAGGAAGTACTTGACTCTTATACTTATCCAAAAAAATCACATCTCCCTCTTCTCTCCATGTATTCGAAGGAATTTATGGTGGAGAATTTGAAGGTTGCGGCTCGCTCCAGATAGTCGGCCCAACAAAATTCGCAGCGTTCGATTTTAAGGTTTAGCGCAGTTCTTGATCCCGCGAAAGGAAACAGAGAGTCAACTGAGTCACGCTAGAAGGTGTGGAATATTCTCACCAGTTTCAAGCAGCGTCATTATTTTGACGTACGGAGTTGCAGAGTCTTCTTGTAGTTGTAGTTTTTAATGTAGCATGGAGTCTTTACTCTTGTACTAAAGGAAAGGAACGTATTTCTCCACACCCCATCGCCCCGGGAAGGAGAATCACGGGAACGGGTTAGCGGATATTTCTAGGGACCCTGTGATTTTATAGTGCCTATATGTGGGTGCAACTCGATTTAGTTAGCTCTACTGTTCTCGATATTATCTTGTTAGTTATTTTGGGTGCAATTGATTCATTCTTAATGTTGTAACTGATACTACACTATGCTTGTTTGTACTATTTATTGGTGTAATTAGTCTTTATCAATTCTTCTTCTATTCTCGATACTATCACTGTTACTGTTCTTTTACTAGTTTACTATTAATTTATTATTATATAACTATTATTGTTACTATGATTATTACTATTACTTATAATATTACATTAACTCTCCTCATTCTCCTCCAGAATCACCTTTAAACAATAATTCATCTCATCTTCATCCAAACTTTTCACATATAAACATTTGGATAATAATTCATCCTTCACCGGTAATCTGTAGTGTGTAGACCACTCAATACATTGAGACAACGACTTCACAATATGTACGGAGGTTCTAAATCTCGAAAAGTTGATAAACTTTTCATTTGCACTGAATGCACTAGTACCACTAATGTTGCTCAAATTCTCCTCCCCATTTGGTTTCGGAGGTGTGATAAATGCTGGTCTTTCAGCATTGAAAATCAAGTCTGAAAGATACAATCCGACGAATGGAATACAACCATTTGATGGCTTTATCTGATTGATACATAACCTAATGTTCAAAAAATTCTTTAAAGGCGAGCTTAACTCTTCCAAATTCTTTAACATTAAGATGTCTCCTGGTGGTAAATTTTTCCAAGTCTCTTTCAACTTCGAGACTTTCTCTGAAGTTAAACCCAAGATAATTTGCATCAAGGTTGAAAAATTTTGCAATAATAAACAATTCTGGGCAATATGGATAAACCTAGATATAATAAGAATCCTTTCGCTTTGTTGTTTTGTTAACAAGATTTCAGAAATAATCCAATTAACCATGAGATTGAATCTGGATATAACTAAATTTACTCCCTTGTTCTGGTTGAAGTAGTTATCATTTACAATGATTTCAAGCCAACTGTTCACTGGTTGTAAATCTTTATTCCACTTAAGCTCAATCAACTCCTTCCAATCAATCTCTTGAAGAATATCTTGTTCGATTGTAGTAAAATGATCTGCAAGTGACTTTGAATCATATCCTAAAACAAAAGAGATATGGCTATTTGACGATAGAACTTTTTCAATAGACAAAGTTTCGTTTGAAATGGTATACACATCGAGTATAGCTTTTGGCGAGAGAAACCCATAAACTCCCTTATGTGAAAGAGGGACCTGACTGCTCAAAATCTTTCCCTCATCAATCTCGTCTTCGCCCTCATCATCATCTATGCCAAATATTTCTTCTCCATCTTTTTCGACTTCATCCTCGTCACCAGCTTTATGTTCATCTTCGCTGTTAAAGCCATTCCCATGACTATGTTCTCTCTTCACTGGTGTAGAACATGGCAAATCCATACTAACTTTGCTAAATCTCCTTGGTGTCAAAGGTGCTTCCTCGAATTCTAAATCATCGTCAAAATCTATAATATCCTTGGTATTTGCATTGTTTATCTCATTCAAAATGTCTTGAGTATTGTCAAATGTATCTTTACTAGACTTCTTCTTGGCCTTTGTTCTCCCTTCTAATTTGTACAAGGCGAATTCGACTGGATCATTTGACCTAAACGATTCATCTGGTATGGCAGCAAGTTCCTGTAGAACAAAATTGCTGATTCCTGGAATTGCAACTGAGCCCAGAGTAGAAGATGTATTACTAGTGCGTGTTGCTCTAGTTACACTCGTTTTGCACTTTATTGCTACTGAAAATATTGAACTATCTGCAACGTCCAGCAGTTTGATTGACCTTTTGGATTTTCTTACAATATCATCCTTAGATTCGTCTAAGTTATTGAATGGCAATTCAGTTAGTGCGTACAACGTACTGAACCGAATACTTTTTCTTAATGATGAAGACCTTGAATTATGAGATCCTAAAGATTGTCTATCTGTAGGAATAATATCACCAACTCCTCTTAAGTTATTATAGCCATTCTTCTTCCTAAGACCATATTGGCTATTGTCTTTTTTAATTTTGTCAGACCCATTCGAAGATGAAAACACTGAATCATAACTAATGTACGATTTAATCGAATCCCTCTTGAAAACAGAAGAAGACGAGGTTCTAGATATGATGGAAAGTCTCTTTTGGTTAAAGTTTATGTTTGCTTCATTGAATGAAATACGCTTTGTATTTTGTGATTGCAGCTGGAGTAACAGCAGCTTTCTCTGCGGATGTGGTTGTTGTTGAATGGGTTGCTGATTTTGTTGATTTTGCTGTTGTCTCCGCTGTTGAGCCAGTTGTGGACTTAAAATGATTCCCAAATCTGTAACATCTTCACCATATTGGGTAATATTACTAGGAGTTGAAACGGATGATTGGAATGATTCATCAGAGTGCTGAAGTGAGATAAATTCTGGCTCCTCGGGAAATTCAGAGCTCACATCAAAATATTGTGTACCAGACTTAGCTAATCTTTCTTCTCTGCTACGGTGGACCACAGATTCATTATTAGAATAATCTTCACCTTCGATCAAAAATGAATCGTCTTGTTCTTCCTCATCTTCACCAAGAACTCCACTATTTTCGTTGGAATGATCTAATTCAACTTCGTTCCAGTTGATTGAAGCTGGTCTTTGGAATGATTCCGACAGGTCTGGGATAGCTCCACTGTCAGATCCTTGGTCCTGATTCTGATCCATATTAACAATATTCAAACGTGATAATTCGCTAATATCAATGTCATGTTCGGGCAATTCGTCATTACTTCCAGCATTAGACAACGACTGTTGTATTATCTGTCTTGAGCGATGATCACTGGCAATTGAGTTAGAAGTAAGATTTTCTTGATCAATATTTTTTGCGTTTTGATGTAACATTAACTTGGATGGAGAAGCAGATAGTATGTTTATACTATTTTCATTTTCCAACTCGTCATTATGGTCTTCAATTATTGTGTTAGGGGTTGGTTCATTTAAAATATAATAACGGATCAAGTACTCCAATTCATCTATAATCCTTGCAGATAAGATATCCACTCTATCTCCAATTTGGGCCTTAATGTCTTCTTCACTGACGATTGGAGTTGTTGGAATTGGAGGAAGATCTTTTCTACTTGACATTCTTGTAAGTGGTTCATCTACATTTGTAGCGCTTTGAAATGACTTTTTCCAGTTATCCACCAATCTCTTGATACTGGTTTTTCTCCCTATATCATTGTTGTCACCACCAAATGCGTTGGAAGGCTTATGCAAGTTCGAGATTTCGTTTATGGTGGCCACTGCTTCAAGTGCCGTGTTCTCATTCTCTGGCTTTATTATATATTCCATTTTCTTGACGGGTGTTTTCGGGATCAATGTATCGACTCTAGAACTGGGCACTTTAACCTTACCATTGGTCGAAAATCCGACACCACCTCCGGATAAACTAGTGCTGTTGTAGCTTCCTCCGCCTCCTATTAAATGCTTAGTGTTTTCCTTGTTTTCTTCCTCTTCTTCACCAGCTCCTTCGTAATTGACATCTTTTGTGGTTTTCTTTAAGCCTACGGAATTGTCTTGCAAATTAATATGATTGTGCTTGGCGTGACTAACCTGAGTCAATGGCTTTCTTTTACTAGTATACATGTTCAATAGGTTGTTACTACTGCTTGTTGTTGGAGTAGATACCATGACTATACCAGTCCCCTTTTGAAACTGTTGCAATTGATTATTTATACTGGCTCTCGACGATTTATGCTGTAACAACAAATTATTAATGCTCATTTGAGGGTTTTCATCATTCCCATTCTCATCGAAAATTAAACATTTGTGATGTGCTTTTTGATCATACAATGATAGCATGGCTGATCTTCTATATGATGGATTAGTATGTATGGACATATCAGTGTTGCTTTTAGAAAGCTTGTAGAAGTTTCTGGACAGAGCTATATCCTTGACTAAGGGTAACGGATAGAGCAAGATGTTTGCATGACCAATCAGCTCAATGTCAATCTTGGTTCCCCAAAACTCATTGATCTGAGTAAGCCAATGGATCTTTAAATCTGTGAAAATCTTCGTCTCGAAATTCATAGGGTGTGATGAGTTTACGAAACCAGATTCAATGGTCATCTTGTTGATATGAGTAATGAAAATTTCACATATGGAAGAGTTAGCATCGAAGTCATCGACAAAGTAGTTCAAAATCCAATGTCTAAGAACCACGAATGTTCTTAAAAGCACCAACTTCCCTATCTTGATGTTCAGTTCTTGATTAGACACGATGTATTGCAAAGACCACCAGCACCTGGTCAACAATAAGTTCATTACTTCGACTGATGAAACAAATGTTCTATAGGTCAAAAAGAAGTCACAAATCAAGTTGTAGTCGATGATCTCAGGGGAGGTCAATTGGACTATGAGCGCTTTTAGCGTCCCGTGGTTTATGAGTTCTGGGTTTGTTTCATCAAACTTGACAATGGGAGCATTACTATGGACCGTGGGAAAGAGATATTCGTCATCGAATACCGATTCATTATGAGAGTTGTAGGCAAATTGGGTTGACATATGGGCGAGCGTACTCCTCTTGATGCTAGAATTGGCTCCAGTTGACGTAACAGGAAATGCAGACACCGAGGGAACTACAGACTGGGACAGTGAGTTTAAGTCTAAGTTCTTAGAGTGGTCGTGGTGCACACCCTGGGCCATACCCTGACCTTGATCTTCTTCTTGTTTTACCGGTTCACTATTCAGGGTCCCTCCGTTCTGCAGCTCGACTTCTTGTTCAGTTGGCATCATTTCCGACGATTGACTGAAGAGGTGCATCAGCCGTTGTTCCTCCTGAGGAATCATGTATAGCGTGGACCGACGTTCACTGGGCGTAGGACTCTGAATTGAGTTGGCCCCACTTATAGTAGGGACAATGTCATCGAATTCTTCCGCAGACATCACGCAAAGCAAAGAGATTGTGTATATCTGAGTATTATTGACTACGACTACGATACTCTTGTTGGTGTGTTTACCTCTGTTTGCCGTCCCGTTGAATTATTAACACTTTTTTTTTTGTGTTTTGCGTTTTCTTCCTTTCCCTACTTTCCTCTACTTTTGGTTCGGTATTAGGGTTTTTCTTTTTTTTTTCTAGCTTTATTTTTATGCGATTCCGCTATGTTGTTTGGGTGTTGTTAATCTCACGGGCTTCTTTTGTTTTGATTTTAAAGTTTGTGGGTTTGTTTACGAAACACGATTATAAGCATCAAGTACTGTGGTTTCCTGCATGTAGTACGATTTTCATTCCTGCGCGACTATGCCCATCAGCTCGTCAGAGATGCACTGTACAATGGAGAAGCAGAGACGAAGAGGCTGAGAGTGTAAGAGGGCTGCTATTGTGCGAAGGTGAATGGGACTGAAATGAAGCAGTAAATAAATAAACAAGAACGTGTGTTTGGAGAGGGCCACTCAACATGTTGAAAAATCCAGACCTTATAGGTACAACATGGTGCTCGTTACTATGGGGCGACTGTTAACATGACACTAATGTGTTTGTTCTTCGGTAAGTGAGTTGTGCAAAATGGTGTGCTGCATGCCAGTACAGGTTTCTTGCACATTCTCTTGACAACTGAAAAATTTTGAGTGTGTCTATCCGCCCTAGCTAATTAGACGTATATTTAGATCTTAGACAATAAGAATGTACAGTGTACAGGCAAACGCGTCCCCATAGAGGTGGGCAAGAGGTGAACAAGAGAGCAAGTCAGGGTCCAGGGAGCCAGTTCGACATTCTTTAGGTACTTCCCGCGACCAATTTGAGGAATAGTAGCAGAGTGGTGGTAGGTCCAACAGTGCTGTTGTGGGTGTGTGGGTTGCATTTACTAAGCGCTTAATAGGCAAGGTCTAGGCATTGGGTGCAAAAAAAAAAAAAAAAAGAACATAATAGGGAAGAAAATAAACGAGCCGACATTGAGAGGATGTCTTGATTTTATCACTTGCAGGACTAGGTACTCCGGGTACGTGTATCTATTTTCTCCATACATTCCAGATGTCAAATCATTCCATTCTTTAGTTGAGCGAGCACTTACCGCGTTTCAGTGAGAGCTTAGAGAGCTAAATTGACATGAAAGTTAGTAACTGGTTCACTCTGCCGCACCACTTTGACGAAACGCTCTCTCCCTTTCTCCGCTTTCTTCTTACATTTCCATTCTATCAATGCAATATCGTGTAATTATCATCCTGTATCCAACTTTAACGCTAAATATATATTTAAACTCTCTGTTTTACAAGAATTTCCCGTTCCTAACCGTCTTATTTCTCCAAATTCTGCGCTATGGCCTCTTTTAATGCATTAAATGGAGATGTTCTAAATTTCGGATTCTGCAATACTGAACTAAAGTTTTTGTTCTCCTGGGACAATATCTTGGAATGGCCAGTTCTTTTGGCTGCGTTGGGCAAGTTTTTGTTACTTTTCGAAGATGCAATAAACCCGGCCTTTTCTACTATTTTTACATTTTTATTTGTTGGCTCATCCAAACTCATCAATAACTCATTCATCTTAGGCTTCAATTCTTCCTTGGCCTTCCTTTTCCTCCTTCTTAATGATGATTTAGATATGCCTCCACTTGTGTTACCGTTAACTTCTATTTTTTTCGCGAATGTAGTTGATTTTTCTTGCTGCTTATCTTTCTTAGACACTTTCAGGAGCTTTAAAAACGGATTTTCATGATATGATGAATCATCCTGGGTTTCAGAGAACTCTGAAATCTTATTCACAAGTGATGATTTGGTAGCCTTGGCCGATTTTTCTCTAAGAGTAGTACGCTTTTTTGCGGCCTATAAAGTTAGTAATGTGCCCAAAATAAAAGAGTGTCATTTCTATATTCTTACATACCATTTTTGATTATGCTTGTATGGTCTCTTAGCGAAGTAGTTGAGTCTACCACTGCTTAATTTTTTTTTCATAGTTTTGATGATAGTGGTAAAGATTTCGATACTGCGATGAGGTACTATGCAGGAATGGCTGCAAAATGGTGAATGGGTTGTTATGCCTAGTAGTTAGGGTGTACTTTGTAGCACTGTGGTAAACAAAGTATTGCTTTTCTGGCCAGAGATGACCCATGTTAAGCTCTGAAGGATATTTCTTTACATTCATTCAACAAAAAGTCATTACATTTTCCAATCCTGAATTTATTCCGTTCCTTTCATTAATCAGACAGAATATTACAGGCCAGACAAGTCAGAGAATGCATGTGGAAGGTAAGGCAAATCCATCCAAAGCATTACACCTGAGTTCCCAGTTCTCAGTGAATATACTATATCGGCGTATGTTTCAGAGAATAACCACAAAATACTAGCAGAACACTTCCCACTAACCTTCCACCAGCTTACACTACAGGGACAAAGTATGGAGACCACCACATGCAGGACGTGATTCAGTTCTACATCCTTTCATATGAGAAGATACAGACTGTTCAAGGTGTAGCATATATCCATAACGAGACAAAAAAATTGCCTCATTTGATATTCTTAGACTAAGTCAAGTCCCTGAATTCCATTATCCACTACACTTACAAGAATTCAACCTATATACCTACTTTTACATCAAAAAAGCACTTCTATACCTGAGCACCAACACCATTGCCTTATCCCATCGTGATTCCTGTATACAATCACTTTTTTTTTTTTTTTTTACATTTAATTTCCGAAATTACGCACAATTTGTCTCATCTACAACAAAACACAAAGAGCCCCCAAACAAGAGGTGACGATTAGATATCAATACTCTAACTGTATATATTTGCTATACAGCACTGCATTTTTCCCATTTCTATACATAATTTCGATAGTGGTACACCAAATTTAACCAAAAAACGGAAACATTTCCCATTTTCCTTTGATTATTATCTTATTTGAAAAATTGTTGCTGCTGATTTGCGATTAAAGATCGATGAGCAGCGTTTCTTATAACCTTAGTAATCAGTTACCGGTGCAACTGCAACTGCAACTGCTGCTGCTGCTGCTGGAGCGAAATGGAGACCGTACGCCAGAGAATATATCCGAAAATCTAGGAAATCTAAACATAATGCATCCTACTACCCCAAAACAAAATCATCCCACGTCATCTCTGCACAATAACGCTAGCAATTCCCATTCTAATTCGAATTCCAATGCACACCAGTACACCCCCTCGGAACAGCTGCCCAGACTTCCAATTTCCACCCTGCCGAGTCGACCACCCTTACGGATTAATTCACAGGAAAACATGGATGATGTTTGTCCACTTGACAAGAAATCACCAACTCCATTTACTCCCAATAAGAGAAAGGACCCTCTTCTGGCCAACAGCAACACACCAGGTAGAACTGTAAGCAATTCTCCCCAAATGATTGACCTGGGTGAGTTCGATGTGATCAAGAAATCACATGTAATCCCTACCAAGGAAGCTGCAATTCCTACTAAAGAAACCCTAAGAGGTGGAGGACCTAGGTCAATGGCGCCCAACAACAGCGACGATCCAAGTTCAAAGATTTCAGCTTATGCTAGACTCGATTTTGAAAACTTTACGTTCTTCGTTCAAACATTACAGGTAGTGCTTGGACGTAAATCCAACGACGATCTTCTCCAGAGCTCTCATCATGCCGTAGATGTTCACTTGAGCTCCAAGAAGGCGATATCAAGAAGACACGCCAAGATATTCTACAATTTTGGGACTCAGAGATTTGAATTATCCATTTTGGGAAGAAATGGAGCATTTGTAGATGATTTATTCGTGGAAAAGGGTATAACGGTTCCTTTGACTGATTGTAGCAAGATACAAATAGGCGATATACCGTTTACGTTCGTGCTACCATCGATTGAGCCTGGTTCGGACGGATTGGAGCTCAACCCAAGTGACGCAATAAACCTTAGATCCAATTTGTACAATGGAATCAAATCAAGCAAGAGAAAGTCAGTAATTGACAAAGACAACGAAGTTGCCATAGAAGACGACGAAGAAATTGAAGAAGGGGATGGTACGGCTAATATCGTAGAGAGGATAGACAAAGGGATATCAGTTACTGAAAATAACGATAAAAACGCCGATGTTAATAAGACGAAGCAAGATCTCGAGACATCGAGGAAACACATCCAGAGAAGGATGTCACTTTCCAGAAGGAAATCTTTGGCAACAGCCTCTATTGATGAGATAAATGAGATTTTGAAGGAATTGGGACCTGAAATCGATGTGATAGATGATGCAAATGAAGAGGATTCTGACGTATTGGATGCTCAAATTCAGTCTATATTGGATGAGTACAAGAGAAAACAATCTGTAAGTAATATTGTACCTCCCTCAACCGATATAGGACCAAACGACAATTTATTTACAAGGAAAATAGATATTAAAGAGGAGGAGGATGAAATTGACAAATTGGTTAATCAGCATAACCTTTCCCAAGGTGTGCAATTAGATGAAACCTTCTTGGATGGAAAGAATGTAAATGTTGAAGGTACAGGACAGCTAGATTTATCTGGCCTTGACCAAGAAATTGCGACGCTAGCTCCTTTGATTGATGCGCATCATCAAGATATGTTAAGGAAAAATGAACCCGACAGCAAGTCAATGAATTCAAACCAAAGGCAACAAGGATTGAAAAATCCTCCATTCACCATCCACCAACCTCCTCCTCGTACAACCCCCTTGATGGGCAAGCCTGCTGTTCCAAGAATGGGCCGCCCAGCGTCAATTCAACCACCTGCATCGAGACTATATGGTAGACCTGCATCTTCTATACAAAAGAACTCCTCCGCATCGCCTTTAGGTGGTTTATCTAAAGCACAACTTGTAAATAATCGCTTGACCACTACAACATCTCCTTTGGCAGGTTTGCCAACGCATTTGGTAGCAGCTGGTCAAGGTCCTTTAATGAACTCCTCTTTGAAAGTTTCCCATGGTAAACTTGTTCAAAATAATATGCATCAGCACATACCTAAGCCGATGCCACCAAAACCTCCTCAACCAATATTGGAGGTGCCGTTGGTGAGCCTAGACGATAAAGCCAACAACTATAATGGTAACAAGATGAAGAATGATGACTTTGCTATAACCACACCATTATTGATACAATCAGTTAAAATACTAAAGGTTTGTGAACCTAAATCTTATCCCGATCTTGTTATAGTACCTAAGTATCCTAGGAAAAGAAAAGATCCACCTCCAAGAAAGCAAACTACGAAAAAAGTATATTCCCTAGAAGAAATTCCCGAACAATACAGAATTAAGCCATCCTTATCGTATTCGGTAATGATTACAAATGTCTTGAAAGCTAAAGCAAGCACGAAAGGTCTAACAGCAACCGATGTAGCGGAGTGCATTAAGGAATCATACCCTTATTACAAGTATTGCGCAGACGGCTGGCAGTTTTCAATCAACCACAATTTAGCATTGAACAGAATATTCAAGAAGATGAATCAGATCGATAATGAATGGACCTGGGGTATAGATGATGCATATGTGAACGAAAGAGAAAGAGTGAGAATGAAGCAACAAGAGATTGCTGCTTCTAAAGCGAAGGCTGCGGCATTGAAAGCCGAAGAGTTGAAACAAAAACAAAGATTGGAGGCACAACAAGCTGCTGCGCAGAGCATAGCAGGAGGCAGACCTGGATTCTCGCCATATTCTTCGTTGTCTTCTTTCAACAATGGTAGAGGAATTCCTCAATCACAATTTATTTCACAATTGCAACAACAGCAAAGTCAATATGGTACTCAAATTGGCACAAACACGTCAGGTAAACAAAAGACGATAGCTGAGCTTGCAAGTGAAATAAGAAGAGATGGACTAGTAGGATCTAAGGCTCCTTTATATTTCAAGCCAACTAGTAATTTGCCATCCGAGCCTGCCATTGGATCTGCCAGTGGTGGAAATAATAATAATATAAAAGCCCAACTTGCTGCCAATAGAGCAAATTCGTTATCTACTACACCACCTGCTGTTGGAAGTAATCCCGGAACCCCACCTCCAATTAACAACGACACCAAAAAATCACTTGCATACTTACAAAAGGAATTATTTACATTGTACAAGGCAAGAAAATTGTCCTACAACACAGCAACGACTACTGAGATCATTACAAAAGCTTTGGCTACTACAATTGCACAGGTGAACGTCATTGGTGCAAAGGCTGGATGCGGAAATAACGCGCTCAGTTTTTTGGTTGAGAAGGCACCACAACAGGTTAGTAAGATTTTAGATATTGCCCTTAGCAAAAGTATCAAAGAGAAGCAAGGAATGTTATCCTCTAGACCCTCCAGCAGAGGTAGTACTCCAGGTCCTAGTCCAAGCAGTGGACCAAGCCCAGTTAAACCTACTCCTTCCTTGACTGCAGGACCAACGAGAGTTGAACATGCAACTGGGGCCGGAGGAATAACAGGACCCAGTTCCCTTAGTAATTCACCTACAATTAGTAGATTAGGTACACCAGGTGGCGAAAACAATGGTGCTATTACACCAACAGGAATTAGCACTCTTTCAGGACTTTCCAAGCCGCCGCTGTTTAACTCAAAACCTCCGACTTATGTCAAGTCTGAATCTTCTCCACGTCCACCCCAATTTACTAGTGCTGCTGCTACAGCCAAGGCTCAGATGAATGCATCATCACCATTAACACCTGTTTTGACCAAACCACCGCAGTTTCTCTCCAACAAACCATCCAGACCAGGATATCAGGCTCTTAAACCTCCTGCGTTTACACCAGCACCTCCAGGTACTGAGAGCGGTATGAAGAGAGAATTAGAAGATAAGGATGATCAGGGCAAGGACAAGGTGATCAGAATAGAGTAATAAGAATGGAGAGATGAGAGGAATTCAGCCAACAAAAGAAAAGAAAAGAAAAGAAGGAAAAACGGAATCAAGCCAAGGATTATTTCACAGTGTTTTCTATCACCAATACTATCTCACCGTACTCTCCCTGGTCACACCCACTTCGCACACTTCGAGCAAAGCTCAGTACCACACTGGGCCCCAAGAACAAAGTAGTGAAAAAGGAAAAAAAAGATTCGACAATTTTCTTTCCTTCACTGCTTTGCCATTATACTGAGCGATATTAAATTAAATAGAATCGCATCATTTTTGTATATTTATATGTATAATAGACCATCGAACCGAACAGTAACCTCCACCTCTCCTCGACCCATTCCGTTGGTGCTCCATGTGCTGCAATTAGTGCATATAAGATATTGTTATATGCAGTCTCGACTCCAGTGTACAAATCTCAAAAATTGTCGATAGCGGTGGCGACTTCAACGGGTAGAACAACAACCGTTCCAACAGGCCAATTCAACCTTCAGTAGTCTCTATATTAAGTATAATACATACGGCAGGATGAACTCAATTGCTCAGAAATATACACACACAAACAATAATCGCATACTCAATGAAATAACTTCAGCAAGGGATGGGTTAGCCTCAACGCACCAGCTTGAATTGGCGCCATCTATCCAATTACCCCCAATTTCACAACCTACTGACTTCTTAAGAGCACACACAGATGATGCCACCAACCCAGATTGTAAAATCAAGATTGCCCATGGTACTACGACACTTGCCTTTAGATTCCAAGGTGGGATTATCGTTGCTGTTGATTCCAGAGCCACTCAGGGGAACTGGATTGCCAGTCAGACTGTGAAGAAGGTGATCGAGATCAATCCTTTCCTTTTGGGAACCATGGCGGGTGGTGCAGCCGATTGTCAGTACTGGGAAACCTGGTTAGGTACCCAGTGTAGATTGCACGAGTTGAGAGAGAAGGAAAGAATCTCAGTGGCCGCTGCTTCTAAGATCTTGGGTAACTTGGTTTACGAATACAAGGGCATGGGGCTCTCTATGGGTACCATGGTTTGTGGTTACACTAAAAAGGAAGGTCCTACAATTTACTATGTTGACTCTGACGGGACAAGATTGAAGGGAGACTTGTTCTGTGTTGGATCTGGTCAGACCTTTGCCTATGGTGTGTTAGACTCCGAATACAAGTGGGACTTGACCATTGAGGAAGCTTTATATCTTGGTAAGAGAAGTATTCTTGCCGCCACGCACAGAGATGCCTACTCAGGAGGTTCAGTGAACTTATTCCATGTTGCTGAAGAAGGGTGGGTCTTCCACGGTAACCATAACGTTGGAGATATCTTTTACGACATCAAGGAGAAGGAAAAGAGTTTCAACAATGTTGATGGTTGAGGAGGACACTTTCGAGGATGAAATAGGAAAAATAGGAAAAATAGACGAAAAAAGTAGAAAAGATTTGAAGAGGGGATGTGTAGATCAACAGCGGATGTGGTGTTCGACTGTTGTACAATGTAGGTATTTCACTGGCACTGAGAGAGGACAGCGATAAGTGAAGTACACATAGTATAAGTTGCTGGGCTGTACAATGCACGCATGAGCATGGCATGAGCATGAGCATGGCATGAGCATCAACATAAACATGCAATGAGATATACTAGATGAGGTAAATGGAGTGGTACTATATGGTTCGGCAAAAGTACAATGCACATGAGCATGGCATAAGTGAGATACACTTTGAGCTGCTTTAGGATGTGAAGATTGTGACTGAGCTTTGCAGTTGTAGGATATGAGATGCGAAGTGTGGAGATATTGAAGGGTGGATAGAGCCCCATAGTACAGTGAGCGGGCAGAACAGTACGGTGATTGAAAAGTGATGAACTACTAGACTGCTGTCTTATTCCAGAATGGGGCCTAATGGGGCCTGATGGGACACGCTAGCCCATAGACAACCAGAGCAGGTAGTTCGAAGACTCTAAAAGGAGATATCAAAGTACTTTTTTACTCTCCCCTACGCAATATCACAACGGCCATCTTTTGCACCCAAAAGTCCGCACACTAAAAACTCTGCCAGCGTACGGGCCACTGCACAGGGCACTAGCTAGGAGGGAGAGATACTCATAATACATAGTTGATGTAGATCTTAAATACCAGTACTGTATATTTCCCACCAAACGTATCTCCAAACCCTCTCTCGATGCCTAACACTCTTCACCCCTCCATCCCTCCGTCCACCAACCAACCATCAACCTTCAATCAACCACCAGTGCAACCTTCCATAAAACCACCAGTGCAACCATTCTGCTCCTTCCCAATTAGGCACTATCTAGGGCTCGGACCTAATCCACCACGTGATCCTTCCTTAACCTCATATTCCATCGCTCCTACTGACCTACATGCAGCACCGTTCCCTGCCCCATTGTATGCACTCCCTCAAGACGGTCGCACAGTCTGAAAAATTTTCGGGAGGGTTGTGCAAAAAAAATGAAAAAAAAATAGAAGACTTGGTTAGTTCTACTCTTATTATCCAAGAATTATAGTCAAGATGGTATGTGATTATATGATATTCTGTGTATTGATGCAGATATAATGTAGATGAAATGGAAGACAGCGAAAAGTGGGTAAAAGAACCGGAGGTTATCGTGATACTTTGAACTGTGTGACAATAGTGTTTCAGTACTATTAAAGATCGAACATACATGTAAGAAGGAAGATGAAAATTGGCCAGTGCAGCGGTTCTATCGCTCCACCAATGGGAAGCTATTCAGTTGAGTGTGGATGAGATACAATGAAGCCAAAAAATCGGCGGATAGCCTGAAAACAAAGATGAACACAGCGCTTGGCATGCCGAAGCAGATGAGATGGCCATCAGGAACTCTCTGGCTCCACGCAGTTTTCACACACACAGCGTAGTTCAGTCTTCGTATCATTGCACAATATGTTCTGTATTCCAAGTGTCTCCACAATCCATGAAGAAACCCCTTCTAAATCCGGTCCCCCATCCCAGATCTTCCACTGTCCTGTCCCCTTTCCTCTACTCTTAAGCTTTCCTCCTTTCCCCCCTTCATTCTCATTACTAACATCCCTAGTCTGCTAAAACTCAAAACCCTATGCGTGACTTGCATATCGAAAAGCTTGTCTTAAACATTTGTGTCGGTGAATCCGGTGATAGATTAACCAGAGCCGCCAAGGTTTTGGAACAATTATCCGGTCAAACCCCAGTCCAATCTAAGGCTAGATACACTGTCAGATCTTTCGGTATCAGAAGAAACGAAAAGATTGCTGTCCATGTCACCATCAGAGGACCAAAGGCTGAAGAAATCTTGGAAAGAGGTTTAAAGGTCAAGGAATACCAATTGAAGGCCAAGAACTTCTCCGCCACTGGTAACTTCGGTTTCGGTGTTGATGAACACATTGACTTGGGTATCAAGTACGACCCAGGTATCGGTATTTACGGTATGGACTTCTACGTTGTCATGGGTAGAGCCGGTGCCAGAATCGCCAGAAGAAAGAGATGTAGAGGTGTTGTTGGTAACAACCACAGAACCACCAAGGAAGACTCCATTGCCTGGTTCAAGCAAAGATACGATGCTGATGTTTTAGGATCTAAATAATTTTAATCGAAACAAACAACTAGCGAATAATCAAAGCGCGTACTGTAGGATACCATGTAGGTGGGAGAGAGGGGAACCTGTACGGCGATACATGCCTTGGAGTCTTTTAGTGATGCAGAGTGAATAGTCGTGCTTTCTTTTGAGTGCCTTAGTGACTGTGCACGGGCTACCTACGTCCAGGGCGAAATAGAGTAGCTTCTAAGGTGTAATTGGCCGAAAACACAGCACCATAAGGTGTAGAGCTCGAAGTCATGCAAAGCGCTGGAGAGAATATCCGTGGACTCTCCCCTCGAGCTAGTTTATCGATATTCTTTGCTTACTACTCCCACATTGTCCATAGATAAAGCATATCAGAGAATATCCGTGGACTCTCCCGTCGAGCTAGTTTATCGATATTTTTTGCTTACTGGTGGAGCGTCCCACACAGTCCATTCAATCATATCGGACCCGTTCTTCAATCATATCAGACTCTCGTCGTTTCATTTTTCTCCCCTTTACTGGGCTTAGATGCTCTCTGAGTGCCTATCTGCTGTCCAGTATACCCCCATCTTCCCAAAGACAGGCTATGGACAGAAAGTGTTCCACCACCACCGGAACCATCTGCATGCTTTTTGCACCCATGCGTGTATGCAGGCCCCGAAGTACCGCCCATCGATCAGCAAGAGGCCCCTAAGCGATGGGCCAGAGAATGCACAATTGAAGCAAAGCAGCACGGAAAGGAAACCCAAAAGCCGTACTGTACATGGCCGCGTGGTATCAATGCCCATGCCGTGTACCTAGCTGCAAAGGTCAGTGCGTGAAGCTTACACCGTTCCTATTGTGTTATGCCCAACAGACCCTATCACCGGTGCCTCATTGGGACTATGCGCTAGGCGTGTGCCTCATGAAAAATAAAATAGGAAAGCGAAGCTTGTGCCATTTCCACCGGAGACTCACAGCACTACTTTGAGGCTCCGACTTCCACCACATTGTTTTGACACAATCTGGCCCCGTTATCGACACCCGAGAACTTCTCGATATAGTACCACACATGTGGTGATTCTGGCCCCGCAAGATACATAGTCGAATCTAGTCTGGTAATCTTAAAAATAAATCCCCATTTAAACTTTCTACCTATCAGAACTCTGGATATAGAGCTGGAAAATATTTTCTGTGCATTTTTTTTCTTGCTTTTCTCGTAAATCGAAATGTACTGAGCGGTTCCGGTATTTTTGTGATCCGTTAGTATAAAGAAAAAAAAAAAGAAAGAAAAATTGTGATAAAAGTTGTAGGAATTTCTTAACGTTTTCTTGATACAAACCCGTATTCTTGATCGAAATTGTATTTTCATACTCTATAACTTGGTGTAAGAGAAGGTCCTTGGCTCGTTCTATTTGGTTACTGAGAGAAAAGAGGATGGTCACCAATAACGAAGACCTACACTATGACAATTTAATATGTACGTATGGGAGAGAGCCAGTCGGCCATCGCATTTTTGTGGAGAAAGCGGGAACAGTGCCAATTCGTTTCGAAACTGTCCTTCTGTTGACAAGGATATTTTGGATATCTTTTGCTGCCCTTTCCTATCCTTTCCTATCTATATACTAACTAAGGAACCAGACATTGATGATGAACCAACCATGCAGCAGAGAGCTGACGTTGAGCGTCTTATTCGAGAAGACATGATAATCCATGCTGGTAATGGGTTACATCCGCACACCCACTCGGGCGATCTCAACAGTATCAACAGCAACAACACTAACCCTGGCCAAAATAATACTATACATCCATTGGTAGAACAGATCCTACCCTTATCGGCATCTGGGTTCCATCACAGCGATAATTTCGCCTCATCTCCCTCTCCAATGTTACTCCATGAGATAGAAAGGTACGAAGAAGAAAACGGGAGTACTGACTTCCATGCAGGAACTTCGCCTTATGGAACCCTCTTGACTGGAGGAATTGACATGACCAGGTATTCGGAATTTACCAATGAAGATGAAGAAGGAGCCGAGGTAGATAGTATCAATTATCATAGACTTTATACTACCCTTTCATACTCAGCATTACAAAATCGAAATCTAGACATTTCCAGTTCCGCATCGGTTACTGATGACTTGGTTACTATCCAGCAAAACCATTTGAGATATGCACAAAAAATAGAAAATGGGTTGAAGACTGAAGTAAACAAGAAACGAGAGAGAATTGATGAAATTAATAGAGAACGCAAGAGAAGACAAGTAGAGGATTTTAAACCGGTAAACGACTACTTGCAGGAAAGATGGAAGGATGGTATTAAGAATGTAGTGGAATTAGGTATCGAAACAGGTAAACAAGCATAAATAGGAATTACTTCAGCAATTTGATGAAAACATTTTGCTTTGAAATATTCAAATAAACATAAATAAATTCACAAAAGCGTAGTCGTAGCAATTAGAAGAAGATCTACAAGGCTTCTATTGGCAAATGTGTATTAACGGCAGTATACATTAGCTCATAAAGCTCTATTCAGTATTTAGAAAGTAGTTGGGTGCGAATTGACATCTGTATGCTCAATTTTGGCCCTACATGGTTATCGTTCTATAAGAAATCTAAGATTTTGTATACTTTGCTTTCTCTTTTTCAAATACTGCCCTATCTAACTATTCACGTATAAACCTGATTGTTCATATATATACAAGCTTTTTGCTTCTTCATTTGTACGGACCACTTAGTTGTAGAGATCTTTAGCTTCCTGGAGATTGCTTAAGCTCCAAAAAAATGCGGTCGCACTATGCTCGCAGGACCACTGGGGTAAAATATTTATCTTACAATGGCTAAAGTCCCACTAAACATCTGTATCTATAAATATTTCTTCCTTAAATTCTCCTCCATATAGATGTATCTCTGTCAGATCGCCTATTTGGCTCAAAAAAGTGCTAAAATGGGCTCCTTGGTTCGGTACGTTTGGTCGTACCTCGCTAGCCCTCAGCCAAATTGCCACAACCTCAAAGCTTAGCTAAAAGAATATTTATCTGCAAAATTGAAGGGAAAAGTTTCTGAAATGGCCTAGGGGAAACCACAGGAAATTTTGGGCCCTTATCGCTTCACATAAACCATCAAATGGCCCAAAAGCTCTCCGTCTTCGCCAAACTCAATTATCACCATATTTCCAGATAATCACGTGACTCATGAGCTCTTCTCGGCCTTCTTCTTACTGAACATCATATCGCTTCTCGAGGAGCCTACGTTAATAATCCTAGGACACCCTTCACGATCCTTCTCTAATGTGACACATTCCAAGCAGTAGTACGATGGGACACCTTCCTCGAATCCATTTCCACATATAATGCATTTCTTGACAAGGTGTCCGAAAGAGCATTCTCCACATATTCTCACTCTGGTGGTGGATTTCACATACGAATCGCAAATAGGGCATCTCCCGTCGCACTGTTGACACACGAGACCAGTAGAAGGGCCTGTTTGTTTCATGCACTGGATGAGGTCATACTGGTGTCGAGACATGATTGGCTATACAATAATACTATACTTCTGTTCAAGTCTGTGCTCTTTCTACACTGATGCTAATCCACCTGCCAGTTATCGCTAATCTACCGAGCAGTCTTCCAAACAGAAATTTTGCGCCTTTCTTAAATTTTTATGCAGGGCACATGACCGGAGATTTTCTTGCCTTTAAGCCTTAGGCCATTGCCGCTCTCTCTTCTCTTTTGCGGAGCACGAGGTGCCCTTACAAGGTTTATAACTGTATTCTTCTTAGCAATTTTTTTTGTATTATTGATTGAAAAAAAGTAACTAATCTGATCCCCTATATACCGCAATAACTAAGTTATAAAAATGGATCTCTCCAAGAGAGATCAGAAATCGAAAATCGTACATGATTTGCCACACCCTGGCCAAACATTTCCCTCTGAGATTAGTGAGGATGAAGAGTGTCCTGTATGCTTGGATCCGATACTTCCAACTAGCACCATAGGGACCATAAAATCATGTGAACACTATTACCATGAGTCCTGTATCAGCACATGGTCTCTGCACTCCAATTCATGCCCTACTTGCCGTAGGTTATACCGTAAGGTAGAGGTGCTGGTGAAGAATAGACCTAACCATAAACTCAAGATTGTCACTGTGCAGGATCGAATCCCTGCTAATGATGCTATAGAGAGTATTCCGGCTGAGTACGTTCAAAGTGCTAGCAGCTCGGCGGTAGCAGCTTCTTCCTTCCCTCCCATATTTGCCGACGCTGAGCCTAACGCTGCTAGCAGCAGTACCCCGGCAGACTATGCTGGATCTGTTTGTACCATCTGTACAAGCTCCCAGTATAGACCGACTTGGAAGATGATGACCTGCACACAGTGCCTTTCCAGCTTCCATAGTAGATGCCTTGGTATCCGTGCCAGTATTGATATATGGTACTGCCCCATGTGTGACAGCGAACAGGTGGCACCTCCCATGGTGCCCATAGCGTCGGCTGGTACGTCTATTAGAAGCTTAACGTCTAATGTTGGAGATCTGAGGAGGCGCCGTGCAACTCCATCGCTAAACTCTCGAATTACCGAAGCTGTGTTCAGGAACCCGGCTTCTTCTTCTTTATATATTGGGAGCACCGCTACGGCTGCATCGTCTTCAGGTTATGTGAGACCCGCAACTGCTTCACGCCGCAGGCCAACTGGTTTGGTCATATTCAACAACAATAACGAGCTTGATGACGATTTCGATCTGGTAGACGATGAGCCTCGCATGGAAGAAACACCTACTCTGCTGGTATTCAATGGGGGTGTTTTACGTAGAAGGGAATTAAGACAGAAAGAATTACTCTCGCAAGAAGAGTCTCAGTCTTGGGACAGTTTCGAGCGGGCCAAGGAGATAACAAGCACTGAAGTCATAGCGCAAGGCCCCGAACCAGAACTCACACCTTCAGGTTCTAATAGTTTAGAAGTGAAAGGGGAGGAAGTCCCCAAGCGTAGACGTCGTCGGAAGATCACTAGGAAACCAGAAGAAGAACTAATCAATGAGACGGATACCCACAAAACGGCTAGCAATTCTGGTAATTCACGAATCACACAGCTAATTAATCAAATGAAATCCTCAACACATCCCAGGGCTTTATCTTCTTCGCACTTGCACCCAAATTTATCGACAAATTCTAGTATAGCTTCTTCTGCTCAAGACAGCAGTGATGGATCTCCACATTCTCTAAGCCCTGAGTTTATTATGGTTGACAGTGATTCATCATGTCCCTCAGAGGAGGACTTGGCTACTAAAAGAGTCTGTAGATCGGACGCAGTATCGAGTTCAACCGGTCCACTTTTGCCTGTAACGCCAGAGATAAGTTTGGACGAGAAGAATCTAATACAATTTCACATAAGAAACCACTTGAGGCCCATGTACAAACCGGACTCTCCGGCTTCAGACTGTTTGATCACAAAAGAAAGTGACTACATTGAAGTGAACAAGAACCTTTCCAGGCAGATTTACAAACAAATTCTTGCTCTCCCCAAGAAGGAAACCATATTCCAAGATCCGAATGCATTACGAAACTTGATTGACGATGCTCTTTTTAAATGGAAGGCGGAATTCAGAGGCACGGTTGCTGGCTCGTGAAATGGTTGGACTACATATTAGTTATGGTACAGGTTTGCTGGCATGTATATATAGTATATTTATAGTTTTTTAATGTAAATTTAGAGAGAAGGGATACCCAAGTCTATCTACGACGAGGACCCTTTGGTTTATTAAATTTCAACCTTGTAGAAGAAGCATTCTCGTCTTCTTTCTGTTCATCAAACTCACCAAGTTCCAATTCGTCTAAGTCACCAACTTCGAAACTTTTGTCAACAGTTAAGTCATTGGCAGAAAGTATCAGTTTGACGTGGTTCAATAATGATTTCTTGTTGGAAGCGTACACCATTCTTTCCTTTACTTTTGATCCAGAAGGGCAAGAATATATAAACGAAACTCTGTTGGGCGAGTATTGGAAGAGGGCATATTGAGGGTGTGGAGCACTCTCTGTCGATGCTGATGCCGTAAGGTGAGAGATTAACGTAGAAGGCTTGACTGAAGTTTCTGATGACGTGAGATGTACAGTCTCTGTGGTCAAGTTTATCTTGAAGGCCAATAACTGCCCTGGTGTAGCGAATGAGTTAAGCGCTACTTCCAAATCAGGGTCAATTTTGAACAGAACTCCTGTTGTTGAGGTACCCAGGGAAGTAGCGGCCGCTGATGATAAAGATGAAGTGGACGAAGAGTGTGGAGTGCCATCCATAGATGCCAATTGTCTTTTATACTTGTCATTTGTCTCTGCAATGGAGAAACTCTGTAGAGAGTTGATTTGATTTAACAATCTTTCTTCTTCTGTTAACAACAGATCGTTATCAGCTGCATGACTAGCAATTTCCTTGTTGAAATTCTTTAAAGAAACTTCTGGGAGTTCGCTCCAGGCGAAAACGTGGGACTTCTTGAAGTTACCCAGTCCCAATTGAGTCAAGAGTGTCGACTTGGTGGAAGCATAGAGCATTTTTTCACGTATTGGCGCTTCATCAGGAATGAAGCTGGCAAAAAGCGACGATTCCTCGTCAATTGGAATGATCAAGTAAGCAGGGTGTGGATGGGATGACGATAAGTGCAGAGATACAGACTCGAAGTGGTCGGAATTAGATCCAGTTCCTGAAGTGAAGGTCTCATCTTCAACCAAGCTAGTGTTATCGTCAGAAAGACGAATGACCAAAGGTCTCAGGTTACTGAGCGAATTGTAAGTGGACAAAAGAGCCTCAGAGGCGGTGATACCTGACTGCGCTGACATACTTGTGGGTTTCTGTACGACAAAAGGTAAGTGATGAACGACGACGCTGAAAAAAAAAGTGTTGATAATTCTGCGAATACAATGATCCAATTTAGCCCACCTCTTGACAGTACCCTAGAGAAAATCTGTACAAACCTAAATTTAGCACTAGAGGTGTTGAGAATCGGTGCGAAATTGACACTTCTCCTTTGTAACGGAGGGTTTATCTTAGTGCGCAAAGGCTTGCCACAACATTGTTTACGATTGTGCGATCTTCGATTTTCCCTTGCAATTTTATTGTTTTTGTTTTGATCTCGTGAAGTAGGGTGAGTTGATCGTAGCACAATTGTCAAATAGTGTGAGTTGATACGTAGAAAAATCAACATGTTTGGTTTGCTTTCAAGCAGACCGATAACGAAAGTTCCAAACTACGATGAGAATGATTCAATAGATCTCCAGATCAAGTCACTCTTGTATGTATTCAAGAGACTACAAGTAAACAAGTTCTCCTCGTTCTATAGACAAGACCCGGTACTGAAGGAATACTCATTCAAGTACATAGCCAGCTACAGTGGGGGCGATTCATCAGCTTACTATGACAAGTTGGATTCAACTTATAACCTTGAAGGATTTAAGGGAATACTATTACATGATGAGTATAGAGTGATGATTGACTACGGTAAGAATAAATATAGATCGCTTTGCATAGTTTCTGAGCTCCCCAGCCCAAACCTTTCTCGGCCAGGCTCGCCAGTAAAGGGGGAACCAACATCAACTACTCATAACAACCATTCGGCAGGGGGAGAGGTATTCCCTCCCATTGTTGACTATAAGGACAGACCTGTTAAAAATTTTGGGTTTGTACATCTCCCATGTGAAAATATCTCGATTGACATGATTTGTAACGTTTTGGCACATTCTCCTATATATGTGGAGTACGTTCAAATCGGGTTTACCTCGCGGTACCAGTATGCTAAAGAGAGTGTGGAAGATGTAGTTGGTACCGATAATAACAATAATATCAGTAAAATGACATTATCCAAGAGACAGCATGCATTAATCATTCGGAAATACTTAACAACCTTGGCTTTCAATGTCCAATTGAGTCGAATATATGAAGAATATGTAAGGCAAAGTGCCAGCAGTCCACTTTTACCGCTGCCCCTGTTCCTGCTGCCACATACGCTGCCTCGAAAGGTAGCATCATCAACGTCATTATCTCGAACATCGTCATCACTCACCAAAATTGAAAATCCTGCCATACCTTCACCTTCCAGCCCAACTTCTCCCACATCGCCTACTACTATGAGGACGTTAAAAAGTAAGCCTTCCATCTCCAAACTTAAGCTCAATGAGCTTTATACTCCAGTTATGCTGGCGCCTTCATCAGTATCAAACACACTGGAATCGCCTGAAAAGAAATTTGAGATTCAACTTGACATTTGGGAGAAATGTAAGAACGCTGTGAACGAAAAGATTCTAAGAGAAAGAAGACTACTTGCCGTGCAAAGAGATCGCTCGTAGTCAATCAGGGTGAGGCATATATTTATTCACACTAAAGCAAAGCTTTATTCACAGCATACAGTACTTGTACCATATTATCATTATTATTGTTATTACTACTGTTATTACTATTATTGATCAATGTTCTTTATCATTATTAGTTTTACTTAGCTAATGTACCGTTTATTTATTTATTCACATAGTCTATAAACTTTGCCAGTACTCGTATAATTCCTTATCTACTTCTATTCCTTCGTAGCCTGCTTCTGGCACATCTATGTCTACATAGTAGAAGTGCTCATCATCTAGGTATTTTTCCTCAGCACTATCTGCTACTGTCTTAGATAGTGCTACCAAAGCCGTTTTTAGGCCCTCCAAGTTGCTTGTGGTGAATGCAGAGCTAGTAGCCTTCCATTTATGAACTTTCGACGGCCTCAACTGTAAATCAAGCCAGGGGTAAATCAATTCTATTTTTGTCGATGATGATGCTGTGTTACTAGTACTGGAGCTGGTGTTGGAACTGTATGCATGCCTTTTATTTTGTATGTAGTTATTTGTAATGGCACCAACAGTGCTGCTTCTGGGTCTTACAGGCACCTTTCTTAATAGCATATTCTGAGACATGGTGGAATCAGTTATTTATACAAAAAAAACAAATCCTTCCAACTGTATCAAAATGAATCCGAACATACACACCATAATAGGGGCTCTCCAAGGTCATATCCTACTTGTTTATATAGAATTATTTTTGTCCCATGCATGGAAGTTGCACCCAAAATATTTTGTGGGGAGAGACAACAATAAGCTGGAGAAAAAGAATCGCGCGCCTCACAGAAATGAAGCTCGGTCCGAATGGGTCGTGGACATACCAATATGGAAATGATGAGTTCACTGGCAAGCAAAGCTGATCGGTGCCTGTGTGATTGAACCTGTTCTCCGCTCCTAAGTTCAACATTTTGGGAAGGTATAGAGCATGTTATCTAGAAATTTAAGATTAGCAAGTCGGCAACTTTCATACTCCGTCCCTAAATGGAATCTTTTCGGCGGGTCGAAGACTATCCATCCAAGTCCTGGTAGTGGTAATTTGAGTGCCCCATCTGGAAAGGGAGAACTGGCACCAGATCCAGTGGATTTGATCAAGAGAAACGATATGCTTGCCCACTCTCAAAAGCCTCGTAATAATATTGAATCTGTAAGATCAAACGGTTTCTTATTCTCTAGTAACATCATAGTTGCCTCGCCTTCTGAGGAGACTGGTGATATCATCGGTACATTGCTCATTGACAGTGACATCTTTGAGGTGAATTTGTCTGCGAACGGCTTTAACTTGGTGAACGGATTTATAGTAGAGTTTGATGAAAAATCTGTGCTTTCAGTGTTCAGTAAAATACATCCTAAGCCTGAAATAGTTGTTATAGGACTTGGTAAGCAATCTAGAGTGTTGAGTGAAAGTAACAGAAAGTACTTCTCAAGTCTTGGAATCCAAATTGAGGTTTCTGATAGTAATAATGCTGCCCAGAACTTTGATCTCTTGGCAACTGAAAGACCAAATGTAGTGGGAGCTTTGATGTTACCACCAAATGTATGATAGGTTTTTATAGATATAGTTATAATGTACATAGTAAAGAATAGGTTTAAGGAAATGGATTGTAAGAGTTTCAAGTAAAGTCCAAAGAAACGAAGCCTTGCGTAGGAGTAAAAGCTGAATAATTGCAATGATCTGTTCGTGCTACAAATGAGATATACTTAACTTGTTCTTTTATGGTCAACAGTCACATCTTCTTACCGTGCCACGGTGCTCTTCTCTACAATTTATTGTATGCTAGTGAAATACATTAAATACATATTTTATGTTGTGATATATGTCTCTCGAAGACATGCCATTATTAATTAGTTCTGCTACCTTGCTGCAGAATTTGCAGTTGTTGCTGCAGTTGCAGCTGTTGAATGATTGTTGGGTCTTCAATCCCCACTTGGTCCTTCGGATATGCTGTGTGTAATGCGTGATACGAAAATGAATTATATTGGGTACCATCACCCAGGTTATTCTGACTATCCAGATTTGGCGAATTTTCGTTATTTGACCCGTAACCATTGTATGATATTATGTTGTGATGTTGAGGTGTACTCATCATCATCATCATTGGAGTCTGTTGCAGTTGCGACAAAAGTTGTTGCGTATGCTGTTGAGTTGATGGATTTGATCTGTTTGAAGTCTGTGGTGGAGGCATATTTCCAAACATCTGTTGCTGATGCTGTTGTTGCTGATGCTGCGCTTGCTGTGGCACGGGATAGTATGGATACTGCTGTTGCAAAAGCAATTGTTGTATTTTGCTGCTTTGTCCAGGAGATGGCTTTTCAAACATCTTGTCCAAGAAATACTTAGAATTAGGAGTTGAAGATGTGCCCCCCATTTCAAAAGATGAGTGGTCAGTGGATGACATGTTTAAGTGGGAAGTATTCATAGAATTGTTATTGATTGACATAAGGCTGATTTCGGCAGCTGGTGGAACAACTGATTGATGATGGGCAGCAAGCAGCTGCTGTTGGGGGGGTTGTTGCTGAGGTGGAAGAGATGCGTCCTTCTTCTTTTTCTCTTTCTTCTTTCCCTTCCCATTCATCAAAGTGTGCATATCTGTAAACACAATTTGAAACTTATTCATTCCAGCTTGCATCTGTGCTTTGTTTTGGCTCTTCTTTCCATCCGGACCAGTAGAAGAAAGCGGGCCCGAACTCGAAACTCCTCTGTTGAGAGATTTAGGTTTCTGTTGAGGGAGCTTTTTGGACCCAGAGAATACACCCATAGCTGGTTTGAAATCATCTCCATCAATAATTTGCTTGCAGAGTGGAGCAGTATGTACAGAATCACCAGTGCTATCCTTCTTTGGAGTTGGGCTGGGTGGAATCAAGTCTACACCACGGTCTCCACTAGGGGACTTCGATGCGCTGGACATTATGACTGTAGAAGGTGATGATGCAGATATTGGTTTGTGTGGGGTAAGAAAGTTGTTATTATTTTTACTCGTGCTTGATGATGTAAGCTTGCTCTTAGATGGTGTTTGCTGGTTGAGGTAAGATTGCTTGATTTCTCTTAATGCTGTTGGTTTGTCGTCATCCTCCTCGTCTTCCTCTTCTTCATTTTGATCATTTTCATCGTCATCGTCTTCATCATCTTCGTCTTCGTCATCACCTTCTCCACCATCTTCATTTTCAGCATTGGCGCTAATTGAGAGGTTGGATAACTTATACGGCTGTCTAGGAGGAGTATCAACCTGAGTAATTGATCTTTTAACTTTGCTGCTGCTACTGTTATTGTTATTATTCCCAGAGCTACTGCGTGAGTCTTGAAATATTAATTTCCTGACGGAACTTTTCTCTGAGCTACGGATCTTAAATTTGGATGGGGTAATGGTGTCCAAATCCTTTAATGGCGTCTGTCTGATCGGAGAGTCCATGAAAAAATCTGCCAAGTGAAGGGATTTATCGTGAAATGGAGTCATTTGGTTCAAGCTGCCTCCTGCACTTCCACCGCCAAATCCAGTTTGTAAATTATGGTTTAAAAATGGAGTCAAACTGAGTCCTTGGAAGTCATCATTACCCATACCATTGACGTTACTATTGATATTGAGATTGCCGCTGCTCCCTACTTGTATTCCCGCCCACTTGGAGTTTGGTGAATATGAAATCAACTGGTCGTTGAATATTGTTTTAGATATTAAGGGAGTCCATCCAGTTATACCAGTGGGTATGCCACCAGAATAGAACTTTTGGGCAGATGGGGGGACTGAAGATGGAATGACGTTCTGAATGGAAGTTTGATTGGCGTTGTTGGTCTTGGAAGAGGTAGGGGTATCTTTGCCTTTGGAATTCTTCTTTTTAGATTTAGAAGTATTAGAGTTGGACTCCGAGTCTGGGAAAGAGTATATGAGCGGGTCTATGGTCTGCCTTGACGGCGACGAATGTAAAAAGTTCGACATCTTAGTGTAGCCGCAGTGCTAAGTTGATGGTCTTGCTGCTGTTGTTGCTATGGTAGTAGTAGTGTTGGTTAAGGAGTGTTTTTAAAACAAGTTGGCAGGCTGGTGGGTTGTTTTGATATTCTGGCCAGTCGTCTCTCCTCAGTAGTGTGCTTCAGTAATGCGTTCCTTCTTGGTACTACTCGCTTACTGCTGCTTGTGTAAGATAAACTAGTTCTACGGTAATTAGAATACTGGAAAAGGCACCGAAAAGTCGAAATGAATGTTGCGGTACGCTGACTTTCCTCTTGTTGACTGTTCCTGAAACAAATGGTTTTCGTTTTCTTACTTTTTGTGTTTTGTTTACTTTTTTAAGCTTCTTCTATATTTTTTAGGTTTCTTTTTTTCGTTCTTTTTTCTGAAACTTTGTTCTTCGTTTCTTGCTACTAATAAGCATATGCTTCGGATAAAAGTAATTTTCTAGGGTGATGTGCCACAACGCTGCTTGACATTGTTTTGATTTGTATGGGAATCTCGGAAGATAAACAAAAACAAAAGCAAGCTTAAATTTGTAGGAGCGTGTTTTTGTGTCATCAAGAGTGAGAAAATTGAGTGGGTGGTGCGATTGTCTGCAGGCCGCGACAATAGCGATAGAATGAAGAAGGCGGAAGCAGGCAGATGATTGGCGAGGGTGAGGATAAAAATAACTGGCACTACAATAGCTACGCTATAGCACCGGGGAGCAAAAAATATGTATACAATGAAGAATGAATAGAAGTCATTGTAAAATAATATATGTAGGTACGTGGTGCGCAAGATGTGCGAATTGGACAGATGGGGCTGGGGCTGGGGCAGGGACTGGGACTGGGAGTATGGGAGTATGGAAGTGTGGGAGTATAAGAGTATGGGAGTATGGGAGCATTGGAGCATTGGGGCATTGGGGCAGTGGGGCATTGGCATCGGAAATTGGGGCATTGGCTTCGGAAATTGGGCATGGTATCGGAAATTGAAGGTGCCCTAAACTGAACCTGCTGGGTGGTGGTTGGTTGCACCAGCCAGAAGCGCGAAAAAACATGCTACAGGTGAAGAATCGATGCGTATAGCCCTCCCCATAGAAGCTGAAGTAGAAAGCTAATCTAGATCGAAATCGAACATTGTCCCACGTTTAAGCAACGAGGAACAATGATCTGCTCTAAACTTAAAATGACAACATGATTAGATGGGGCTGTGAACTAGCACGAGTGCAGAAGCTAAGGAAGCTGATGCTATTCCAGAGCCTATAAAACGCACATGGGGTACTGCAGCCTGGGGAGATCCCAAATGAGGTACCCCTCCTGGTAACCCTCAGTAAATAATTTTCTCTTTCGGTGAGCATCGATCAAGGCTCATTCGGATTCTGCTAACAAACACTAATGGCAGGTAACGTCTAACCGAACAGTTGAGCCTCCGGAGCACGGGAACGTCACAACATTCACTGCATTTTCTTTTGTTTAGCTAAGTTATCCTCTGATTCTTTATCTTCTTTTTGCCTTTGTTCTCTCCCTTCCCATTCTTCTCTTCCCATTCTTCCCTCTCCTCTATTTTGCACCCATTCTGCTAGAGACCGAAAAATTCCACGAGCTGATTTTCGTGCGGCTCTCGTTGGGAGTGCTCGTCAACTCAACCCCAGCAATGCTACATGTCACCACCACACACAGAGTTCTGTGCAGACATCCTTCTATCGATATATAATACGCTCTAGAGAAGTATCGGCTGTCTAAGTAGCCAAATCTACAGATTCTGAATTTTCTTCTTTTTTCATTTTCGGCTAAAACAATCTTATAAAATTACAAATTGACTTTTTCTTCCTTCCCTTCTTCATAATTAAGGAAAAAGAGTTAAAATAAACATTTATAGTAAATCAATGACGAATTCAAGTTGGGGAGGGGGGCGGAGGGAGTTAGTTCACAAATAATACTAACACTTTTGGCAAAGGCTAGTTATTTCTTTCCAATTTCTTTTTTTTTCTTTTCTTCCATTTTCTTTTGGCATTCTTTATTCAATTGCACCATCTCTAGGCGGTGGCCTTTTGTTCTTCTTCCCATTCTTGTTCAGTAACATGTAAGTTGTCGGTTTCTTCAGCCAAGTCATCTTCATCGTATTCATCTTCGTGAGCAGCTAAAGATAAGGTTGGCTTGACCACAGCGGAGTCAAAAGTCCAGGAAGCTAAGGCATTTTCGGCATCGATAATGATTTGCTTGGAGGCTTCGTATCCATCGTAGGCAGGTCTGGTTTCACCTGGAGTAACTGGAGATTCGTCCAATAATTCCAAGAGAGCCTTTCCGTAACCAGCGATCAAGGCAATCTTTTCAGCGTGTTCTCTAGTAGAGTCGAATTGGTAGTTGAAGGCGGTCTTCAATTTTTCTCTAGTGATGTTGGATAATTGTGCTTCAGCAACCAAAGATTCAGCTTCAGCTCTAACCAATTCTTGTTCTAAAACGTTGATTTTTGGGGATTGAGGGTCCTTGTACTTCAAGTAAGCAATTTGGTCGGTAATCTTTTGCTTTCTTTCTCTGGATGGTTGAACAGACAGTTCAATATCTCTGATAGACTTGATAGTGATTCTGTATTGATCGTATCTGTCGATAAATTGGTCTTCCAATTCACCAATTTCGTAAATCAAGACACCCAACTTATCGGTGATATCTGAGATATCGTCGTCGTTGGCTTCACCCCAGACGGATAATTGCTTGGCAACATCCTTTCTTTCTCTGGCGGTGATTTCAATGGATCTCATCAAGTTCTTTTCCATCTTGATTAATTGAGCCAATTTTCTGGATAATTCAGGTCCAGTGGCACCAGCAACATTCTTTCTGAATGAGTGTGAAATGGATCCCTTACCGAAAAACTTGGACTTGGTGGAAGAAGTTGGAGGTGGTGGGGATTGCAATTGAGCAGCGGTAGGAGCTCTTTGGGATCTGAGTGAGTATGTTCTGTGCATCTTAGCTAGTGATATAGAATCAGTTTACGTATGTATAAGTACAACAAAAGGAAAAGAAAGAGAAGAAGAAGAAGTAAAGCAATCCTGTTTTTTTTTTTAAACGAATTTGTTCGAAATTTATCGAAATTTTCCACAGGGCGAATTTTTAGGGAGCGCGCTAATTGCGATAGAAAATTAGGGAGGGACAGGGACGAGCCAACCAAAGGAGCAAGAATATTTTTAAAAAAAAAAAAAAAATAATGGAATAAAGCCATACCTACAGTAGAACACAATCGTGCCATGTAGGCGACATAGTCAAAAAGGAGCTTGCGAGCCCAGCGTGGGTGCATAGAGGGGCTTACGGTGAGGTAGAGATAAGGTAAGTGTTTTCAGTGAGGTAAGTGTTAGCATAGGTAAGTGTTTGCATAGGCAAGTGTTAGTATATGTAAGTGCTTGCATACGCATGGAAGGAGGGGGAGAGGGGGAGAGATTGGTTATCTCATAGTTGTAGCTTCATTCTTGTTTCATGCTCATGTTTGTTTCATCATTAAAGTTGTCCACCTCCAATTCTCACCACTCATTTTTTTTTTGGCATTGCCTCATCCTCCGTCCTCTCCAGCTCATTGTTGCTGTGTTCATTTCATCTCTTCTTCCCAAAAATGGCTGGCTATCTAATGGAATTTTACTCAGTCGTGCATTGTCCTGGGCAACGCGCATATTTAAAAGTTTGTTTTAACCCACACCCACATAATCTGTTTATTCTTTCTAGATTGAGCGTGGGTGTCCTGATGTTGGAGACTGCACATACGCCCGCATACTGCTTAAATTGATTAAATTTTGTCCCAATCGAGCAAAATTAAGTACGCCTAAGCGGGAGATTTCTGCTCGAGCACTCACTTGACGAAGAAGAAGGAAATGTGAAAACAATCCTCGGAGATCTTGCGAATTGTCTGATATCGTGCTGCTGTGCACAGCGATTTTTGCAATGGAGCACGGTTTGAAGACTGGTGTGCCTTCTAGTACTGTCATGCCGTGCGATTTTCTTCCTTTTTCTTTGCTTTCAGTGTGTATCGTTCGGCCCATTTTCTGATCCACGATTCCGTCCTTACACCGTCAAAAATGCGTTATCACATTTTTCGTATTTTAGTAGCTGTTGCATTCTGGGAAGAAGGTGCCATTGGTAACTGGTCTGAATTCCCTTTAGATCGGGACTTGCATAACACGATTCTCTTCCACTATACTCTTTCTTTTTCTCGATTGGGGTGTTGTACATTCCAGAAAGTAGCCCATTGCAGGTAAATTACTCCAGGTCTGTTTCTCATGTAATATTATGGCTCAGATGGTGATTCTGGGGAATTATTGCATAAATGAATTTGAAGAATTTTGGGATTTGGGGCCGAAAAGTCAGTTGGGCAATATATTGAACTGGTCGCGATCCCATACACTCTGATAACTTTAAAACTTCTCCGTCGGCTACGATTGGTGCTGCTTCCCCTGCTGAGAGCGCCTGGTGTACCTTTGGAGTACCACCAGTATACTCTCAAACCCAAAGTCACGTGTACATTTTGCATCCATACTGAACCAACTGCTGGAGCCTTCAAATACAAGAACCTGTCACCATTTCACCCACTCTGCTATTCATCCACTCTGGTAGCCTGAGGGCTTTACTTCCGCTCCGACTGTTGCTTGCACTACTGAGAGCATCTGGCGTACCTTTGGTGTACCACCAATATACTCACCAACAAAAAGTCACGTGAAGCATTTGCAACCATACTTTACCAACTCCTGGTGCATGCAGGCAATGAAGCTTAAAATTCCAAATGTGTGCCACAACGCCAACCCAATTATACCAACATCACTTCTTCAATCGACTATGAACTGAAGTGATTCCATAACCCTACCCCCACCTCATACCAGTCTAGCTTTCAATTGTCCTAAGGAAACTTACCTCCCCCCTCTTTACCATTTTCCACAGTTCAACTTTTCCTATACTTTTCTATATGCAGCATCTCCCCATATGACGTAAATTTCTAGAAGAAAATCGAAAGAATAGCGATGCAGTACGCACTCCAATATTTTCTGCTTGTGGTGTCTTCGAAGTAGATCATTTGTAAGCATTTGTTGAAGAGATCAACATCAGTAAACATCCTGAAAGTATCCTGAAATATCAAACATTGATCAATGTACTTAGATGACTTGAAAAAATTCATTATTGAATTGCCACAGAAGTCGAATTTTGATCTCGATGATGAATTGAATCACTTGGTACAACTTGCTCTTTACTATGCCTCATCGAATGATGGGAAGTATTTAAAGAAATGGTTTCCAAATATCTCTAAACGTCAGCAAGATGCATTGAAGAATTATAATATCCCGCACGATGTGCATTTATTTGGTACTCCATTTTACGAAAAACACCTCGATTCAGGATCGGGGAATTATACTCACCCTCCTAACAAAACCTGCCTGAGGGAGCTTATACCGGGAGAAAATGTATATCGGTGCGAGCAGTGTGGTTACGACAATAGTTGCGTATTGTGCTACCATTGCTTTAATGCGGATGATCATGTAGGTCATAATGTATATATCTACTCGGCAAGCACTCTAGGTGGCGGGTACTGTGATTGTGGAGATCCTGAAGCTTTCAAGAATTTAAACTGTAAGTGCCAAATACCTAAGGGCAACGGCAGTAGTGACAATACTATCAGTGGGGGTGGTGATATTGAAGTTGAGCAAAACGTTGTAGAAGAAGACTTCCAAGATGCTCTTACTGAAACCATTAAGTTTTGTCTTGAATATATACTTGATGTCACCAATTGCGATACTTTGATGCTACCATTTATCCATGATAACGCTGGAGAATCCAGTGCCATTGTGAGGGAGATCTCCAACTTATCGTCATTACCTCAGTCTAAATATGGATACAATTCACAGGATGTAAACTCGGACAATATTTGGCACCTCATATTATGGAACGACGAAATCCATAATTACCCCCAGATTGAGAATATTCTTGGTGTTTGCTTTGGAGCTGATAGGAAAGATGCTTTAACTATGGCTCAAACAATAAACGACACTGGACGTCATATCGTTCAAACATCATCAGATTTCAACCAACTCCTCAAGTCTCAAAAGGAATTAAGAAAAATTGCAGTAGTCACCACAATTGTGAGTGGTCGTGATTATTCGAGACAAATTATAATAGATCAGATGATTTCATGGATACTGCAAATTTCATCATCTCCCAATTCTCCCAAGGCATACCCTGACTTTCAAGGTACATTTACCTCTATTTTGGCAGAGCTATTATTAGAGCCTCACGTCACTATGGCTACTACATTCCCTATTGAAATCATTTCACCAAACTTAGAAAACTTATCGCAAAAATGTTATGAGAACGGATTACTTATAGATAACAATGATTTTCCTTGTAATGGATTATTCAAAATCAGAAGTGAAGACTATGATGGAAATGAACTCGATAAATTCTGGTTTCAATCTGCATCAAGTGTTTTAGAGAGAGATAACATAGATAGGAAGAGAAACAAATTCTTTGATAAATCCAGAGTTCAATATTTGATGTTATTTGAAATTAGATTTAACAAGCTTGTGAGAAAGAGTTTATCTAAATTGTTGACTGCAACATTGATCTCAGATACTGAGACTAAGTTTGAATTTGCTAGGCAGTTAGTTCAAATATACCCAAATTTATTGACCTCATCAGCTTTAGCTGATCGTGAAGAAGGTTTAAACTTTTTATCTAGTGTTGACCAACAAGTTTTGACTTGCCCCGCAACAATTAAACACATTTTACATTTGGAAGAGGGGAGAAGTTTAAGATATATCCTTGGCCCATTGATTGATATAATAGAACGTTATGCAAGTTCTACTAACGAAGAACATATGTACAACCAATTCATTTTCTTGCCTGATGGCGAGGGAGACCGCCAGAATAGAAAAAATAGGCCTTTGAACGCGGCTATTCTTCTTGGTCTTCGTGACTTTAGATATTTTGTGGATAAAAAGTCATTAGATGAAGAAGATTTTAAGTTAATTTTGAGTCGTGATAATATGATCCTACTTTTCTTATTATTGAGATTTTTTCAAGGAATGTGGTCAAATACAAAAAAATATGGGGACCATGTTGAACATGAATCAGATGATTGGACAGATTGCTTTAATTATATCGCTATTGTTTTAGACATTGTTAAGCTTATTGCTGATTCTCCTGTTATTGAAAATATTCCACACAAAAGATTCGAGGTTGCTAAATTTTTCATTAAACAGGCTCATTTGGCTGTAGTATCAATGGTGTCAAATGGGGTTGCTAATTATAAAGTTAGTGAAGAGACGACTAGTTTTATAAATCCAATACAATCTTTTATTTCATTGTTGACAAGATACAAGGGATTTGGCCGAGAATTAGAAACTTTTTTCAAAACGGAATTTAATGGCCCATTCATGAAGATATCTGACTTTTCATTGAGAAGTATAGTAATGGCTTCACAAATAAAAATCGGGTTTTGGGTTAGAAATGGATATTCTGTAAATATGCAATCCAACCATTATCTAATGGGGAGAAACTATGGAAGTTACAAGCGAGATTTACATTTGAATCAAATTGCAAGCATTGTTGATGAGCCAAAGACTACTTTATTCAATTTTTTGGAGAGATGGGAGTTATACGAGTGGTTTACTTCTACGGACGGGAAAATGAAATTCGATGAAACAATTTATGAAGAGAGATTCAGTTCTATTGTCGAGGAATTTGTAAATTTTGTTTATATATTGATAACTGACAGAACTAGCTTTTACACTGGTGATGATATTAGGGCCAAGGGATTGAGAAATTCCATTTGCTATAATTTACTTGGTGGACCTATGGCATATTCAAGACTTAAGAATTTATCCGAGGAGTATTTGATTTCAGATTCAGCTTTAGATTTTGATTCTGTTTTAAGAAGTGTGGCAAGTTATCAGCCTCCTACAGGAATTACCGATTCGGGTATGTACAGATTGAAAGACAAATGCTTTTCCGATTTAGATGCCATCAGTTTATTCTTGGGAACTAACAAGTTCCAAGAGAATTGGGAAGTTCTCACGAAGCACTTAGAAAAGAAGTCTCAAAGCAAGAACGGGTCAGGTTTTACTTTGGAACCAAGATTCACTGCATGCGAGAATGCTTATGCGAATGAAAACTTGGCTAGATTCACTAAAACTAGAGAGTTTGTCAAATTCTTGTACAGACTTATTCAAGCTGCCATTGATAACGCTGATGAAACTTATTTATTACAGCTTTTGCATTTAGTTCATGCAATTTTGCTTGACGATCTAAAATTGAGTGGTTCAGATTACTTGAACGAGCAGTTTGTAATTATTCCTATATGCGACTTGTTATTAGCCATTGTGGATTCCACAATGTCGAAACCAATCATTTACAAATCAGAATTCTTGTTGAACTTTTTAATTGAAAGGGACGAAAGGATTATGGATTCATTAATTGCATGTTTTGGTGAATCTCGAGTTGAGTTGTACGTCAGTGAAAATGCTGACAAGGGGAGTAAAGAGTCTGAAGCAGAGAAGAGGAAAAGAATAGCAAGAGAGAGAAACTTTAAAGTAATGAATAAATTCGCTAAACAAAGAGAAGCATTCCTTGAGCAAAATAAGGACTTGGGAGAGACTATTTCAGATAAAGACAAAGTTCAAGATGAAAATGACTCTGCTGAACATAGACATTGTGTTATGTGTGGGGAGGAAGAATCCAAGAAGAGAATGTTTGTTTTATTTACAACAATCGAAAGTCAGGAGTTTTGGAAGTTGCCGTTTACTGATGTAGACCAAGCTAAAATAGCATTCCAAGACTGGGATAACCAAGAAAGTCGTAAAGACAACACTGAGTATGGAAAAGGGTTTCAATTCAAGGAAAAGAAATCTCCTCGTGAATTTGGAGGCTCAAGGAAAGTTTTTAGTTCAAAGGTATTAACAACTTGTGGCCATGGTATACATAACTCCTGTCGTCTTGAGTCACCTATAATGTCTAGGACGAAGTATTCCCCATGTCCAATTTGTAGTGACGGTTGGTCTCTTGCACTTCCTAGTCCAATTACCCCTAAAGGAAAGGGTGGTTTCCCAATTGAAAAGCTCAATGAACCCCCAAAGCTTACGAAATATAATCAGATCATTCAATCAGTGGAAGAAGATAAATCGATTGCTATATTGCAGTATTTCGGAGGTCATCCTTCTAATGATTTTCTTTTTGAGGATTATCATCGTCTGATGTTGTTCAATACTCAGGAAACAATGAAACGCCTACTCTACGATAAACCCCATCTTCCGGAATACCTCAAATTACCTGATGCTGAATACTTCAACTACATAACTTATCTTTCGGCTATCATTGGTGATACAATTAAAATGCAAGAGATGAGTTCAAGAGTTGAAGGTGGGGAGAGTTATTCTGAATTTTTGAGCGATTTCCCTGCTGAATCGAAAAGTGCATTAAAGAGCTTGATTCAATGTAGGGCATATATAATGCTAAATCATGGTAAATATTTGGCGCCTAAAATCACTAAAACTGACATTACATTGAAAATTGAAAAATTTTGGGAAGCCTGTGATGGATTGGAACTTAGTGGGGTATTCACTGAGGTTGTGGTCTTATTCTTCCAAACTGAAGAATCATTTTTGACAATTACAAGACTCGGGTATACTAAACTTTTCATTTTAACCATTTACTCCCTTCTTCTTCGTGGTCTGAAGTCTAAAAAGTATTTCAAATCATTTCCCAATATTGAAGATAGTGGAAGAAACGTCCCTATGACTACAGTGACTGATTTAAGAAACCTTATAATCAATTTTTTCCCTACCTTTGAGGGCTGTGAAAGTGATGAAAACATAGCAAAGTTGTTCTTGGCAGTAGAAAGTTGCATTCTTCCTTTCCTTAGGCAGTTGATTCTCTTCAAAGACATCTTGACTTGTACGTACGTGGGTCACAGAGAATGGGAATCTGCTGAAGATTTGAAGAATTTAGAAGACGAGATTGTTTGTCAGAGCTATCTCTCTTCCAGTGAAGCATTGACTAAAAATTTGAATTTGAAACTGTTGCATGATTTGATTCATAGTTTCACGAATGCGGACGACAATGACCTGGATTTCACTCTTGAGAAATCGGTTTTCAACATTGTGATCAATGCCAAGATACCAAAATTTTTGGATAAAGGAATTTTAAATCTAGACTACCCCGGCATTATTAAACTTATAGACTTACCTGAAGAATTATTCTCATGTATATCGAAACTCAGCACAGATAGACATGATCGAAAAATCTGTTTGATTTGTGGTGAAATAATGCCAAAAGAAAATGAACTCGTCCAGTTTCACACGAGCAAATGTAGCTCTCATGTTCAATTATTGTTTCAGCCCAAGACCAGCATGCTTGAAATTTATAGAAAATATGAACATCATGGGGATACTAGACCGATAGCATTAAAAATTGCGGCACCATATTTGACTGAGCATGGTGAAATCACTAAGTCTTTTGGTCAAGCGTCATTAAATCACTTGAGATACCGGAAGTTCAACAAAGATTGGATTAATCATGGTCTTGAGAAGCTTATATTTAGGGTACTTATTGGGCAAAGTGGAGGTATTCGAAATGCAAATGTTAATGGATTTGGACTTGCGCCAGATCAGTCGTCGGATGAAGATGAAGAAGATGAAGATTATGAGGATGATGAAGACGAAGATATGACGGAGGAAGACGAAAGGAGAGAAGGATTTGTGGTGTTTGCAAATGAGATGAACTAGCATTGAAGTTAGATATATAACATGTATAAAGAGTATATATCTACTAGCATTAATGCTGTATATATTTGAAGCAAGTGTAGAAAAGATATCAGAGGTACTTCTGTGGGCTCAGCGCCAAAAAAAAAAAGAATAGAAAATATCACCTTAGTATTACCAAATGCTCAATTTGTCAGTCAAGGGTACATCTTATTAATCATTTGATTCTGGTAAACATCCTCATACCAGATGTGAAGTCCGGTGGTCCAGAGAGAAAGCCGCAGGACGCATTTGTATCTCCTCGACTAAGCATTCTAAGCACTGCTATGAGGCAGCTCCGGTCTGGTGGGAAGCTATCCTACACAATTAACAAGTCAATGGCCCCAATTTACTCTGAAATAATGATCTGTTGAGCAACTTCTCATATCTAGAAGCACCCAGTTCAGAATTCTCTTGTTCATAATTTATACAATACTTAGCTCCAAGGTTCCTTGAAGTCCATCTCCGAGATCTTTCTTTCAGAGCGCCTCGCGCTTACCTTCCAAATGCGAGGGAAGTGAGATTTGTCAGTGAAGAAAAAAGAAATAAAAATATCGGAAAACTACATGAGTAGGGCCTACGGAAGAATCATCTAATATAAAGCCGGTAGTGTCCCTTCTTTTTATCTATTGATCTTCTCTTTAGCTATATCATCACATCATGCCCTTCTTCCGCGCGTATAACAAACTTTTGCAGACGCATCCCTTCAAAACAAATATGACGACCACCGGTGTCCTATTCGGGACAGGAGATGCACTTGCACAGTTCATGTTTCCACATAAGGAGAATCCAGAACAATCAGACAAAACAGCACCATACAACTTCCAGAGAACTTTGAGGGCTGCAATTTACGGTTCATGCTTCTTCGCCCCTTGCGCGGTAATGTGGTATGGAAGGAAACTCCCTTCATTGAAAAATCCATTTCTTTCGGCCCAAAGAAGAAGTCGCATGAGTAAAAAGAGTGAAGAATTCGCAGATGTGGTGTTTAGAGTAGCCTTGGATCAGTTGTTCGTCCCAGGGCTTGTCTGGATCCCCATGTATAATATTGTAATGTCCACATTAGCCTTACATGATCACCCATTGGAGGTTGCCAAGGAAAAGCTCCGCAATAACTGGTGGAATGTGTTGAAAGCCAGTTGGACTGTTTGGCCCGTGTTTCAGCTTTTCTCATTTACATTTATTCCAGTACACTTGAGAGTTGTAAGTGCAAACGTTTGGTCCATCGGGTGGAACTCGTTTTTGAGTTTTGTACACAATACTCCTGGCCACGGTAAAGGTACAGGTAAGCGAATTGAAGAGCTTGTTGACATTGAAGACGACGCACAAGAAACTACCATGGTGTACAATTAATTGTAAAATGTAAGCGTTGGTTGTGCCTGTTCACTAATGTTAGTTATGTGTCAGATTATGCACAATTGTTTTCCCCGATCTGAAAATTGTAGTGCTGGACATGCACATATGTACAGAGGGGGAGGTGTGAAGCTAAATACTTTTTTATACATGAGACGTATGGACACATTAAGATGGTCCATGACCAAATAGAATTGGTTTTGCTACTTAATTGTCCTACGGGCCTCGAACTATTCATTACATTCAACATCAGCCGTGTTTGATAAGACTTTGAGCCAGAAGGTAAATGTTGAAATCGTCATTCTTCGTTCATTTCTTGATTCTGACCTTGTTATGAAAAACCTTTAATAACCTCAATACAACTTCAATCTTTCCGCTAATTACGGGACAAGGTCAATTCATTAACAGACGTGGTTGTTTCTGCAATGCGACTCATAGAATACGTGCATTCTCTTAATGAGTGCAAAACTTAATATTTTCAACTAGATTATACATTTTTATACAGGATTAGATAAAAGATATAGCTATAGAGACTCTTTATTTATTTATTTATTCGTTAATAGATTAAACTTACCAGGTACTGAGAGTAAACCACCAACCCCAAAGAATAGAACGGTTGCAACTTTTCAGGTGTGTCAATGTCCTGCATATGTACTGTTTGCTCCTACATGAATAAGCACATCGCATATAACGGTCGACATTGATATCATGGCAATAGCAACGATCATTGCATTGTATATCCCTGGAGTATATATTGGTATCAATTCCAAGCTGTTTGTAAAGATAATTCATTTTCTCTAATTGCTAAATAACAAAAATGTTCGCTTCTTTTAATAGGATAATTACCAAGAAACCTCTTGTAACCAATATGTTAACTACAGGGTTCCTCTTTGGAAGTGGTGATTTGCTAGCACAGTCATTATTCCCTTCTGAAACCCAAAAGGATTTTGATGCAATGCGAACCTTGAGGCTAGTTCTGTACGGTGGTATAATATTTGCTCCCATTGGCCTTAAATGGTACAAGTTTTTGGGTGCCCTAAAGCCATTTAAAGAGAGGAATATGTACAATGCCATTTTCAGAGTCGGCTGTGACCAATTGCTCTTTGCACCATTTGTAGGTATCCCAATGTTTTATTCTGCTATGGCGTGTTTGGAGTTGAATCCAAATCCATTGCAGGAAGCGCGCAACAAGTTAGATAGATTTTGGTGGACGACTTTAAGAGACAACTGGACTGTATGGCCAGCTTTCCAGTACATCAATTTTGCATTTGTTCCCCCTCAGTATAAATTATTGGCGGTGAACCTTTTCAGTATCGGCTGGAATTGCTATTTGAGCTGGTTATTGAATGGTTCTAAGTCTGGATTAACGCAGGAACCAGAACAAATAATGATCTGAGGGCTGCAATACGGTTTCTATATGAAAATGTATGCTCTCATCTTTCCAGGTGGGCGCTGCGTATCTTAGTTGAATATTGGCAAGACAACAACAGTAATGGGGATAGAACTGTGGAACGGCATACACGTAACCTTAAAGCAGAATAGTGGAACTTCACGTGTTACCTATGTAACATAGTCCAGGACTCTGAAATACATGCTAAGGGGTTCAATTGTGGTGTGAAATGAACGTTGTTTATGCGTTGGCTGCAAATATGGGATTAGAGTGTATAGAATGTAGAGCTACTAGAGCAGAATAGAGGGATAACGATTGTGCTGGCAGAGGAACTTACAACACTACGAACTAACTCAGCAGGAAACAGTATAATACATGTACATACCGACACCTACCATGTATCCATGTATATACGTATATGGAGAATCAGGGGAGATTCAGCAGAGTAGAGCACAGCTTCACGAGATTAGTCAACTGCCACTTAATCTTGTTTTTTTTTTTTTTTTTTATTTATATTTCAATTTCTTGCATGTTGGTGCACTTGTGTGAGAGAAAAGACTCGGAGTTTTCCAATTGAGTGGACACCAGGAATCGCGAGAGGCGAAGGCTTGGTGGTAAATCAGGCTGCCTCAGACTGCTTCACCGTCTAAACTGACAGGAAGGTATTTTTCAACGCCATTCCACCTTAATTCCTCTCGCATGGCTTCTTCCTTGTTTGAGATCACCTCGAAGTGTCATTATGCATACCGCTCCAGCATACGACGTCATATTCCAGCTATCGCGGTCGTGCGCCGCCCAATTCACTAATAGCTGACCCTGAAACAAACCTGGAGAAGCAAGTAGAGCGAACAACCCCATTCCGGCAGAGGCAGTACGCACTGACACCCGAAAACAGCAAAATGACGACTAATGAAGAAAGATAAATAGACACCGACAGTTTGACACTTCGGCCCATCGCTACCATTTGATCGCTGGGAAAGTGTCGAGCGTGCCACTACCTCCTTAAGCCGATCTCTATTGGTCGTAACTCTCCACTGTAACGCTCCGCTGTGACTCTCCGCTGTAGCTCTCTATTCCACACCTCTCCTCTCCACTGCTTGCTTGCTTCAAGACGCTACACTTCTTTCTCCTGGTTGCACGACCAAATTTACCAGTTAGGCACTATTTTTTGGCTCAGGCACAAACGAAAAAAAAAGGAAAACAAAAATAAAATTGGAAAAAAAAAACTCGTCGTCGTGGTCTCCCTCTTTTAGTTAAGCTTTGTCGTTAATCTAACCAATTGAGCCCATTTCAATTTGTAGAGAAGCAATACATTGCAATTGAGCAAGGTCGCCTAGAAGCAGAGCCCCAATTTGGTATAAATCGCATACGATAACGGAACAATACTGGTACTGATACGGATATAAAACGGATACCAAACCACCTGACACAAATTTACAGTGCGAACAGTTTTTTTGGATACAAGTCAGCAATCTACATCAATCAACGCCCAAAGGTCTAATATCACTGTATTCATACATCCATCATGATGAAGGGATTCAAAAACAGGCTTACTAGAAAATCGCTGGCCACCGGGAAAAAGCCCGACAAGAAAACAGAAAAGGAAAAGGATAAGGAGTCCCTCAAGGGAGGAAGTGCAGTTGGTGGGGGAGGGGTGGACTCGCCAGGCAAAAAATTATCCACGTCTTCGTCCAAGAGCCCAACTTCGTCTGGGAGTCTAAAGCTGAACTCTCCACTGCCGTCCAGAAACAACAGTGCTACTAGCTTGAAGAGCGGAGGAGGAAGTGCTAGTCCAGCCACCACAGTCCCCACACAATTAGCAGATACACAGTCACCTCAACCACTGAACGTAACGACCCATCAAACATCTTCTCCACAACAGCCAAACGACAGTGTAGACCAATCAATAATCAATCAAGGAACAGACGGAACTCCTGGTGCCACAGGAGCAAGAGCTGACAGTGCTGCGGCTCCTGGGGTGCCTAACATTACTATTGGGGATACCGATATGATAGACACGGCGAACACTGAAGACGCTGACATGCCCTCTGTCGACGTACAAACACCAACTGAATCCAATAACCCACTTCTAGCTACTACTGCTAATAACAATGCTGGTGGTATTGGTGGTGGCACCGGTGCTCACGCCCATCATGGTGGGGCACACCATTCTCAAAATCCTGTGCATGTTCACTCATACTCCCTATCTCCAAACATAAGCTCTCCTAACAAGGAGTCCTTTGACATTGATCTTATTGTAACCCCAAAAAGACACTCATCGTCACGTTTCGAACCTCAATCTAATGACGGATATCAAGAGATCGTCAAGTTGCCCAATTTCGATGAGGTGCTTCCTGAGGAACAAATCCCATTATTCGTCCAAAAAATTGACCAATGCAACATTATGTTCGATTTTGGCGATCCCACATATGATATTAGAGGGAAAGAAATCAAGAGGATTACGCTTCAAGAGCTTATCGAGTTTATCCTGACCAATAGATTCACATATACCGAAGAAATGTATAAACATGTGGTGATGATGTTTAAAAGGAACTTGATTAGACCTATTCCACCTCCAGTGAATCCTGTAGGTGAGTTGTATGACCCTGATGAAGATGAACCAGTTAGCGAGTTAGCATGGCCTCACATGCAAGTCATTTACGAATTCTTCTTAAGATTTATCGAAAGCCCAGATTTCAGTCCTCAGATTGCCAAAATGTATATTGACCATGAATTTATTTTGAAAATATTGGAATTGTTTGATAGTGAAGATCCCAGGGAGAGAGATTGCCTTAAGACTACTTTGCACAGAATATATGGGAAGTTCTTAAGTTTAAGAAGTTTTATAAGAAAACTGATCAACAATGTGTTTTTGCAATTTACTTATGAAACAGAAAGATTCAACGGGATTGCAGAGTTATTGGAGATTTTGGGCTCTATCATTAACGGATTTGCTTTACCATTGAAGGAAGAACACAAGATATTCCTTGTTAGGGTACTAATTCCTCTTCATAAAGTAAAATGCCTTTCTTTGTATCACCCACAGTTAGCCTATTGTATAGTGCAATTTTTGGAGAAGGACCCTCTGTTGACCGAAGAAGTTATTATGGGACTCTTAAGGTTTTGGCCTAAGATTAATAGTCCGAAGGAAGTAATGTTTTTGAACGAAATTGAAGACATTTTCGAAGTTATGGAACCACTGGAATTCTTAAAAATTCAAATTCCTTTGTTTGCGCAATTACTGAAATGTATTTCATCCCCACATTTCCAGGTTCTGGAAAAAGTATTATGTTATTGGTCAAATGAATATTTCTTGACGTTAATTACAGAAAACGCAGAAGTGGTGTTGCCAATTATATTCGCATCCTTATACGAACTTACCAATGCCACCCAACCTGGAATTGCCAATGGGTTAATTAAGCAGAAATTGGCTGAAAACCCTAATGCAACAACTGATGCTAATGGTAATATTATCGACAATGGTTTAATATTAAGAAATAATGGAGTCGATGACGGCAACGGAGGAATTCATGATATGACTGAAGAGGAATACTATGATTCGTTTTCATCTCCACAGCATGGTGGTCTCAATGGGAATGGGGGAGATATTGATGATTTTGGTAACCAGCAGTCTGGTCACATCCCACCACACAACTCAGCTACATCCAACTGGAACAGAACAATACATCAATTATCATTTGGAGCATTGAAAGTCTTTATGGATCATAACCCAATATTGTACGACCATTGTACAATGCTATACCATCAATCGTTAGAGGAACAAAAATCAAGAGAGTTGGCCAGAAAGGATGGGTGGAAAAGGATCGAAGAGTATGTTAAGCAGATCAAAGAGCAAGAAAAATTACAACAAGAACAACTGCCACTGCAAATAACGCAATTGCCGCAGGTGCAACAGCATACGAATTCTGAAAAGGGAGCTAGTGTTGCCGGTCATTAACCGTCTCTCAGAAGAAGCAAAGAGTATATAATAAAAGTATATACACATCGAATAAATATAAGAACGAGAATGTTAAGTAGTAGTTTCGAATCAAAATAAAAAGAAGACAGAGACAATAGAGATAAGGCGCAAAGAGTAGCAATACAGAAATAAATACTTCTATAATAGCTCCACTGTGAAATGTCAACTTTTCACGGATACGAAAACCCGGGGTACAAGCAGATACGGTGTCGTTAGACATCAGTTGGCAATGTAAAAAGAAATACAGGATTATTTTTTCTTGGTGCAGATGTCGTAGAGAAGAAAGTCTAGTAAAAGATCTAGAATAGGTCAGAATATTACTAGCGTGACGTATCCGATGCAGCGAACAAAAGCTTGAACGTTCCTTTTTAACTAAAAGAGCCTATAGTAGATAATGAAAGCGAGATTGTTGATGGAACTGAGAGGCAACGTTGCTGGTATTGATTCGCATATTGCCTGTGTTTCGTTCCTTTTCGGAAAAATGTTCGGAGCCCTTCTCAGATAAGGCTGAAACAGCTGAGAAGTTTCTCTGCTCCAAGGCTTTTGTAGTATTTTCTAGCGGGAGGAGAAAAATACATGATGGGAAAAGTGCTACTACGCCAAATTAGTGAACACCTTTCAAAAATATTGGAGTAAGAGAAGTTTGTCACACATTCTTCTTCACACACTCATCACAACAAGTATGAGATGGAAAAAAAAATAATAAACAATACTCCTCCCCAGGCTACTAAGTGTGGAAAAAAAGAAACTACGGATCAAATATCTTGAATACCTTAATAACTTTCCTTGAACAATAAGTGTCCACAGTAAAGTGCTACTTTATTGCTCGTTTACAGGAAAGATTAATCTTCAAATGCTTGGCTTGCCTTATCTTACCCAGGTGTCAAGAAAAGAATCAAAAAAAAAATATAAGAAAAATTTTGTTGATGCGCTGACTATCGTCCAGTTAGAGCGCAAAGTTAGGCGCTTATGTTGATCAACATGACAAAATCATCTGGACAGATTTACCATTCCAGTGTCAGTGAGCGAATAAAGAAGCTAAATTCAAAAAAAAAGTCTTGGCTTTTCTTATCAATGAAATGCTCGGACAAAAATGTGCCTTGATGGTTTGGGAAACAGGCCGCACCCCTCATGTAATCAAACTGCATGAGAAGACATCCAGATGCTGGAATGGGCAACAAGCGAAAAAAAAGGTAAACTACATAGCTATACACTGAAACGAATACTTCTATTGTGAAACAACAGATCTTGCTAATGAACTAGTTAAACCTAGCAATAACATCTAGCATAGTTCATCTTTTTCAGCCTACCAAAAATAATATATCTGCAACCGTAAGGCGTTCGCACCGTAAAGCAGAAGAAGGCTTAACGTATTTTTAATAGACTCTGCGTTTAAGTCATTGAAATTTTCCTAATTATCTGCCTGCATTAACTTTATTTTCTAGGAGCTGCGTCAAAGAGAAGCAAGTCTTGTTCCGGAACATATATAAACTATCAGGTAGCCTAACAGATTGTTGTTTCTTGTACTAAATTTCATTGTATATACCATATTTTTTGATTCAACTGAAAATGGTAACTGACTTAGAAAAGTCAAGTGAACAAATTGATACACTCTCTCGTCATTCCGAGGAGTATCATCTCTATGTTTCAAAATCCACACCTTCTGCCAACTTGGCGTTCAATGAGGGCCATCAATTGAAGAAGGGACTTGAAGCTAGACATGTTAGTATGATTGCCATTGGTGGAGCTTTAGGTACTGGTTTACTTATCGGTACTGGTTCTGCTTTAGCTAAGGCTGGTCCTGGTTCTATTTTGATTGCATACTCTATTATCGGTCTTGTGGTCTATATGGTCATGTGCGCGTTAGGAGAAATTGCATCTTTTATCCCATTGGCTGATGGTTTTACTGGTTATTGTAACAGATATGTTGAACCTGCTTTAGGTTTTGCTTGTGGTTACGTCTATCTTTTCAAATATCTTTTGATTCCAGCAAATCAGTTGGTTGCGGGATCTCTTGTGGTACAATATTGGGTTAGCCCTGAGAAAATGAATCCAGGTATTTGGATTACTATTTTCTTGGTTATTATTGTTGCAATTAACATCTTGGGTATTAGATTTTTCGGAGAAATTGAATTCTGGTTATCAACATTGAAAGTTATCACCTGTTTGGGTTTAATTTTAATCTTGTTGATTATAGCTCTTGGTGGTGGTCCAACCCATGACAGATTAGGATTCAGATACTGGAAAAACCCTGGTGCCTTCAAGGAATACACTGACAGTACTAAGAAAATGAAAATTTCTGGTGATAAGGGTAGATTTGTTGCTTTCATCTCCACTTTGGTTACCGCTGTTTTTGCTTTCTTGGGTACTGAATTGTGTGGTATTACTTTTGCTGAATGTGAAAGACCAAGAAGAGCCATTCCAAAGGCCATTAGATTGACCTTCTACCGTATCGTCATTTTCTATTTACTTTCCATCTTATTCCTTGGTATGTGTGTCGCCTACAATGATCCATTATTGACTGCAGCAAAGGGTTCCACTGCAGCTGCTTCTCCATTTGTGATTGCTATCAAGAATGCTAAGATCAAGGGTTTACCTCATATTATCAACGGTTGTATCTTGTTATTCGTTCTTTCTGCTGCTAACTCTGATATGTACATTTGTTCTAGAAACATTTACGGTTTATCAGTTGCTGGGTACGCACCAAAGTTTTTCTCCAAGACCAACAAGAGGGGTGTTCCATACTACGGAATTGCTTTGAGTTTCGCTTTCTGCTTATTAGCTTTCATGACTGTTTCTAGTGGAGCAAGTGAAATCTTCACTTACTTCGTTAGTGTGGTCTCTCAATGTGGTTTATTAGCATGGGCTTGTATCTTGTTCATCCACATCAGATTCATGAAGGCATGTGAGGCTCAAGGAATTGACCGTAAGAGAGACTTGGTTTACAGATCTCCATTCCAACCATATGGTTCTTACTTTGCCTTCTTCGTCTGTGTATTGGTTATCCTTATCAAGAACTTTACTGTCTTCTTAGGTAAGCCATTCGCATACAAGGATTTCATTACTGGATACATCATTTTACCAATTTTTGTTATCATGTACTTTGGTTTCAAGTTTTACTACAAGACTTCGATCATCCCTTCAGAAGAAGTAGACATGGTCACTTACAGAGACGTAATTGATGCTGAAGAAGAAAGATATGCAGCAGAAGAAGCAGAAAACAAGGCCCTTAGAGAAGCAAGTGGTAATCCAAAGGACAAACAATGGTATTATGAAACTTTCATCGGTTGGTTATTCTAATGTATACACTATATTAAGGTACAAATAATAAATACACATAATAAGAGATCAATATAAGCGAAAGTAACTTCATCCCTATGGCACTCTACCTAAAATTTTCAAGCTTACACTGGTGAGACATTTTGCAACCCAAATATTGCCCAAAGAGGCAGTTACCCGGAAGTGGCGTATTTTTTATTCCATCGAGCCTCTATTTAAATAAGCTCGCCTGGGAAGAGATTTATGTACCCATGTACTCTTCTATTCAACAAGGTTATCCTTTACTGTAAGTACAGAAAATGAAGTATCCAGCAATTTATTATGATGATTTCTTACTCGCCATTGATTAACTTCGGTTGATGGGTGGTCTTGATTTCTTATGAAGAACATTTAGAACCGCTACTCTGACTATAATTGGACCTTTGAATGCATTTAGTAATATATTCATACTAACAGAAATACAGTGGAACCAATCATATGAACAATAGATACTGAAAAATACACAGAAATCAAGAAAATTAAAAGCTGTAGAGTTTTGTAAGTCCTTCTCATGAACCACCTCTGCGGAAGTGGGTTCTGTTGCGTTATTGTATTACCTACAACGATTACATAATCTAAGTACATTCATGAAGATCAATACAGAATTAGAACGCCACGGCAGTGTGCTTCCACTCTAGTGACCTCCTTTTTTTGTTTATCTCTTGCCGCTATCCGCTTTACTCCAATGTTCTCTATTGAATTCCGTGATGCTCTGATTTGACACATACAATCTAACCTTATCCACCGAGGAAACTCCGCGGACTCAGTCTTAATCAAACCGTCTATACTAATAAATGCGATCCTGCACAGTTCGAGTCAAAAAAAATTTTTCAGTGCTGCTCTGCTCAGGAATATAAATACAAAATGATTACACATCATTTTTTCTTTCACCTTTTTCTTCTTCTTTTTTTGGCAACGTTTGCCCATTTATAACGAGACTAACTCTATAGTAAACGTATCTCTATTATAATAAGCAAATTTCCCCCAAAACCATACCAAACCAAATAATAATGTCTTTATCCGCTTCTCAAGCTCTCGCTCATTTAAAGACTTACTCCAAGAAGGACGGTTTGAGTGTAAGACAACTTATTGACTCTTCCAACTTTGGTGGTTTAACATACAATGATTTCTTGATTTTGCCAGGTTTCATTAACTTCCCATCTTCTGCTGTTTCCCTTGATGTCAACTTAACCAAAAAGATCACTTTAAAGTCTCCATTCGTTTCCTCTCCTATGGATACCGTTACTGAAGAGAATATGGCAATTCACATGGCACTTTTGGGTGGTATTGGTATTATTCACCACAACTGTAGCCCAGATGAACAAGCTGAAATGGTTAGAAAAGTTAAGAAGTACGAAAACGGTTTTATCAATGACCCGGTTGTCATTTCTCCAGATGTCACCGTTGGTGAAGTTAAGGCATTCAAGTCTCAACTTGGTTTCACAAGTTTCCCAGTTACTGGTATGTATATGATTTGAGATGGGTGCTGCGATGCCCCGATTCTCCAGGAATGTTTTTTTTTTTTTTTTTTTTTTGAATTTTTTAAATTCTCGAATTTTCATTTTTCATAATTTTTGGGTGCAAAAAACACCCACCAAGGGTTCCTCATTCCACTGATGATCAACACTAATTAATAACTTTCGTTCTACCGAATTACATCAAACGATGTTGAGGACACAACTTTAACTGATGGAATGAGTAAAACTGTGAAAAGAAAAATACGGGACATTTGAAATTGGGCCAAAAAATGAAAATTTAGCTCTTCATAGAAGAAAATCAAGTCATTTTTGACCATTTTAGACCTTTTTGAAAATTTTTTGTTACTAACATTTTTCCTTTTAGACAACGGTAAAGTTGGTGGTAAATTAGTTGGTATTGTCACATCGCGTGATGTTCAATTCCACGATGATAACAGCTCAAAGGTCTCTGAAGTTATGACCACTACTTTGACTACCGGTAAGGAAGGTATCAGTTTGACTGAAGGTAACGAATTATTAAGATCCTCTAAGAAGGGTAAGTTACCTATTGTTGATAATGATGGAAAATTGGTTTCTTTAATCTCTTTGACTGATTTGCAAAAGAATCAAGAATACCCAAATGCTTCTAAGTCATTCCACTCCAAGCAATTGCTTTGTGGTGCTTCCATTGGTACTATGCCAGCTGACAGAGAAAGATTACAAAAGTTGGTTGACGCCGGTTTAGATGTTGTCGTTGTCGACTCTTCTAATGGATCCTCTATTTTCCAAGTTGATATTCTCAAATGGATTAAGGAAACCTTCCCAGAATTACAAGTCATTGCTGGTAACGTTGTTACCAGAGAACAAGCTGCTCTCTTAATTGATGCTGGTGCCGATGGTTTGAGAATCGGTATGGGTTCTGGTTCTATCTGTATCACCCAAGAAGTTATGGCTTGTGGTAGACCTCAAGGTACTGCTGTATTCAATGTTGCTGAATTTGCCAATCAATTTGGTGTTCCATGTATCGCTGATGGTGGTATTGGTAACATTGGTCACATTACCAAGGCTTTAGCTTTAGGTGCCTCATGTGTCATGATGGGTGGTCTTTTAGCTGGTACTTCTGAAACTCCAGGTGACTACTACTACCGTGATGGTAAGAGATTGAAGACTTACAGAGGTATGGGTTCTGTTGACGCTAAGGAACAAACCACTAGCAATGCCAACGCCTCCACCTCAAGGTACTTCTCTGAATCTGACAAGGTTTTCGTCGCCCAAGGTGTCTCCGGTTCAGTTGTTGACAAGGGTTCAATCAGCAAGTTCGTCCCATACTTGTTCAACGGTTTACAACACTCTTTGCAAGATATTGGTGCTCAATCTATTGACGAGTTAAAGGCAAAGGTTATTTCTGAAGACATTAGATTTGAATTCAGAACTGCTTCTGCTCAATTAGAAGGTGGTATCACTGGTTTACACTCTTACGAAAAGAGATTACACAACTAAGTAAATCAGTGCTATTCCTTTACCTGGTTCTTTTTATTAAGAATCTAATATGTAAGATATCTATACACAAAAAATAAAATATTAATTGATTATGACAACATTGTAGAGAATTCTAAGGTGCCTCTCCATCACGTAGAGAATACACCATTGACACCATAGAAATTATTCCACCTTGTAAAATAATCTATTAGATAAAATAGACTATCTTGAATATTTTATTTCGGGGCGAGGTTGATATGACATCATCAATTTTCAAAACTCATTTTCGCATATAAAACACGCCAACATTAAAGATACTAATCCTGAATATATACTTATCTTGGGAGTATAGAGATGAATTACCTTAATTATAATCGCTTCGCTGATACACCAGACCAAAATGCCTCAACAAACTTGGATCAGGACTTAAGAAGCTCAAGATCGGATAAGTATGCCAAATCTGAACCTGAGGTTAAGGCATGGCTTTTCAAGGTTTTGAAATTGCCACAATCTCGAGTTGACGAATACAATTCATACAATTTGGATTTGATGGACATTTTGAAAGATGGAGAACTTCTTTGTAAGCTAGGACTATTACTTGACTTACAAAATAATCCCTGTAGTAAATATAAGAATTCGAAGATGCCATTCGTTCAAATGGAGAACATCTCTTTTTACCTTAAGGCTTGCGAATTGATTGGAGTTCCCCATGATGAGATTTTCCAAACTGTAGATTTATTCGAAGCAAAAGACCCGTACCAGGTGATAGTAACTATGATATCATTTTCTAGAAGGGCAAACGAAAATAATAAGATTAACTTCGCTAATGTGTTGGGGCCAAAAAAGGCAAAGGTAAAGCCTCCAGTACCTAAGAAGCCGTTAAGGTTACTGAAGTAGAGAACAAAATTTCGAAAATGGGAATGGAACTTAAGCACAAGAACACACCAGCTGTAGAATGTAGTCCAATTGCGTCTTAGGAGTCGGATGTGATACTAAATACGACGATTTGTGCATCATACATGTAAAGTGACCCCCGGGTTATAGTCGCCAGGGATAGTTAGATAGCGTTCTGGCGGTCCTCAGTAACATTACGAAGAGAAGTATTTCACTGCGATTTCAAATCTAAATTATATTCAGAGCTAGCAAGCGCAAGAGAAGATAAAATAAAATTGGTGAAATCGACGGAAGAGCAGATGAAAGAACGGTAGAGGAGTAGTTGGAGAGAGAAGCTCTAGTCAAAAGCCAATGAATCTGGTCGACTTTGAAATTTCCCCTAGCATATAAGGCTACCAGTATCAAATATAGTTAGAATATTCAATATATACAGGTGTGTTTTGTATCCCAGAGCAACGAAAAGCTCATATAGAGGATCTCTAGCCCAGGTAGTCCTCTTTCCATCACTTATAGCCAAAAGCTTATCGACCTGTTCAATATGTTAGCACCCACCGCTTATGTAATCAAATCGTCTCTTTCTTTTTTTTTTTTTTTTTTTTCCAAAATTTTTTTTTCAGTCTCATCTCAGGCATCGCATCTCTCCATTTTCCAATCAACAATCATAAAGAGGTAAGCTGGAGTCTTCACGTAGTGCAGTGCTTCTTTTTTTCTTTTCTCTTCATAAATATCCACATTTTTATCACTACATCACTTCTATAAAACCACCTTTTTGCATACTATATATCATGTCTGATGAAGTGATTTGGCAGGTCATAAACAACCAATTTTGTGCATTTAAAATTAAGACCACTAAAGATCAAAATTTCTGTAGAAACGAGTACAATGTATCTGGTTTATGTTCAAGGCAATCATGTCCCTTGGCAAATGCAAGATACGCCACGGTGAAGAACGTGGACGGAAAGCTTTACTTATATATGAAAACAGCAGAAAGAGCACATATGCCCTCGAGAATGTGGGAAAGAATCAAGTTGCTGAAGAACTATAACAAGGCACTTGGCCAGATAGATGAGCATTTGCAGTACTGGCAAAAGTTTTTAATTCACAAGTGTAAGCAAAGATTAACCAGATTGACTCAGGTTGCTATCACTGAAAGAAGATTGGAATTACGTGAAGAAGAAAGACATTATGTAGGAGTGAAGCCCAAGGTCAAGAGAAGAGAGCAGACCAGAGAGAGAAAGGCGCTCGCTGCAGCCAAGATTGAGAAGGCTATTGAGAAGGAATTATTAGAAAGATTGAAGAGTGGTGCTTACGGTGACAAGCCATTGAACGTTGACGAAAACATTTGGAAGAAAGTGTTGGGTAAAGTTGGCGATGAAGAAGAATTGGATGAAGACGACGAAGAGTTGGAAGACGAAGATTTGGAAGAGTATGATGAAGACAGTGATGTAGGCGAAGTTGAATATGTTGAAGACGATGGAGACGATGAGTTGGTTGACATGGAAGACTTAGAAAGATGGTTGGACGATTCATCTGCAGATGAAAACGAGTCCAGCGATAGTGACGACAGTGACGAAGAAGAAAGTAAGAAGAGAAAGACTGTTGGAGACGATAGTAAGAGAAAGAAGAGAAGACCTAGAGTTGAGATCGAGTATGAGCAAGAAGAAGAGCCACTCACCAACATTGCTGCATCTTAGGGTTTCATAAATTGTATAATAGAATAATCCACCCAAAAGTTTGTCATACACTAAATAGTATTAAATATACAACTAGTTTAAAGTTTCTTTTCATTTACGGTAGTTTTAGTTTATGTTCAGTCTCCTAATTGAGAATATTTTCTACTGATTTGCTTTAAACAAAGGAGGCTCGGCTTGCTCCATAGCTTTGTTCTAAGAAATTGAGGTTCGAGAAAATGCGCTACTTGTTCGTTGCACTTAATTTTTCTTTTGCTTGATGATTTTATATACCTTTAATCATATGTAGATATTTCAATTAAATTCTGATCCGGATCCCTGATATAGACACTGTTTATCGGGCCGTTTGCACCTGTTCTCCTTATTGGACCTTCTTCGATGACAACTTTCATCGACGACAAAAATTCAACAACACCTGATATGGAGTTCACCTGGGCTTTCTCGTCCAAAATGAAACATAAGTCTTCAGACCCTGGAACTGGCTCCCTTGCACAGGGTTGGAATTCTTTCCCTTGTTGGTGCAAATTGATTTTCATAGTGCCAAATTTGAGTGCGTATCGAGTCGATTGGGGGTCTGAGGGTGGGTTAAAAGTTTCTACGTTCATGCCAAGAACCTTGGAGTAGAAGTCACAGGTCTTATGTATAGACGCAACAGTCAACACTAGATGGTCCAAAGTTTTTAGTTGAATCATATGTTCGGCTAAATTAGCTCCCTTTTTGGGAGAAGACTAGTTCTACAAACTGAAGTAGCAAGAAAGCCTAAACACCACCCAGGTTTCGACTGCATATAACGAAATGTTGCAATCTTAATTAGGCTGCAAACTCTTGGTTCACATCTGTGCTCTCCACAAATCCAGCTGGAAAGGTGTACTTTACCAATCCTTTCCATTAATATATACTGCTAGTTACTGACATATTCTCTTTATTCCTGAAATCAAAGGATTGCATTCAATCTCATGGCTAGTTTAACTTATTTGAAGGAGCTCCCTTTTTATCGCCAGGCAGATGACTGGCAAGAATTGCTTCGTCTGTTGATGAACAAGATGTTTCTACTGGAAATACTTCATTGAGATCAATAGTTATGGCGTCTAGTAATGGAAATGTTAAAATTCCTATAAATGAGCCTGGTGAAGGTAAGAAAAGGGGCCAAATAGAAGAATTTTATGATTTCAATGAAGGGCCAGGTATTCAGCATGTAGCAATTAGAACAAAGAACATACTTGCCACTGTTAAATCCTTGTATAGCAGAGGAATTGAGTTCAATACTATGACACTGTCATACTACGATGATTTGAAGAAACGCTTGGAAAGGGATGGTGTTCTTATATTAGAAGATTTAAATGAATTGAGAAAACTTAACATACTAGTGGATTATGACCCAAATTCTAGGAACAAAAAGACAAATGTCTGCAACTACATCCTCCAAATCTTCACGAAGCCATTCTCTGACAGGCCAACTTTATTCTTTGAAGTCATCCAAAGACGTCATCATAACGGATTTGGAAAAGGAACATTTAAGGGATTGTTTGAATCGATCGAAGCTCAACAAATGAAAAGAGGTACTTTAACTGATCGCATTTAAACTTCACTCAGTTGGTGATGCTAAAGGATCCCAAGATTTCGTTTGACTCTCAGTATTTCGCAAATATCCTTTTATATCCTTTACAAACAAAGGATACAATAGTTCATCAAACCCTTCATTTCTTGCAAACTCTGCTGCTCTTTCAAAAGGTAACCAAACCCCCTTTAATTTCATAGATCCTACTTTGACAACTTCTTTAGTCTTTTCTGCCTTCAAAATTCCATCCCTTTTACCTCGAGAAATTCCTGTAGCATTCAATAGTTTAGTAGCATTTATGTAATTTGAATCTTGACGTCGGGACACAACTATTTTATTGTACTCCACCTGGTAGCAAATAGTATTTTCGTTTTCCCAAAAGGTAGTTGCAATTCTGGGTTTCTTAGGTATTAGTGACGGGAAACTTCCAGATGAGCTTCTTTTGGAATTCTCGGGAGTCTGCAACATTTGTGTGTTTGAATTTTTATTTGAGGAGCTATAACTTATCTTTCGTCTCTTTGGCATGTCAATATATTGCTGTGACGTATTTAACGAATGACTTAATTCGACTGAATTCAGCATATTAAATAGGTTCAGATTTTCAGAGGAGTAGTACGCTTGCTGTTCTGGTACTTGAAAAGGAAGATGATGAAACTGCTGTTGCTGCTGCTGTTGCTGCTGCTGCTGGAGATATTGCTGTTGCTGTTGAGGAACTTGTTGGGCGAATGAAGGAGTGGATGTGCGGTGGGCCGTGTTCGAAGAGCCTCCATGGCTTAGAAGACCATCATTGCTTCCTTCGTAGCTTGATCTGCTTAGATAGTAATTCTGATTCAGCTCGTTGGAAAAAGGCTGCAGAATTTGTCCATGAGTGATAATGGTATTTGCTGTGTTAGCCTGTGGGACAAACTGAAGTTGTTGGTTTTGAGAAATAGCTTGTCCATTGTCTGGATAGCTTTGAGCAAGACCTGCTTGATTGTTTGAAAACATAACCGAAGGACGCACTAAGTTGTCTTGTGAAGGATTTTGAGGCTCTCCCATGTATTCTGGCGCATAAGCGTTTGAATGGTTTGGTGTTGTATTGTCTTCCAACTTTAATTTCGCAGCCATTTCAAATTAAGGTATTTCTTTTAGCTACTTCTTATAGATAACACAATTGAATGAGCAGCAAATCTTCTATCTGATGTATCTTCTTCTTTTGAAGTATATGACAGTGGACAAGATTGTATATATGTTACTAAATTCGTATTTTCTAGAAACATTGACAGCAGTGGATCCATACTGAAACTTCACAGGAAAGCTGTGAGTTCATGCACGATCATGTACATCGCTCTTAAATTGCAACCAAGTGCAACTGCAAACAACCTTTCATCTTGTACTATAGTTTCCTTTTGGACAACGATTTTCCATGTTAACATGCACTGGGTACTAATTGGAGAAGGAATACGGACAATTTACATATCCTTTTACAATCCCGTTCGATTATCAAACAATCAAGTGATGGAACTATCAAATGCGGTACATTCGCTAATCTGACTTTTGTAGAAGCTAGCCAAGCAGACAAAACAGCTTCAAGTTGCATGGATCAGGTAGGCAAAGGCAAAGAATTCTTATTTGCATTGACTTGAAACCAACTACCGTAACTCTTTCAAGCGAAAAACAGAGAGAAGGAATACGAACTCAATGAGGTTGGGAAAGGTGCCTCTTGTCATGGATAGTTTTAATAAATTGAAGGAATATTCAGTGGAGCTAAGACCTCTCCCGTCGACTGAAAGCGGCATACAAGAAGGAGAAGACCTGGGATTTCTTTGGTTGCAACATGTGATTTATTGACTAAACCTTCCTCCTAAAGGTTACCACATAACATGAAAGCAAATGCTGGTCACAAGCAAAGAAAAAGAAAGAAATAGATTCGGTTTCAAAGACTTGAAACACCATGGTCCATCTTTTAACAAATGTTTTACCCTTTTAGAATTGAAATGAGAAATAAACTAAGATCCAATGGGGCCAGCTTAATGGACCAAACCGCCATTAAGCTGCCCCACTTAGTGTCCTGTATCGTAAACACAAATGCTTAAATGCAACCTCCGCAATACGCCCCAGATAATTTTTTCAGTGTGCTATATGTAGGAACTTTTCACGATATGTACGAGATGTTCGACTGCTTTATCTGAAGTAGTGCATCCAGCTGGCCAATAGATAAGCAGCTAGGTTTCTTTTTGGAACAAAAAGTGTAGCTTAAGGAAGGCTAACGGGAGCGAGTGTTTTCTTCCTGGTCCTTCCAGATCTCCTGCACCTCTCGCATCCATTATTGTATCGGTAGACTTCAAACTACACTCATCTGATCAAGGCGGTATGCGCTAAATTTTTTAATCTTGACCTTTTTTGGTTTCTTCCATGCACCGAACACGGGCTCCTAATGCGATGTTTTTTCCTCGCATGATACAAAAGAATCTCTAGCAATGTCATCACTAAGCCCATCGCTTTTAAACCCACATTATACCTGAATACTGTGAAGAAAATGACTCCAGTTCCCGTGGAAACGAAGAAGGAGCGAAGAACATCATTTTTGGATGCTGGTGGGCCAAATTCGATAAATAATTTCGCCTCCTCTTACGTAAGAACTCAATCATATTGGCCGCATAGTCTAGGTGAAAATTCCCTTGACTATGCAATTTCTCCTGGCACATCTCCAGTACAAGAGCCAACATCCTCTGTAGCCAATATTTCCGCCGAATTGGATGAGAATCAATTGTACTTGGAAAATGAGAGAGATTCACAAAATAGTCTACCTTCGCAGAAAGGTTTGAACCGCAACTATGAATTCCCGAATAGTAGGAGCAATGGTACCGAAGACGAAACCAGTCCATTGATCCCAGTGGTATCAGCTGGAGGAAAGTCATCCATTGTGTTTGAAGGCTCCACTACTCCTCAAACAATCTTCAATGCGATCAACACTATGATGGGGATCGGAATGCTTTCGCTCCCCATGGGGTTTAAACTATCCGGATGGGTATTTGGGACCATCATATTAACTTTGTCGGCCGCTTCTACAAACTATACGGCCAAGTTATTAGGGAAAATTTTGAAAATTCACCCTCTGATAATGAGTTATAGTGACATTGCATACTCTTGTTATGGGCTGTCGGTAAATATTTTGATCACTTTGATTTTCACTGCTGATCTTATTGGTGCAACTGCATCACTAGTATTGTTGTTTGGTGATTCATTTGCAATCTTCTTTCCAGAAATCCATACTTCAGTATTTAAAACTATCATAATATGCTTAACATTTATTTCTTCATTTTTACCACTTTCCATTCTTTCAATGTCCTCACTTTTAGGAGTTGTTTGTACATCTTTTATATTGTTGGTAATTATCTTTTGTGGTGTTACTACTACCAATGAGCTTGGGGGCGCTGGTGGCTCCCTCCTCAACCCAGTTCACACATATATGTGGCCACAACACCCCAAGTACTTGTTGGTTTCGCTCGGGATATTCATGGCACCATGGGGAGGTCACGTTGTGTTCCCTGAGTTGTATCGTGATATGAGACACCCATATAAGTATAATAGAGCAACCAATGTAACGTTCAACTTCACTTTTTTCATTGACTATGTTGTTGCAGCTATAGGATTTCTTATGTTTGGAGTAGAATGCCAGGACTCGTTCACTAAAAACTTGATGCTTCAACCGAATTATCCTCGATGGGTAAAGCCTACGATATGTCTCTTGTTTGGAGTCTTGGCCCTAGTCAAGGCTCCCTTACTCGTGAGACCGGTCTTCTCCGTGCTAGACAAGGCTTTAGGTATACAAAGTGTAGCTCTTTTGCCTAATGGATCGAAGAGAGAGCTGTTTGGGTTCAAAAGAGCAATTGTCAGGTTCTTATACTGTGCATTTTTGCTATTAATATCTATTACATTCACGTCGTTCGGTGGTATCATTGCTTTCTTGGGCAGTGCCATTTGCTTCACCATATGCTTGGTACTCCCATTGATGTTTTATCGCAATCTTTACTACGATGAAATAAGTAGAACGGAAAGAAAGCTTATAGAAGTTGGAATAGTTATCAGTACAATTGGTGCAATTGCTGGGACGTATGGCTCAATTGCTATTGACATCTAGATCCACTGCATTTATTTAAACTTCACCAGAGTATAAGGGTTTTTTATAATAATTTTTTGTGTAGTGTATGTACATGTGTCAAGCCCTGAGCTAAAGTCTCTCAATATTTATGCCTACGATGGTGCCACGAATCTTACTTAGATGCTTATTCTATTTTATTTGAACCTATGTGTTAAACGTTTTTCATTTCACATTCATTATTTTTTCTTCCGTTTCCTTCAGGATTTTATATTAGTACATATATATAGCCCTTCGAACTATGGTCTACCTTGGCGACGTCTTCCTTTGAAGTGAAAATTTTCATCTTCATTTTCGAGTCCATTGTTATATATCGCAGCAGCATAGAGGATATTTTCGTGTTGAGATTGTGCTAAGTACTGAGCCATAACTTGGGATCCCGAAGTTCCGTATCCCCTACCACTTGTACTACTAGCGCTAGGCAAGTGCGGTTGTGAAGAGTAGTGAGGTGCATAATATGGGGAAGGTGGTCCATAGGCCAGCATATTGACCTGGTGCAAGTGGTGGTACGCTTGTGGATGAGGTAAAGGAGGAGCACCATATTGTCCATGTCCGTAAGGAATTGTTTGAGGCGTGGGTGAAGCTGGGTGAAAGTTGAAGTACCCACCATTTGGACCACTGCCAGAAACAGATCCAGATACAGATCCAGCTCCATTTCTTGTTAGACCTGATGGAGATGCTCTTTGAGGTGACATATAGTATAAACCAGGCTGTTGGTAGATTTGTTGTGGTAATGGTGCCTGTTTCAAAGGATTGTTATAGTAGCCATTTTTACTATAACTTGAATTGAGGGAAATGTTTGAGGAATTCCTCGAATATTCGTTACGTTTTGGAGTGAAAAGTTCAGAATTACTTCTTCTGACACCACGAGAACCCTTTGGAGGTTTGGAGGGTGTCTTCAAAGGAGAGGACTTGTCACTTATAATTGAAGAAGTAGAGATATCTTCTGAGTTTATAATGATCGAAACTTCGTCCTCGTCTTCCTCGTCATCATCTTCAGCACTATGGTCAATTCCAGCTACTTCCTTCAAAGGAGAGTCTTCACTTCCTTGTTTCACTTCTTTTTCTTTTCCTACCTCAATCAGATCTTCAGCTACGACTGGTTCTTTTTCTTTTTCTTTTCCTTCTTTTTCTTGTACATTATCTTCTTCTTCTTCATCGTAGTCGTCCTTTTTACTGATTATTCCAAACACCATCGCAGCCTCTTCTGTCATTTCAGTCCTCTCAACATTGCTTTCCAAAGGCTTATATTCGGTAGCCTCTTTTTCTCCAGAGTCATCTCTTTTCTTCCTTTCTGCCTCCTCAAGTCTTGAAGACTCTCTTAATTCATTTACGATATCGCTTTCATAGAGGTCTCCCTCTCTGAAACTGTTCAAATTGGCTGTACTACTCATATTGGAACGAGTCTTCTTTTGACCCCTCACCTTTTTCCGGATACTAAATTTTGGAGGATTCCCACACCTATCTTTTGCGAAACTAATCTTGAATTGGGAGTACTTCTCATAAAATTCTCCTGAGTCTCCTACTATTTTGTTTACTTTTTCAACATTTTTCATTCCAAAGCAATCAACCAATTTAATGGCATCTGCAATGTTCAAGAAATTCAAGAAGCCACAATCTTTGTTGTGGAAGAAATTGATTTGTTCCAATTCACCAAACTTAGAGAAATCTCTTCTGAGAGTCTCTTCATCTGGTAATGGCTTCTTCTTGAGCAACTGACCTTCCAAGTCATCCTCATTGGCATGGCCCGTAGGCTTGATGCCAATATATACATTTCTTGAAGCTCCAGCAGTCACAGCTAAGGTAATGTCTCTGCTCAACGGTCCAGAATGGTTTTTGGCCCATCCGACAGTAACATCATACCCATGTATAACCAATTGATGTAAAACCTCATGGTTTAAAAAGAACTTCAAGGCGATCAATGGATCCACGAAAGTTATGAAGCAAGCCTTCTTCTCATGATGGTATTTTATACTTTGGACAATCCCACCTGCCCTGACATTATTGGCAATATCTTCAACAGTTGTGTTTGGGTGAAGGTTACCAAGGTAAATCGTACGGTTACCTACGTTATTGAATTGTTCAGGTATATTTGAGTAACCTGGGAATTGATGATGCATGTGTGGATGATGGTGCATATTAGGTGAAGGGGGAATCATGGGCAAAGACATTGAAGACAATGGCATTGAAAGTGCAGAAATATTCGATTGAGACATATGAGATCTATTAGACTGTGACATGGTTGAATGGGAGTTTGATGATCTATGGATCCTTTCGGCTCCATTTATTTCCTCTTCTCCGGATGAGCTCGAGGGCGACGATACTTCTTCATTTCTTTTTATCAAAGATTTACGAATAGATTCATTGTTCTCCAAAATCATCAGAGGGTTGAATTCACTGAATTCGCTACCCTCTGACCCGTAGCTGTCATCCTCAGGTATGCTAATGATGCTCTCGTTGGGTAAGAAATTGCTGTGTGACGTGGTATTCCTTCTGGAAATGACTGGAGATGATGCAGTGGTAGAATTAGCGGTTGGGGGTTGAGAAGTAGCAATAATTTCTACTGGAGATTTGTCACATCTGTCTTTAGTAAAGGAAATGCTTTGGACGTCGGAATCGGGACCTGTGTTTTGAATCTTTTTGACGTAGAAATCATAACACTTAATGGCTGCATCAATCGATGTGTAATGCACTGTTATGCTGATGGCGCTGTCAGCGTCGCTAGCAGCGTTTTTTGCTTCAATTTCTTGTTCCAAGTCTCTTTCTGCATTTTCAGTTTTTTCGGCAGAAGCATCTACCTTTTCAGGCTCGAGAGCACTTTCATCTTCAGCTGTTTCTTCATTCGTTGACTTTTCCACAATCTTTTGTGACTTATGTTCCAGTTCGCTTACCAGCTGTGCTTCAGGTTGTAATTCAGGCTCTACGATGTCCGATTCGGTATTCTGCTTTATCTCCCATTTTTCAATTACTCCAAATTTCTCCAATTGCTGCCTAATCTCATCTTCATCCAACTCCCTTGCCTTTAAATTTATACTTCTGGTAGCCTTTAAATCCATGACATAATTTAAAGTCTTCAATTTGATGAAGTCCAGCTTTCCACTGGCACTTGAATTTGGGTTGCTCAGCCTTTCGTTTAATACGATCTTCAAGTTCTTGGAATCCAATTGCAACTTCAATTTGTTCAAGTTGTACTTATTCTTGGCATACTTCAAATGAAAATTTATGGAAATTTTACTATTCAAAAATGAAATATGGCAAGTTTGTGTGAACTGAGTGTCTTCAAGATGCGAAGGAGCTGGCTTTTTAAATATTCTGACGTACTCAATTGGACCGAAATCTATTGCATTAAGAACCTGTTCAAGGGTTAAATCTTCCAGAAGATTTTTGAGCACAATGGTTCTAGAAAGGCAGAGCGAGTCCAAGTTGGACGTTTCAAACTTGTAAGAAAGCCCGGAACTGCTACTGTTATTTCCATGTATGGAGCCGAACGTCTGGCTTCCTGCATTGTTGTGGTAGTTTTGTCCATATGGGTGCTGATACTGTCTCGAATTGTTGAAAGGTGACACTTGGGCCACATGAGCTGCGTGGGCATTGTGTATAGCATGGGCCTGGGCCTGTGCCTGTGCCTGTGCGTGAGCAGCGTGTAGTTGTGCCTGGGATTGTGCCTGTGCCTGTGCCTGAGCTTGGGCTTGAGCAGCTGCCTGGCCCTGGTGGTGGTGGTGTATCTGCTGACTGTGTAACTGAGGGGACACTGGAAAACTATTTATAAAGTACGGTGAGCCCACTAGCAAATTGCTCGGAATCATAGACTGACTATAAGTCAAGTCTAGAGGAGTTAGGGGTACAGACAGTGGGTCGTACTGCGAGTTGCCTGAATAGTACATACTCGGCTGCTGTGGATACATATCTTTAGAAAGAAAACGAGCTGTTTTGGCTTGGATTCGTTCAACACTTGTCTGTATATATTCCTATTTACTTTCACTCCTACCGTGTTCCTTTTTCTCTTGGGAAAAAGAAACTTTTAGAAATTACGAAAAAGCACAAAAAAAAAAAAAATCAAAAACAAAAAAAAAATAAAAATAAAAAGGGAAAGCAAAAGGCTAAGGAAAGAAATGCAGAGTACGCACAGCAGAACTCGGAACCTTAAACAGATTGGGTGGGTGCACCGATCTAGCAAAGAGAAAAAAAATAAATATATTATTTGATAATGAATGCCGTGTCTTTCTTGTTCTTTTGGTATAGGGTATGCTTGGAGGTTAAAAAATAAAGAGGGAAAACGAGGAAAACAAGGTGGTTAGCCTAGTTGAGTGACTTTTCACATTGCACATAATGGAGAGTACGTGTGTTACACTCTGGGTGTGGAATTCATGCATGGATGCGAAGTTATGTGCGAAGGCGATTCTGTGCAGCCCTCTGAGTGAGGTAGAGCAGGAATAAGTGCGAGTGCTGGAGCGAGTGGGAGCGAGTGGGAGGGAAAGGAGGGCCAGTACGGCATAGAAGTGCTGAACAGTGACATTTCAGTTATGTTAAGTGACGGTGAACTAGGTGACTAAGAGATAGGTTAACGGTGGTGTTTGCATGGAACCTTCTTTGTCCTCCACGGTGAGTGAAGGTATGGGCCCCAGCACGTAGAAACATCTGATGCGCGCTTATCAGATTCTCTGTGTTATCTAGGAGATGCCTCATAGTAGCATGAACTAAAAGATAAAGAGTGGGTCTCTTCGATGTGGGAGTGCTATGTGGAAAAGAGGATACATATGCAGTTACTGTCCTCATTTCAGACGTTTGACTCTTTTTCAGGTTAGCCTGCTTTGGATTTCTTGACTGGTGCCAAAAATAATTGCCCTGAATAATATATGTAAGATCTAACTAACAATTTCTTTTTATTTTTTTTTTTTTTTTTTTGAAATTTTTCACCACTTGTTCTTATTTTGGACAATACAGATCTTCTGTTCAACCCGCCAAGACGACCCCCATAGTAAGTGATAATAAGATGCTGGACAGATTATAGGGGGCCAAGCGTATAAAAACCAAGACAAAAATACGATACAATTCTGTCTATTTTTTTTTGCATTGCTTATTTTAATGCTGTGTAGTGCCCCAGGTCGTTTCCGTAACTGTTAGCGCCCTATAAGGCTTCTTCTTCTCGCCCTCACACCCCCCCCTTAGCTAAGACCGAAATAAGCCCACAAAAAATAAAAACTAAGCTGAAAAAATAACTTATTGGGATTGTCACCCATACAGGACGTTCGAATGTGTTGGTTTCCTCAGTAAACGGTTTGAGTTCGGAATGGGTAGGAAGAAAAAGGTGGATCATACAACGCTATGCTTCAGAAGGTCCCTCGCTAATTACTATTTTTAGACAAGAGTGCGAACCTTTGTCTTCTTGAAAGAGCATTTAAGTTTTGTTTTCACCTTAACTTTGTTTCATGCACGGTGGAACCCATTCTCACTTGAAATAGAGCAGAATGATGCTTTTCATAACACACTTAATTTAGCTTCTATTTTCTACCCATTGCCAAAAAATTGGGTGGTTGGAAAGTGACACTCTGATCGAAGATGTTGAAAACAACTGAAAAAAGAAATAATGATGTTATCAAAGCTTAAAATCTCGTATAATTGCTTTATAAATACGATTCTCTTTTGGTCAACATCATCTCTTTTCCGTAAATCTTTCACAGAGAGGTGCTATGCCCATTGAATTTAAAGGATCAGGTGTCTTACCAATTTCTGTGTTGGACCATGGGGAAAATTCGGTCTGTTCCTCCTCTAACCCCCCTTGTAGTGATTTCAGCGTGTCTCGATCATATGATTCGCTTTTGAAATTGTTTCAATTGTTCGAAGCTAAAACACGTACCACATGATTTCGTGAACCCCTCAAACACAATTTAAGTTTCTTTTGCACCCATTTCAGACTCCTATTTAAACTGACGAAATAGAATATTAAACGCTACTCGAGTCGTGACCTACCTACTGCGATGAAGAGTATACCAATCTTTAAGGCCCATGGCCGGTAATAGGCAGGGCAGAAGAAAAAAAATAGACATATCTACTGAACTCAGTGAGCTTCACGTCAATGATTGCTAAGGTCTATGAGGTGTAACAGGAAGATACGAGCTCCGGGTTGCATTATTTTTCTGTCACCTAAAGAATACTCGATCTTCTTACGCGCCATTCACGTATAGCCAACACGAAACGGCGCCTGATTGAGTAAAGAACTTTTCCTCAGGGCATCATCATCTTGTTACCATCTCGAGATGATACACATCGGCATTGCTAACTTTTCTATGTCTTAGTTTAAGCCACCCCACCTCTATGTATAGTAAACCCTTCTCAATTGCTAACGACTAGCGCAACGTTGCTCCTATTCTGCTAAGAACAATTAAAAACTCTCTCTCGCCTTTCTTCTTTCCTAGTTAGGAAGTCTACATCTTCTTACTCGATGAACCTAAAGATGGCAATCGAGTGAAAAATCAAACAAACCTGCATGTAACTCAGCAAAAAAAGTGAAAATGAAAATACAAAAGAGAAAAAAATGTACACCTCTTGATTTCGTAATACTAAAGCATTATAGTTATTAGATTAAATATGGCTCAAGAAGTTCCAACATTCAAGCTTGTCCTTGTCGGAGATGGTGGTACCGGTAAAGTAAGTATATTTTTGATAGATTAAACGTGATGTTTAGAAGAATTCGGGAAAGTACTCGATTGATGTTTTTTTGTGGTTGATTGGGTTTTTTTTTTTCAATTTTCCCAGATGTAAAGGGGGGAGCCTTGGGAAGAGTAGTCCTTTCCATATACAATTTTTTTTTGGATAAAAATGAGCCAATATACCTCTACATCTCTATAAACCACTCTCTGATGAATGCCATACTAACTGTTAATAGACCACTTTCGTTAAGAGACATTTAACCGGTGAATTCGAAAAGAAATATATTGCTACTTTAGGTGTTGAAGTTCACCCATTAGGTTTCCACACCAACTTTGGTGAATTAAAGTTTGACGTCTGGGATACCGCAGGTCAAGAAAAGTTCGGTGGATTAAGAGATGGTTACTATATCAACGGTCAATGTGGTATTATCATGTTTGATGTCACCTCAAGAATCACCTACAAGAACGTTCCAAACTGGCACAGAGATCTTGTCAGAGTTTGTGAAAACATTCCAATCGTTTTGTGTGGTAACAAGGTTGATGTTAAGGAAAGAAAGGTTAAGGCCAAGACCATCACTTTCCACAGAAAGAAGAACTTGCAATACTACGATATTTCTGCCAAGTCTAACTACAACTTCGAAAAGCCATTTTTATGGTTAGCTAGAAAGTTAGTTGGTAACCCACAATTAGAATTCGTTGCATCTCCAGCTTTGGCTCCACCAGAAGTTCAAGTTGATGCTGACTTGATGCAAAAATACCAACAAGAAATGGAACAAGCCACTGCTTTACCATTACCAGATGAAGATGACGCTGATTTGTAGATTATTGCAACGCTTTCGAGTTTCAAATTGCGAATAAAGTTTAATCATGTTGATTCTTATATAGCTTATATAGGTATAATATAATTTTTAAAACTCCCAAATGTGTGAGAGAATGCAGAGATGTAACAGAATTGTTTCATAAATAGCGAAGCGATGACTTGTTCTTACAGCCGAGTTGTGAGACAAGCACTGAAACGCTTCACAGCCTAGTAAAGTAAGAGAACGGTACCTGTGCTGATGAGGGACTGGGGTGCTCTAGCATGCTACGCTTAGAGGGTATAGAGATAGAGAGTAGCTTAGAGAAGCATTTCTGAAAGAGGTGCTACAATTGAGTTTCGTATTATGGCTTTATTTATTAATATCTACGACTTATTTAGGTCCAGCAGCTTTTTTATATAGAGCTGCACTAGTTACTATTTCATCTAGAACTGCACCAGTAAACTAGCTATAAGTGTATGTCTGTTTAGGATTATGCAATGCACTGCGCTATCGTCGCAGTATGTGTATGAATATGTTAGAGAATTACTCAATAACTCTCCTCTTGTGTATGTTTACTAATGGCTTCCCTGTACTCTTCAGTGTATCTCAATACTGAAGGAGGGGGGTTGGGAAAGTTCGGTAAAGTAGGTGGCGGAGGTAGAGAGAAAGAGTTTTGAATCTCATATTGTGTCAGTTCAGACTCTCTACTGTTACTAGTATTATTATTATAATTGTTGCTATTATTTGCAGTTTTCTTTCTCGATCCCGGCACTCCTCGATTTATGTAATCGAGATTTATCTCATAGGGCGATTCCAGTGGGGTCCATATGCCTGTTTGCTTTGCCTTTTGCTCATAGTAGTCACAGTAGTACTTGATATGATTTCTTCCCATCAAATGGGACTTTCTGACACTCATGGTGTCATGTGTGAGGTAAGACTTACAGTAGTCACAGTAGTACTTCGGCATATCTACTAACAGAAGAGGTAAACTTTGACTTGATCAGAAGCAAAATGATACCAGTGAGAACTACTACACCTTGTATCAAGCGTGTAAGAGATGCACTTCGAGCTTTCCATATCTGCGACATCTTGGTCCTGCATGTAAGAGCACGCATATACTAAGGAACACATTTGAAACAAAGTAGAAACAGGTAAGGGGAAGATGACTCCCGGAGGTAAACGGGGTCACTCAGACTATGTATATTTAAGAGATCCGTCCAGCCCACCTGAGTTCAGCAAAATGCTGGTGGGATTCTTCTCTCCTGCTGTATTGTAGCTGCCACCACTAATGGCTCAGATCTCTTCGTCTTCTTACTGATCACGCTCTCTATAGTCACGTGGTCAAAGTCCTGGCCAATCAAATTTCTCATACGCACTCCATATTTGTGTAATTTCCGATTTCCTCAATACTCCAAATCTCAAAACTGGTGAAAAAAAAATTAAAGAAAAGTAGCGTTGGTGTAAATAAGACCCATACTTGAAGCACACATTAATTACCAATTAAAGATGTTCAGACAATCAGCTGTAAGTGTAAATTAGTCTTTGCTCGTTTAAGAGGCAATTGAATCGATAAAAAGAAGCATTGTCTCAAAATTGGCGGAGAAGCAGTATCTTTCTCAAAATGAGCTAGCAGTTGCGCTTTTACAGACATGAAGTGAGATACCTAGCAGTAAGATATTCCTCAATTTTTTCATCATTTTACTAACAATTTTAGCGTTTATTATCTTCCAAGAGACTCTTCTCTGTCACCCCACAAAGATCCAACTTGATCTCGGAATTATATGTTTCTCAAATCAAGGCATTCAAGCCAGTTGCCTTCACTGCTAAGGACGCTGAAGAATCCACCAAGGCCTTCCAGTTGCCATCTAAGCCATCAGTTCCAGAATCTGAAATTTCTGCTGATGCTTTAGCCCAATATGAAGCTTCTAACGTTGAAACCGAAACTGTAGGTTCCTCTGGTTCAGCTGCTGCTGAAGAAGACTGGTTTGTTTTCGAAGAAGCTGAAGAAGCTGCTCACTAGAGTGATCAATATCAAAAAAACAATTAAAGCAAGACCACCCACCGTACACCCAGCATAGTCGATTTCCATTCTTATTATGGATAGACTTCACGTATTAACTCAGATTAGTGGGTAAATCACAGTAAAACATATATTAAAAATCAAAAACTAAAAGAAAATCACAGAAAAGGAATTATATAAGTTTCTTAGTTTAGAGAAGAAATTTCAATATAGATTATTTGGAAAGAACGGGGATCTTAGTGACTGTAATATCAAAAGTAGTAAATGTAGGAGAAAAATGCCTTGAGTGGTGATAAGAAACCAAAAGGTATGGCTAAGTATCTACAGCTAATCCAAATTTAAAATTAGACTTTAAAATTATACAGTACTATAGCTTATAGTGGTACAGTATACATTATATGCTTTTCGAGTTTTTGCGCACACCAACATTAAAACCGAGTCTAAATATGGAGCCAATTGGGTAAAATCAGCATGAACTAAGAGGTAATCTTCTTCAAGAAGTTCAGATGGGTGGCCTAGCTCCACCTTGGTAAGAATGCAGACATATTCGTCAAAAGTGGAAGAAATCGTGGTATGTTCTTAGATAAGTAGAACCTTCTTTTGTGCTGCAATTCGAATATGCTTTTTATTCAGTGCTCTTTTGGATAAAGTTAAACTTCGGGATGCATATATCTTATGTAGTTAATATATTCTGGGCAAAAGTTGAATAACCGTGCCTGGAAGGATTCCAGGTAGATCGAAATGTAGATTTAGGCCCCTTTTCATCAGATATAAATGACCATGTGGTTGGAAAGGTGGAGATCTTATGTAATTGAAGTGCTATAAATACAGCATTGTGCCACACGAATGTATTATTGTATTAGAATCTTATTTCATTTAAGTATTAGTTCTAACCAAGTCATCTAGGCTAACTCTAATACATACTCATTCCTATAGTCCCAACTAATGACTGCAAATTTTGACGTTATTGTTGTTGGTGGTGGTGTAGCTGGTCTCTCAGCTTGTTTAATGCTTTCAAGGTGTGCGCTAAAGGTTCTTTGCATCGACTCTGGCAAGCCTTGTAACAGTTCTGTTAACCATACCCACACCTTTTTGACTCAAGAAGGTTCCTCAGCTCTGGCAATCCGAGATATTAGTAGGAACCAGATTGAACAGTATAAGAAGGTTGAGTTCTATTCTGGTACTGTTGATGACATTGAAAAGTTGAGCCCTAATCAGTTCAAACTACGTGTGAATGGTAATAACTATTTCATCACATCACAAATAGTAATTGCTAGTGGTGTAACAGATTTATTGGAGGAAAGCAAAATTGCAAATTTAGATAAATTTTGGGGACATTCTGTATCTTCTTTTGCATTCAGTGATGGGTATGACTATAAAGATAAAAGGGCTGCTCTCATAAATAGCCTACCTGGGTGTGTGTCTGAGATAGCTCCATTAACTTCTTACTTTTCCAAAGAATTGACCGTGATGACGAATGGTGGATTTGACAAGAATGAATCGGACTTGAGTATAACAAATGAATGTGAGAAGAATGGCGTTGATGTTATTCATAAAGAAATCAAGTCCTTGAATGGTCAAGGACGTAAGCTCAAAGAAGTTGAATTTACTGATGGCTCTAAGTTTGAACTCGATGTCATATATTATTACCCACCCTTTAAGGTCAATGGGGAAGAATATCTAAAAAAATTAGGCGTTGAATTCTGCCCTGAATTGAATTTAATTAAAACCGATCTGATGCAAAAGACAAACGTACCAGGAATCTGTGCAGCTGGGGATGCATGTACGATCATTAGATCAATACCTGGATCTGTTGCACAGGGTAGTTTTGCAGGTGCTGTTAGCGCTAAGACACTTTTCGTCGAAATGTGGAATAAATGATAGTCTGTCAGGTAACCTCTATGCCAAATTTGATTGTTAAGGTCTCAATATATGAATAATAAAGCATGATTGCAGTGTTTAATATCACTTTGGAGAGTCCTCTATCCACTATTTATTCTTTGTGGTATACTTCTTCTTAACAGCATTAAATCCATCTTTCATTTTGAAAGCCTGAACCAACATCGCTTCCAAGAAACTTCTGGGGAAGACTGAGCTGATGAACCAAGCCATGGATGCCATGGATCCTCTGAAAGTTCTATAGTAATTGGCGCTTCCACTGCTATTAAGGGCACTCTCGATATCATTCACTGCTTTCTTAGCATAAACATTCACCTCCATGAATCTTGAAGTATCAAAGTTCTTCCTGCTTTCTTTCAAGAGATCCCTACCATCGATTCTATACAAAGAGTCCAGAATTAGCTCAAGCTTTTCAACTTCTCCGATTTCAGTTTTAATCCCGCCGCTTACGAAATCCAACACTTTGACTCCAAGTGGTTTAACTTCAAAAGCCAATGTACTGATGTAGGCTGATAACGCTGCCTTCGAGGAGGAGTAAATACTCCCGAAGGGGAAAGGCGTGAGCCCTGCAGTGGAAGACGTATAAGCAAGAATTCCCTTAGCTTTAATTACGAGTTTACTGAACTCTCTTGTAACCCGAATTGGACCATAGAGGTTGACTTCGTAGCACTTCATGAATTGTTCATCTTGCACTTCAATTGCTGGTGCTCCACATGGAACACCTGCATTGTTAAATAAGATATCCAAGTGATCGTTTTCCAGCTCAATTAATTCACGAGCTGCAACAATACTTTCGATCGAAGAAACATCAAGGGAAATCGGAATGACCCCATATTCTTCCAATGGCTTCATAGCATCAATACGACGTGCGCCTGCGTACACCTTGTAGCCTCTCTTAGCGAGCTCCACACTCACAGCAAATCCAACACCAGAAGACGCTCCGGTGACGAAAGCCACTTTTCCGTTAGATTTAACCATCTTTGCAATTCTTTTTTATACTTATATTTGACTTCTTTCTTCAACAGATGTTAAACAACCAGACTGTTTGACTTATTTCTTTGAAACCAATCTCGACAACACTTTGACCAATTTCAAGTGAAGTGGAATTTTTCTTAATTGCTAAAGTGAATTTTAAGTCCGGTGAAAATTTATTATCTCCGGGATTGCCCCAGGCTTTCAGTCGGATAGATAAAAAGCAGTTTTTATAGATCTACGATTGATTGAAACGGAACTGGTGCACAACGAAATACAGGCCCGTCTGATTAGTGGCTTGTTTTAAATATGTGTATTGATAAAGCTTGTCGCTTGCATAAAAAAGTTCGTATTTACGCCATATATTCAATGCTCAGTAAGTGCATTATATAACACGCTTTCTATTTACTCTTTGAGCTGTGCTTCTTCTTGATTGCATTGAACCCATCTTTCAATCCGAAAGCGAGCAACAAGACTGTTTCTAAGAACCATCTAGATAAGAATGAGGTAACAAACCAAGAAATGGAAGACGCCGAACCTCTAAACAGCCTAAAGTAAGTAGCATTGCTAAAGAAACCAACACCATTGAGAGCAGCTTCCAAATCATTAGCCGCTTTAACTGCATAAACATTCACGTCCATTAGCTGATTGGGTTCGAATTTATCTCCAATCTCTCTCATAAGGTCCCTACCGTCAATTCTATACAACGAGTCTGAGTTAAGTACAGGATGTTCAACCTGCGTTATCCCAGTTTTAACCCCACCACTTACAAAATCTAACACCTGAACTCCAAAAGGTTTCACCTCGAAAGCCAAAGTACTGGCGTAGGCAGACAATGCAGCCTTTGAAGAGGAATATATACTTGCGAACGGAACAGGCATCATTCCTGCATTGGAAGTTGTATACGCAAACAAACCCTTACCTTTAATAATAAGTTTACTGAACTCTCTGGTGACCCTAATTGGCCCGTAAAGATTAACTTCGTAGCACCTTATAAAGTCTTCATCAGAAACCTCAATGGCGGGTGCAACTCGAAAGTTGCCGGCATTGTTAAGTAAGATATCTAAATGGTCATTTTCCAATTCAATCAATTCACGAGCCGCAGAAATGCTTTCCGCGGAGGTAACATCAAGGTTAACTGGGATGATGCCAAACTTCTTCAATGGCTTCATATCATCAACACGACGAGCACCTGCGTACACTTTATAGCCTCTCTTTGCTAATTCTACACTTACAGCAAATCCAATACCTGAGGATGCTCCGGTAACGAAAGCTACTTTTCCATTTGATTGGGCCATCTTTGTTCTTGCTGATTTTTCAAGTTTTGTAGCTGGAAGTATTTGTTAGCTGTTTTTAATGGACTATACCTTTCAATTCCAAGATGCCAAAGGACATCTTTCAACTTTATAGCATTTTGGCTTCAAGTGACCATTTTCAGACCAATTCTCTGGCCAATTCTCTGGCCAATGTGGTACTTATCCCAGCCTTGAATGGATAATTCTGGAAAAGTCTAAATCCGGTGAAAAATATTTATGCCCGGAGATTACTTAAGGTGCATTAAATGCACGGCTGACGCAGGTGCATCAAAAGCCATCTCTGCATGAAACAGCTGTACTTCAAGGAACGGGAATACCACGAGAAGGTGCGGCCCTACGTATATGCTGTAGGAACCTTTCAAATAAAATTACACCTTTGCACTTCAGTGGCTGGTGCTCCACAAGGAACACCTGTATTGTTAAATAAAATCCAAGTAACATTAAGAGGAATCGGAATAATTCCAAGTGCCTTCAATGGCTTCATGGGATTGAAAGAGTTAATTTCAAGTCCGGTGAAATTTATTATCTCCGGAATAACCCCAGGTTCTCTTTTAGCCATTCAGGAAATCATGCTCATATAGATACATGGTCAATTGAAACTGACTTGATACGAAAGCGAAATATATGCCAAGTTCCAGTAGTGGTTCGCTCTACAATTGTAACGAAAATTGTCACTGTGAAAGATTTTAAAATCAAGTCATATATATTATATTTAGTAGGTGGGTTATAGATTTGTTTTCTATTTACTCTTTGCGCTATACTTCTTCTTGATTAGCTTAAACCCATCGCTCAATTTGAGAGCAAGCAATAAGAGTGTCTCCAAGACTCCTCTAGGGATGAATGATGTGGCGAACCTCGAAAAGGATGCCATTGTCCCTCTAAACAGCCTAAAGTAATTGGCACTGCTAAAGAAACTAGCGCTATTAAGGGCACTTTCAATATCGTTGGCTGCCTTAACAGCATAAACGGCTACATCCATATATTGATTAGGGTCAAAATTATCTCCAACCTCCTTCAAAAGGTCCCTACCGTCAATTCTATACAAAGAGTCTGCGTTAAGTACAGGATGTTCAACCTGCATTATCTCAGTCTTAACCCCACCACTTACAAAATCTAACACCTTAACTCCAAAAGGCTTCACTTCGAAAGCCAAAGTACTGGCATATGCAGACAATGCAGCCTTTGAAGAGGAATATATACTAGTAAATGGAATAGGCATAATTCCTGCATTAGAAGTTGTATACGCAAACAAACCCTTACCTTTAATAATAAGTTTACTGAACTCTCTGGTGACCCTAATTGGCCCGTAAAGATTCACTTCGTAGCACTTCGTAAAATCTTCATCAGAAACCTCAATGGCGGGTGCACCTCCAATGACACCGGCATTGTTAAGTAAGATATCTAAATGGTCATTTTCCAGCTCAATTAATTCACGAGCCGCAGATATACTTTCCGCGGAGGTAACATCAAGGCTAACTGGGATGATGCCAAACTTCTCCAATGGCTTCATAACATCAACACGACGAGCACCTGCGTACACTTTGTAGCCTCTCTTTGCTAATTCTACACTTACAGCAAATCCAATACCTGAGGATGCTCCGGTAACGAAAGCTACTTTTCCATTTGATTTGGCCATATTTATTTTGGTGGTTTTTAAAGGTTTTTAGTTTATTATCTAAATATACAGCTCAATTCCAAATGATCGAAGAACATCTTTCGACTTTATAGCATGCTGTACTCAAGTAACTACTTTTTTAGGTCAATGTGGTACACCTCTTATCGTTAATGTTTCTTTAGAATGGATAATTCTAGAAGGATTTAAGTCCGGTGAAGATACTTATACCCGGGCATGTTTGGGAGGTACATTGTAAGCCGTATGCATAAACTAAGCAAAGTGCATTAAATACCATTTTAGTACAGGCTTAGGCTGGCATAACTCTAGGAGCGGTAATAGCAGGAGAAGGTGCAGCTCTAAGTGTATGATATAGGAGAATTAAAGGTAGTAATACTGGTGGAATTTTGCATTATTTTCTATACATTCTAAGCGCCATATTTCTTCTTAATTGCATTGAACCCATCTTTCAATTTAAACCCTTTAATCAACATACTTTCCAAGACACTTCTAGGTAAGTATGAGGTAATAAACCATGATATGGATGCCATTGTCCCTCTATACAGTTTAAAGTAATTAGCACTGCTAAAGAAACCACCACTGTTAAGAGCACTTTCAATATCGTTAACTGCCTTAACGGCATACACGTTCACATCCATGAATTTGTTGTTTTCAAAATCTCCTCTACTGTGTTTTATGAGATCTACACCATCAACTCGGTAATAAGAGTCTGGGGCAAGGTCGATTTTTTCAGAGTTCATTATTTCAGTTTTGATCGCTCCACTTACAAAATCCAAAACCTTGACTCCAAATGGTTTGACTTCAAAAGCCAATGTACTTAGGTAGGCGGATAACCCAGCCTTTGAAGATGAGTAAATACTTCCGAAAGGAATAGGGAAAATTCCTGCTGTAGAAGTCGTATAAGCAAGAATTCCCTTAGCTTTAATAACTAGTTTACTGAACTCTCTTGTAACCCGAATTGGGCCATAAAGATTGACTTCAAAGCACCTCAAGAAGAGTTCATCTTGCACCTCAATGGCTGGTGCTGCACAAGGAATACCTGCATTGTTAAATAAGATATCCAAGTGATCGTTTTCCAGCTCAATCAATTCACGAGCCGCGACAATACTCTCGGTTGAAGTAACATCAAGAGAAATCGGAATAATTCCAAGTTCCTCTAATGGCTTCATGGCATCTACACGACGAGCTCCTGCGTAAACCTTATAACCTCTCTTGGCTAATTCTTTACTCGCGGCATATCCAATTCCTGATGATGCACCAGTAACGAAAGCAACTTTTCTTTTCGATTCGACCATGTTATTAAGTAATGATAACTGTTGCTCCTAATAATATAAAGTCTAATTCTCAAAACCAAGTAAGGAATATTTTTCAGCTTTATAGCCGTGTTGAACTGGCTATCTCCTCTATCGACAATGTGGTACATATGCGATGCTTAATGTGCCAACTAGAAAGGATTGTTCTGGAATATCGTTGCACGAATTATATCCGGATTAGATGGGGCTAATCTTTTATATCCGGTGAGCCATTCGTATAGTCTTTTATAGATCTATTAAAAAAGCTACAATAGAGAAAAAAGGTAAAAATTGTTCTTGGTGGCATTCAAGTAAGCAAAAACAGTAAATCTAATTATAATCGGATACCGTTTGAAAGAAATAAGAGTTTAGGTTTGCTCAGTTGTGATATACATTCCTTAAGTCAAATGTTAACTCCACAGGTTAAAAATCGCAATAGAATTTTTCTTTTTTCCAAGATACATAGCGCATAGGGCTGCAATGTTATTTGATAGCAAAAGCACGCAAGTCGAGTAGTATTAAATCAAGATAACAATAGGGGTACCATTAGTAGCTGTTACTAAACTTTGCATTTGCTTAATCCTGGCTTAGAACAATGTATCGGAAGTGTGTGAGAGAACCCGTAAATTACTAATAGTGACGAATTGCTAGTGCCTGCTTACATAGATAATATGCGGGTTAAGGAAATAAGGAACTCTGAAAGGTAAGTTACGGTGTTTGACAGTTCTCGCAAATATGTCGAACACGGATTTTACTTGTCAGGGGTAAACATCGATATATCCTTAAAAACATACAAAGTGGGATGTCTTGAAACCTCAATTGGAAAATAGAGAAGAGTAGAAGCGACTCAAAATATTTCATTTCCGTTTCTGGAACTCAATTTTCGAGGTTTCGAAATCAAACCTTAAAATTAAAATATGGCTCGAAGTAAGAATAGCCTTTAACCATTTTTTTCAACTATAACATGAAGCGGATAGTCAATCTAGGACTTACATCTGCCAAGAGAGTTAGCTTATTAGCAATCAGGGTGTGTTACTATCGATCCAAGAACTCGGACTTGTAGACGATGTTAATAGCGATAGAAGTAGTTGGCATGTAATGATCAACTATGGAAATTGCACCCACCAATTATTACGTTGAATATCATGCTTCAAAGTGCTGATCAATTCCCTTTTCTACATATTACCATTCGCTTGATGAATTCATATGATTCCGTCGATGCCTTACTATTGTTATGAATTGTTTTCTTTTTTATTTTTTGTTAGTATAAAAAAATAACGTGTAGGGTACCTGAATACAGTAAAAATGCTTAAATTAGAACAAACAGCTTAATCACATATGAAAAAGAAGATGGGTGAGGTGATTTCCTCTTTCATGCTTTTTTTTTACCCATATAGTGCCGTCCAAAGAGGTAGCGCTTACAATCAGGCATTGGAATTTACTTTAAAAATGTATGATTATTTATATGCTAAGATAACTAAGCTTGATGTATCTTTGACAAGCAAAACATCCAAGTGGAACTGACGCTAATTACGAAAATTACTGGGCCAATTTACGGGTTGTGTATGCATTTTCCTGTCTTGTGCAGCTTTGTGATATATCAGCCCCACCTTTTTTTGTTCGATGATGCGAAATTTTTCTTCCGCATTAGGAATTCCTTCTTCTAGTAAGTAGTATAAAGATGTTAAATTCCGATATAGTGAACTCCACTTCTACCCAGTAGAATCATTCACATGCGACGTTTTACTTCTAAATAAAATATATGTTAGGTTGTCTGTGAATTTCGAAGTGGAATGTGCAGGGAATATGCTACGAAAGTGTAGTTTCTTTCTCCTTTGAGAAATAAATCACTTCATGTTTTTGCAACCATAAAATGACTATATAATCAATATGAATTCTTCGAGAACAAACTTTTTTCTTAATTAAAAAGCAAGCTAAGAAAAATAATGAAGTTCCAAAGCTTGTTTCTAGGACTATTATTTGCTACTTTTGTTAGCTCAGCTCCAATCTTGTTGCCTCGTTCCGCCACTCTTGCAGTTCCTACCGATGATCCATTTTACCAGGCACCAAGTGGATATGAGGATGAAGCAGTAGGTACAGTGTTAAGAACCAGAAAGCTTCAAGACGCTTTTGGACTCATTACCTTTGAACTTCATGTTAGCGAAGTTCACCAAGTTTTAGTAGTGTCTGAAGATACTTTCAAAAATAAAATTGTCATAATGAGTACAGTTTTCGTTCCTTTCAATGCTGATCCAAGTAAGCTCGTATCTTATCATATGGCAGAAGATACAGCCTCGCCAAACTGTGCACCTTCATATGCTATGCAACTTGAATCTTCGGCAGCAAGTTGGATCACTCCTCAAGTTGAATTGCTTTTAGTTAACAGTGCATTGAAAGAAGGTTACTATGTGGTGGTTCCAGATCATGAAGGACCAAAAGCTACTTTCGTTGCAGGTTATCTGGCTGGATATGCTGTATTAAATACTGTAAGAGGTGTATTAAGTACTGGAAATGATACTGGTATTGACCCAGATGCTGAAGTCGCTTTCTGGGGATATTCAGGTGGAGGATTTACCACTGCTTGGGCATCATCATTGCATCCAACTTATGCGCCTGAAATAAATCTTGTCGGTGCTTCAATGGGTGGTGTTCCAGTTGATCTTCACCATGTTGCTAATTACACCATGGGTACGTTATTTGCTGGTTTCATTATTTCAGCAATTCTTGGGCTTAGTCATGAATATCCTGATTTGGACAATCTCCTCACTGAATATACAAAATCTGAAAGTATATTGGCCCATTTAAAGGACGCAGAAAACGATTGTCTCCTTGAAATTTTGAGTTATTATGCTTTCGCTACTTGGGATAATTACTTTACTGATGGTGAAGCCGTCTTAGACCTTCCTCTCGTTGTAAATCTTACAGCAGAGAATAGTATCATGAACAATGGAGGGATTCCTACTGTACCTATTTTTGCTTACCATAGTCAAATGGATGAGATTATCCCAGTTGATGATATGGATGACTTGTACGATTATTATTGTGGTAAGGGGGTAGTCATTGACTACCACAGGGGTTTATACTCGGGACATATCATTACTGCTGTTACTGGTGCGGGTCTCGCATTAAACTTTATTAAGGATAGATTTAATAAGGTACCTGTGAGTGATAAGTGTTCAAAAACTACTACTGCTTTTGAAGCATTTGATCCAGATGCACTTCCTGGATTAAAGGACATTCTTATTGCTGATGTGGACTTCTTCCTTGGGGACGATATGGGTCCTGACTCGCCAAGTACTGGAAACACTACTACAACTACAGCTTCAGGAACAACTGGCATTGTTAATTCTGTTCTTAATGGTATTCTGAGTTTGGTTTCTAACTTAATCAATCCTGAAAATCCTGAAAGTGTAACTCCTCAATACATCTACGATCATCTTGGTGAAACTCTCTCATCTGCATGGGGTGCAGTCACTGCTGCTACTAGTTTTGTATCGGGAATCTTTGGAGGTCTGGATTCTTCTAATAGTACACTGGGTGGATTAGTATCAAGTCTATTATCTGAGGGAGCATCGTTGGCATCAGGTTTACTTGGACTGGATTCCTCTTCTAATAGTACACTGGGTGGATTAGTGTCAAGTTTATTATCTGAGGGAGAATCGTTAGCATCAGATTTACTTGGACTGGATTCCTCTACCAATAATACGTCACTGAGTGGTGGTTTACTCTCAACACTTGGAGGCTTAGCATCAAGCTTATTTGATCTGGGATCATCTTCAAATTCATCATCTTCTGTTGTTTCATCACTTTTATCTGCAGTATCATCAATTCTTTAAGGAAAAGAATTTGACAGCAGCTCGTTTGTAAGTACTGGTCCTTCCTAAGCGAGTTTTCTAATTTTACAGCAAACACGTTGTGGGCTATTCGAGAACAGCCTAATACCTGAAAAGTGATACATTTTACGTAATTTATTTAGAACTAAAAGTATTTTTCAAATGTATAATATATTTTATTGACTATTTACTAGCTGTACTCACTCTAACTGGCATGAAAAAACCCACCCGACCCACTCCGTCTTTTAGCTAGAAAGTTAACTAACAAACATGCGCGATATATACTGTAAATGTTATTTTGTGGTAGGAAAAATAAAAAGCACCTATAAAGTTATGTGTTATTAATTTCTTTTCTCTCTCGGTTACAAGAGACTTCATTGTGATAAGTACCAATGATGTCTTGAGAAATTGTGTCTCCTGCAAGAAAAGGAGGGGCTGCAAAAACTTCCTAAAAAGGATATCATATTATGTGAGATTCGGACTTAATTTTTTCAAAATTACGCATGTCGAATAAAAAAGGCTAGACAAACGCTCAAAATACTTGTAGTCCAAAGTTTCCGTAATCTGATTGTGCCCTAAGTTATTCAGCGCTTTCCATTGGGATTCACTTAGGCTATGGGTTTTTGCTTTCGATCTGGTCTTGTAAGCTTTTACGTATATAACTTCTAGATGTTAATGCATTTTTTTATATGAAGGACTGACTAAAATTAAGGGTATTTACTACACTCTATATATCTAAAGTTCTTCCTCGACTCCTGAATTGTTTAATCTCTTGGTGGCTCGTTCAACTATAAAATATAGTATAACTGTTCCAATTAAACAAAAGCCTGCCATCAATGTGTAACACCCACCTTCACCCATTGCATCTACCATACTTTGCAAAGCACCAACTCCAGCAGCTCCTAGTGAACATCTCATTAGGTTAACACAACTTGTACCTGCTGAACTTTGGTTAGGGAACAAGTCCACTAACAAGGTAACCAAAGCAGCCATGACGCAAATCACGCAAAAGGAAAAGGTGAATGCGGAAATGAGTGCTGGGGCAATGTTTACTTTATATTCAAGGCACCAGCCAAATATCATATATGTGGCACAAGAGATCAATGAGGGTATTAAGCAAATATGTAATCTTGTCTTGTAAATATTGAAGGGCTTAACTTCTTCCTTAGGTAAATTTTTGATTTCTTCATCGTATTTATCCTTGCTCTTCTTGTACACATAATTTAAAAGCCTTCCACTAGCAATTGCTCCGGTAAGTGATCCAAAACCAGGTGCAAGATAGCATAATCCTACTTGAATAATTGAGTAGCCATATTTGTCAGGAAGAGTACTTGAAAACGTAGTCAATGCCATGGTCCAAGTAGCGAATAGTAACCCACTAGGCAACAAAATGAAGAATACCTCAACTTGGAAAAAAATCTTAAGAGGCGAAAGCACATTTGAAAGCCTTATATTACTCTCAGCCAAAGTAGAGGTTTCATTGGCTAAGCGCTTGGAGATGAATGGAAAATGTACAATTGGCAGATCGTTGATGATTCGCTTTGGTGGAATTGAGAAGTTTCCGACAATCAGTCTATTGGTTTCAGGTAAAAGTATTGCTGCCATGATTAAGACAACGCCACTACCAATTGCCAAAAACTCAAAGATTCCTCTCCAGCCAAACCTATCAACGAGGGCAGCACCCAAAATGGCTCCGAAACCTTGTCCAACTAACTGAATTCCAGTAACGATACCCACGAACTTACCTCTTTCAGATCTGGGACACATATCACCAACTATTCCTGAAGACACCGAGATTATAGGTGCTATAGCAGCAGCTTGGAGCATTCTTAGTACAACCAATAACCAGTACACATTGGTTTGAGACAACCCAACACAAACTGCGCAGTAGCAAAGAAGACATCCAACCATCATTGGTCTCCTGCCAAAAGCATCGGCCAAGGGAGACAATACTGTTGGTGATAAACCTTGAAATAATAAGTATGCTACAACAGAGACATTGGTAACGGCTGTGGAAACTACGAACTTCTCTGACAAAATGGATAATGCGGGAAAATAGATGGATGTCGATAATGTGGACCAGATACCACACAAAGCTATAAATAAACTAATACAGTATTTTTCTCTGTTCGTAAATATACTGTATGGATGTTTTTCATGTGTCTCAGGTTTATTCTCTTCTATTTTGTTTGTAGGCTGCGCATCCGTTACTGTGAGAGTGTTGGTGTTGGAAGATAATGCAGAATCTTGTGAGTTGTTATCCATTTTTGATTGAATTTGATAATTGGCGGTTTAAAGTGGAATACATTATTGCGATATAAGTAAGAAGAATGGCTAAGCTTCCTTATATATATACATTCTGTATCAATTGAATATGTCACACCTCTTCGTTTGATATAGGATAATGGAATTAACTATCTCGGAGGTAAGTCCGAATTTCTTTTTTCGGTGATATTTTTTTTTCAGCCGGAGTTATACATTAAAGGATACCTGCTCATTTAGCCTATTTAACTGACCGTTTTATGAAGATAACGAGTGCAATTAGTAATTTAATCGGCTACATTATGGCCCATATGGAGTCTATTATGTTAATAGCTGGAATAAATTTTAAAGTGCCTATTAAAATTGTAGTCAGCCTTCTCCTTGTACAGCGAGTAATTCAGCCCTTTGAGTGCCATAAGACCGTAGTGAAGGCTAATTGAAACTTGCAGCCTATTTTTACGAATGAGCTAATCAAAGAACAAATAGGATTCTCTATTCCCAGTTTGTTAGAGCTATGAAAGATTCCAGAAATAATTTTTCAAAACAAAAGGTAGTTTACTCTTCCCAAATAATATTTTTGTGATGAAAATGGAAGTTTCTTGAAAGTATTTAAGACATAAAATTAAACATGGCAATAATAGAGAGCAAATGCATTGACTATACCTACTTCAAATATAAGTAATTCTACTCATTTCATAAGCAAGAAACAATAGCTATTCTTTGTTCACTTGAGAGAAATAGGAAAGACTGGAGAAAAGATCGGGTGTCAGAATGTGACATTTGGGTGTCAGGATGTTCACGTAATAATTGCTGCAACCATTTTAATCACTGAATTTAATACAAGAAGACAGATTGTAATATCATATCACTTCTTGATTGACAGCCGCAAGTGAGCATATTAAATTTTTTGACCCTTGAATAAGGGGAAATGCTAATAAATGATGTGCTTCCTTTGCAGTTTTAAGTCAATATAAGTAGAGATTATAGAGGAGTGAGAGAAATTACAGGTTTCATCATTCACTACAATGACAGATATTAGCACTTGCTATCACTTTCAATTCTCACACTCTTCATAAAGAGTTGTTAGCGAAGTTAAGATATACAGCAACCTAGATAGGCTAAATATACACTAGAGGGATCGGCGACGGTGTATGGTTTCAAATAGAACGTTTTGCAATTTCCTTTACTAAGATATTCGCATTTTTCAAGTGATTCTAATACGGCACAAATAGGCTTAAAGACTGGGGGCTCCGCAGCCACTAGGAACCATCATTCTAACTTTTTGGGTTTCTTTCCAAAGCTTAGCAATAAATAAGTATGTTACTTTGAGTGTGAATACTTAATACTTGAGCTAATTCTAAGTGTTTTTGCTTCAAGAGTCTAGCACCGCTCCTGAAATATCGTGTAATAAGCATCCGACATAGTGGAAGTTCCAAAAAAAAATCTTTCAGTTAAATTCCGTTCCTAAAAGCTTGATAGTTAGTAGCTAGTTAAGGATGATGATAATCTTGTATTAGTCTTCTGCTTCCTTTCTCAGTCTTACTAGTTCTTTCTAACACTCTTATTCTCAAGTCGATCAGAAAATAGTCTTCAATCTTCAAGTAAAAAGCTACTGTCCTTCTCTCGAAATGATATTGAAACTCGTCCTAAGTTTCTACATACAGGGAACTGAAACTCTATATTCTGGGAAAGCAGTACCGATATCTTGGCAACGTTCGTTTATGTACAAATAAAGAGCAATAATGCACTTTATTGTTCAGTTTACTGGGCAGCTAAGATTGACAGCTATTTTGTGCCCAATACTAAGAAATGCTTCAAGCTCAGAATTAAATGAACACCAAAAGAAAGAGGGGCAGAAGTGATCAACAAAAATGATTTCTTACTTGGAAAGTGGAATAATTGCCGGAATACCGCCTGCTAGCCGGCTATGCATTCGAGTGTTTTTATTTTTTTCCCAAAAAGCCTTATTCTCCTTTTGGCTCTAAATTACTGGCATTCTCAATGGCCTTTTTTCAACAAAGCCGAGCAGCCCCAGCTATGATTGGGGGAACGCCTCTTCCACACAAAAAGAGAGCAACACAGATGATGTATGGGGTTAAAGACTTTCAGTAACCAATTATCTTAATCTCGAGAGTGAAGTCTTGTGGTATTGCTCCTCTCACGATGAACCGGAAGAAAAGCAATCAAAATATTGACAGTTATTGCATTCGCGAACATTATATGCCAGGATATATTTTATACCATGAAACCAATCAAGAGATTATTTTGAAGACTTAGGAAAACCGGGAATCCAAAAGTATGAACTTGCAGTGTTTTGCAGGTCCAGACTAGGTCCAGGATACCTGTTTAGTAGCCATCAGATCCAATTTAAAAGCCCTAAGTGCGAATAGCGGGAACAGGACGGTCTCTTCCAGCAAATCGGATTAATATGTTTAGGGCTTTAAAAGCCAAGAAAAATGTACGCTGCAGTCGTACCATCAAGTAGATGGTAGAAAATAAAAAGTTCGTGTGCAATAAAAAGGTCACTAAAGAGGTACGCACTAGCAATTAGGTGCTCTGATCTCCGTAGATAATAACCAATGACTTATTTCGGCCAATTTTACGATGAAATATGAGCCGCATTGAAAATTTTTTCATACTAAATACCGGGGACGCATGAAGATTTATTTTGCCAAGGCGGTTAAATGTAGCAGGTTCCTATATAGAGCATGTATACTCAAAAGTGTATTATATGGTCCTACGTGGGTGATTAATGACTAGTACGAGTACCAGTTTCATCTATATATAAATGCTCAAAGTTGCTTCCTTGAATTTTTGATTAAATTGTTTAGTATCAATCAAAAAAAAAACCCATCTCTCGCTTAGTCAACAATGCAATTCTCTACTGCCCTTCTTATCTCTGTCTCTGCTGCTTTAGTCGCTGCTGATTCCGGTCTTACTGACTGTTACTACGACTCCTACGCTGTCCAACATTGTGTTGACGCTAGCGGTGTCACTGGTGTTATCATCCCATCTCCCCAAACAGATGCTGGTGTCTCATCTTACAGTGTTTGTTACTACAAGAGTGCTGCTGACAAGACCATCTGTATAGATGACGATGGTGACAAAATTGTTTTCTACCCAGGTACCGATATGGAAGAATCTGCTAAGACCATCAGTACCAACACTTATGAAGAAGCTTACAACACTGCTTCTTCTGCTACCACTACTTCAAGTGCTGCTGAAGCAACTTCTTCGTCTGGTGCTGCCGTTGCTTCCTCTACTGCTTCAGCTGCTGTTTCATCTAGTGCTGTCTCAGCTGCCGCTTCATCTGGTACTGCTTCAAGCTCTGCTGCTGCTGCTTCAAGCTCTGCTTCCGTTGTTGAAGCTAACGGTGCTGCCAAGGCCATTACCCCAATCCTTTCCGTTTTAGGTGCCCTTGTCGCATTCTGCATCTAAATGTAGAATTAAATGGTTTTCTGGTTCGAATTTGAAATTCGATTACCTTTCTTTTAATAAAATTTATAGTTAGAATATTTTATTTTCTTCATCCAGTTAGCCATATGTTTTAAAACGATAGATTTTCTTAGAAAAAATAAAATATCAGTTATAAATTTACCGAATATATTTTTGTAGAGGTTGTGTATTTCAACGATGAAAGTAATATAGGGATGCTTTTGTAGTCAATGGGAATCAATGGGTCTCGGAGTAAAGCTAAATATATAATTCATTCACTTCAAGTCGGAATTAGTACAAATACTCTTTTGTTTTGAGTGAAACACGATAGAAAAGACTATCTTTGTTGGGATATATATATATCAGTATTGGTTTTAGTCCACCTTCAAAGTACTTTATTCTGAGAATACTGATAAACAGCACCAAGAGCCTCCAGCCAGACTTTAATTAACATACTAATACACTAGAATATTCAAAATTTTATTCGCTTTTTTAAATTCATTTAAATATGCCTATTTAGTTAGTTTCTCAGCTTGCGAAATAGAAGAAGTTGAAATTTTAGCATCTTAATCTAGCCACCACCCAAGACTTCAAAAATTTTTTACAAATATAGACGTAAAGAGATCTATTATGCCCACACTTGTAACTGTTCAAAGTAGTCAATTCTCTTTCCAATATTAGCAGGGAGTGCATTGCAACATGCATAACGAATATCATCAACCATGATAGGATTGCAACACGAAACGAAACATATAGAACCTGGAGCCTCTGCGATCTCGTCATTTACAAGTGCATCAGTGTCTGGTTTTGTGAAGGAAAACTTCACATGAGGCAAGGACAGCTGAATTCTGTACACTATTGCGCTTTCAGTGACAAATGATTCACTATCACTTCCCTTTTTCTCGGTGCCACTTTCATCATCTTCCACTAATCCTTCAAACTCTTCGAGTCCATCAAGGTCATGTGGCCTGGTAATATGAATTGTAGCTTCTATGTTAGTGTTACGAAGTGCTTTCAATGGCTCATAGAACCACAGAAGAGTTTTGAGGTTTGGTATGACCCAATGAAGATGAATTCTTTGCTTTGATTCAGGGTCAGCCAATGCACCAGCTTCGTGGAAGATTCCAGGAATACCATTACCTCCAGCAATAAAAACAGCGGTATCATAACGAGAAGCTGGAGTTGTTTCTCCATAAGGACCTTCAATAGATACCCAAATGCTCTTGGACTTATTTGGGGCCTTAGAGAGAAGTTTGTAGAGCGAATGAGTCATACCACCTTTGACTTTCATGTACATCTCAATACTGCCTAAGGTATTCTGATTAAATGATTCAACATAAGTAAAAGGATGTGATTGCCAGCAGTAGGTTGGTCTGAAGAAGTAGATGAATCCATGACCACCTGGAATCATTGGCCAATAGAATGGCTTTTTGACAACAACTCTAATGGTTTCATTTGCCATAAGAGTTACCTCTGCCTTTCTTACTCCAAAGAGAGCTAACCTAATAATCCTTATACCTCTATCGAAGCACCACACGGCAGTAGCTGCATAGTAGAACCATTTATAGCCTAACGTATCAACATGAATCCAACCTCCAGCAATGGCAACACAACCTAAGCCAATGTGTACAAAAAGGAAGATTTCGTACCAGTTTCTTCTTAAATACATGAACCCTTGAATACACATCACTCCCATGGCAAGAGTACCGGCAATACCATATTGCATATAACGCTGCTGACGATAGTACGACCATTGTTCTAAGTAGTAAAGATAGTAGGTAAGGGAATGAACTGCAATTAGAATAAAAGCTATTCTAGAGACCCATCTGTGATATACCATAAATGAATTATAGTTTATACCAGTTACGCTAGAAAAGAAGTTGTTTCTGGCCAGGAACAAGATTAACAATGGCATGAGGGTTGTCCCTGTGATCCCTGATCTATCAGTAATGTACTTCAAGTAGGCCACTCTCTTTGAAGTTAAAGTAACATCTCCGACTGTGTAGTAGATATCATGAGAATTGCAGAAAAACACCAAAGCGATCCAAAAGAAGACTACTATTGACTCCTTTCTTGAAGGCATCATACCATATGGAATGCCAAACACAGTCATTGGCTGGTGTCTTTTTCTTTGCAATGTAGCCGGTAAAGTAACATATTTTCTCCAGTACATGGAAATTGGTCCTGTAAATTTCTTGACTAATCTTGGAAATAATTTCTTTGACCAAAAGGAAGTAGCTTCCAAAAAGAATATGACAACCCAAAAAGCTATCATACCACTACCGTAAAACAAACTGTTATCAAGATTTCTCATGTAATGGCCATAAGTCTTTCTATATAACATGGTTTGAGTTCCATTCAAAATGAAGGGAACGGTGGTTATTGCTGCAATAGAAAAGCCAGGGATTTCAGCTTTCGTTTTACCATAAGTCGTGTAATTGTAGTAAGCATCAGCCATATCATCATTGGAAAGATCGTAACCAGTAGCCTTACACTTTTTTTTAAGAGCATGAGACACATGGAACTTTGATCCTTTGCCATAGTGAATACAGCCTACCATAGTGGCCAAAGCATACTCATTGCCACAGAAACAGTCATAAGAGCTGGAAGTGCAAAATGTCACAGTACTGGAAATTTGTAAAGCACAGGAGAGCATATCATAATTATTAGCGACATATGGAGCATAGGCACCATGGGTATCTACATAATATGAAGAACTTCTTGGCGAAAGAGTCTTAGCGAGTGCAAGGTTTGCAAAGCTTAGCGCTAATGCAAAGTATTTGATTCCCGCAACCTTCATTATCTATCTTATAGAATGATGACTTGGAAAGACAATAAATTTGAAATTTGAAATAAGCCAGTTATAATGGGGTCGTAATTACTTAGTATTAATAGGTACAGTGAGAATGATTGCAAAAAATTTTAGGTGCACCTGGTTGGTTGCATGACATATGCCGAGAAATATGCAAAATCTTGATTCTGGCATTAAGCTATTTTATTTCCGGTTCCCTATCCGATATCGCTTGAAGTAATACCAGTTTAAAGATATAAATATTCCTACTGGTGTAACCGTCGAGGCGTAAACGTAGATTGGAGGCTTATATTTTTCTGAAAGGAGTGTACCACATCCTAAGTCTACACCATACGAGGCTACATTTACCTAGAGGGAATTATGTACTTGCATTTGACAAAGACAAATAGCATTCAGGTTGATATATGACATGTCTCGGCCAGGACTTGCTAAATTGCTAATGACCTGAAATACCGAAAATTTCTTGGGAAGCACTTTATTCGTGCAACTTTGAGCGCTTCAAAACATTTTTTTGGGGCATAAATTTTGCCTTGTCAACGATAATTCAAAGTTGTTCGATCTTTTTGATAAAGCAAAGTTTTCATAAGCCGAAAAGCCAAAAGGCCGATCCGGCAATTTAGTCGCATTTCCTTGAACAATAATCTGTGCTCGCAAACGAATAAACTAATGCAAATGGCAAAATGAAACTATGCCAAGAAAAAAATTCGTTAAGATTAATTAGATTATGCAGATGTTGTTGCAAAGAGGAGTCGCTCCATTTGGACTTGCAGTAAAAATAATAGGGCACTGCGGCGATATGAGCCGACATGCGTACAGTATTGTGGGTGCGGCAAAATAATTCATTACAAGAATGCATAGTACACCCGATTGGTTAAATTGCAACAAAAGCGAAAAATAGGCTAAAATACACAATAAATGCCGAGAATTCTTGTTATTCATTAAGTCTGAATTAGGAAACCATGAAGCTCCACTAAGAAATAAATATGACGGAGGAAGTCGAATGTTTGATTTTTGAAATATTTTTATTGGATTTTAAAAGTAACGCAATACTAATATAAAATGAAATTTATTACACTCGCTGCCCTTTCTGCGCTTGTTGCAAGCACTTACGCTACTGATGGTCTCACAGACTGTTACTGGGAAGGTACTGTCCAATATTGTTACTATGAGGGTGAATTAGGTGTCGTTGTGCCATCTGCTTCTCCAGATTCGGGAGTTACCTCTTACGCTACCTGTTACACCAAAGTCGGAAAGATCATCTGTTTGAACGATAGAGATGACAAGGTTGTCTGGTACGAAGGTACTGATGCTGCGTCTGTGGCTTCGACTGCTACTGCCAATGATTACACTTATACTGGCTCCACCTCTGCCAATAGTGCTTCTTCGACTGGTACTACTTCTGCTAGCACTATTGTTGCTAGTACTACTGCTATAGGTTCGAACTCCACCACAGACAGTACTACTTCCAGCTCGGACTCAAGCTCAACATCTGCTGCTGCAAGTTCATCAGCATCCTCTTCGGCTGCTAGTGGTTCTATCATGGGAGTCCCATCTGCCTTAGGTGCTTTATTAGCCGTGGCACTCGCTTCTTTGTATTAATTAATTGAGAAAAGTTTAATTGCAGACTACCTCTATATATATGAGATTGTTAATTTTTAGTTAATACAATAATGATTTTACTTTTTTGGGCAAATGTGTAGATAGATAGAGTCACCTAAGAGTGAGAGATATTTGCTTATATCGTAGTTACGATTTAGTAGGCTCATTGATGTAGATGGAGTAATTTTCGGTGGTGTAAGGTTTTTGCCAATTCTGATAAAGCGGTGGAATTTGCAGAACATCTCTCAGAGGTTTCGTATAATTGCAAGCCTTGTAGTCTTGGGCTTTCTTGGTGGATTTCTACCCTGATCACATATCAAGATATAGGGTGTTAGGGTGTTAGGGTGTTAGGGTGTTAGGGTGTTAGGGTGTTAGGGTGTTAGGGTGTTAGGGTGTTAGGG